TACTATATGGAAATCCACCTGACCTCGATTGCAATTTCCCGTTGCAAATAAATTACTATTTTTTGCTAAAGTAATTCCTGGAGACCCCCTCAGTGGTTGCCAGTATCCTAACTCTTAACTTTAACACCAACCAAACGATGTTACCCTCAAACAAAGACAGACCCGAGATCCGACATGATCCGACACCGTTCGTTCATTCACAGAGGAGGAGCAGTCCAAATTTTGGAAATCCCCGTGCGCGAAATGTCCAATGGAAATCCCTGCCGTGTTTGAGGGTGTCTCGCTTGGACTCAGGGAACATATGATTACCCGCTTCTGCCCCAGGGAAAACGTCGGTCTTGCCGCCATTCGGGGGACCCCCACAAGTGGCGGTTTTCTTTTGGCTTCCTTCCAAAGAGTAAGAAGGGGGTATCCGGGTATCCCAAATACACACACTCACACTGTTGAAAATAAGCGCAAGAAAGACTGCCCCCCCTTCTCGTTGACTCTTAGGCTCTATTTTTCGCAACCTGCTTCCAGGCTGCATTGGTTTGAGGGTCCCTTGGCTGCAACACGCTTTTTCCTTTGTGCGGGGACCCCCCCCGAAACAAGAATATATATATATATAAAGAAAACAGACATGCATATATCATATATATATATAGCCTGCGGATCCTGCGGTATTCCCTTTAACACCCACCAAGAAGGGACAACGGATAGACCCAACTAGCCATGGCACCCGAAAAACCTTTCCGGGACGGACCCCCGGTTTTTCAAGTGCCTGGGTTGAGGCCCAGGGCTTCACAGGCCTCGGACCCCAGGAGGGGCTCCTGGATTCGAGTCCGATCTCATCGGCTCAAGTCGAGGCCAAAACCTCAGGCTCCCTATACTTGACGTTGGAAGGGGAGCAAACATCGAAAAAAATTAGCAGTTAAGTGGAAATTTCCCAAACATGTAAAATGTTTTCCCATCAACCATGAGGTATACGTCCATTTGGGTAAGGCCACTGGAAAAAGTATGTTTCCAGTAGTGCTGAATTCCTTGCAAGCCCAACAAGGGAAAATAAGAAATAGTCTTAAGCAAATGGAGGTTCATCAGGGTCCATCGGATTAAGTTGAAAACCAAAAACAAATTCCAGTAGTGATAGATTCCCTTCAAAACCAACAGGGCAAATTAAAAGATATTCTTAAGCAAGCAGGGCTCCCTATATCAGGGCTCCCTATACTTCCCCTTTAAACATCACTCCAACAAAAAACAACGACAGGTCATGTTGAATTGGCCCAAAAGGCGATGTCTAAAACCACCAAAACGGGAACATAGGGAGCCCTGTATATTTCCAACCTTAAAACATCACCACTCACCTTTCAGGGGGACACCTCACCCCCCCCCCCTTGAAGGCTTAGGGCTAATACTCACCTCGTACTCACGTCCGATCGAGTGGATTCGCAACCAGGAGTCTCAACTTGTTTATTACTAGAATTGTCTTCCCAAAGCGACTAAAGTCCAGGAACTCAACAATCATATTGAATTCAAGCATCAAACTCAAATCAATCAACACAGCACACACAACAATCAACTTCGAACAAACAAAAGAAACAACAAGGACCTCCAACAGAAGCTTCAGCCACAGTCTCGTGCTTGCCAACTTCCACGACTTGCTCATTTGCTCGTTGATTTATGGCAAAGTAGACATCCCCCGTTCGTTTGCTTGCCCCTAAATGCCAGCTAAACACAATGGCCACATCAACACATTCATAAATCCGATCACATCAACCACACACGCAAGCACATACACACACACATACAAATACACACACACACACACATACACATACACATACACAAACACACACACACACATACACACACACACACAAAAAACACACAAAAACACACACAAAAACACACACAAAAACACACACACAAAAACACACACAAAAACACACACACACACACACACACACACACACACACACACACACACACACACACACACACACACACACACACACACACACACACACACACACACACACACACACACACACACACACACACACACACACACACAGACACACACACACACACACACACACACACACACAAACACACACACACACACACACACACACACACACACACACACAGAAACACACACACACACAAACACACACACACACACACACACACACACACACACACACACACACACACACACACACACACACAAAACACACACAAAAACACACACAAAAACACACACACACAAAAACACACACAAAAAAACACACAAAAACACACACAAAAACACACACAAAAACACACACACACATACACAAACACACACACACACACAAACACACACACACACACACACACACACACACACACACACACACACACACACACACACACACACACACACACACACACACACACACACACACAAAGAAACTTGCTCAAAGCAACACATGACAACTTGTCCAACAAGTGCAAGTCAACAAGACATCATGAATGTCAAATTAGCATGCTGCCCACGATGTCCTCCACAAATATATTGATGAAATTTTACAGACCCGTCTGGATAAAGCAACAACAAACAGTAGAGTGAAAGAATAGACTCACTTAAGAGTGGCAACTCCCACTCACCCATCCACAAAAACTAAACAAACAAAAACATCAATACCTTGCGAAACAAAAAACAAGACATAACAAAGTTCCGGCTCCCGCGTTATTTCCCCGTCCTGCTGCCAGTTGGCGAGCAAAAACCTCACGACCTCGTCGTTGTCGCGGCTGGCCGCCACCGCCAAAGGGGACAGGCCTCTGACCCGGAGACACACGTCCGCCTTGGCGTTGACCAGTACCTGCGATCAAAACGATCCGCGTCAAGGAGAAGCCCCGGAGTACTTGCTGGGGCGATAAGTAGACAACTACCCAAGCAGGGAATGGACCTGGGGATTCCCATTCGCTTATTCCCTGCTGAGAAACTATCTCCAAAACCTGAAATAAGGGATCTTCAATCACATTTTCCATGGTGAGCTCGTGTTACCCCCAGGCCCCAGGTGAGCTCGAATTGAAATATGCAGACATAGGCTGGTCATCTGTTGGCAACCCCCCCTTTTTCCCGCCGCCCTAGTTTAGGATTTACTTCAGGGGATTGCGTTGACTGGTCAATCTGAAGTTGACATTGCCTATCCGGTCTGGCGCTTGCCAAATGAATTGTCAGGTTGCTCGTGGCCATTTCTTGTGTATATGTTCTATCCTTAGGCCTTACTACAAGAGGCTCGAGTTGTTGTTTGCTCTACTCTTGGCCACACGCCCAATGTAACATCTGAAATGTAACTCAAACATCGATACTCCACTGGTGAAATCTAGGCCCTGACTCTCAGCTCTGGCGATGACAGCAGCCATCCCTCATGAGCGTCTGGCCCAGGGAACCTCTTCGACCCTGCAAGTTCGAAGGCAAGGCCTATAGGCCTACGAGAAAGTATGGACACATGTTCCAAAGGTCAAGGTAAACCAAAGAGCACAAGCAAGGGCCACCTTGCTCCCATAGAGGCTCCACTTCGGGATCTCCCACAACTTGGGACCTGTCCCGGCCGAATCCGAATCCCCATGGCATCAATAGCACGAGTCATCCTGCAAGCCTTTGGGAATGCCCCGCACCCACTGCCCTCCACCCCACCCCTTTCCCACCTCTCACCCCACTCGCCCCACTCGCCCCACGTCCCTTTCACTGGCCTTCAAAGCCCCCAGCTGCGAGGTCGCCGCCGCGAAGTGCAGCGCGCGGCCGCACACCGCGCCCACCCGCAGCAGCATGGCCAAAGCCTCCGGACATCGAGCACTCGACACTCGACCTCGCTCGTTGCTTTGAGCGCCGACGAGCGAAAAGAAACCACTTTCAGACATCCATCTGGGTGAATTCTAATATTTCACCAACCTGAAATGATGGCGGAAATATTTCCCACACAAACCACCATTTGGGGTGAGGTCGTGTGCGGTCGTTATAGTTCACCCAGGTCTATTGGCTGGGAGGGCGTCAGTTTTTTGGGGGTCAAGTCAACCCTTTTAACAATACAGGGGATTTCTCAAAAAATAGTTGTTGCTTTTAGGTTCCCTTTGAACCACCCCTAGCAAGAATACCCTCAAAAAAAAACTCATGATGAACCACTGCTTGGGCTAGGTTCACCACTTGGTTACCTTTGCCCACGAAGGAATTGTGGCGTTCAACTCACCCCGTTGACAGGCCAACTGCGTCTACGTGTGGGACCATCTTACATGATTGCCCTTGATCAATGCAAGGTTGACAAAATCCTACAGGCTTAGCGTTGAAGGATGACTGAACAGACTGGGAATTGCGCCATCGACCAACTCACGCGACTGTAGGCAGCAAAGGGACAACCACGTGGGACAACTGAAAGGAACATGGCGTATCTACCGTGGTAATTTGGGATCTGAGAGAGGCCTTCTCAGATCCACAGGTCTGGCGAGTCTGGTGAGTGCCGCATTTGTTTTTGTGTTTGTTCGTTGTCCTGTGATGTCCGCCCAATTCAAAACCCATCACTCCCACAAGGCGATATTCAAGCAGGGCCTGACCGGCCAACATAATTGCTTCAAGGCCGCTCTTTGCTGAAACTCTCCGGGCACAACAAAAAGTTGAGTGTTAAAGGCACACACCGCAAGCTCTTTACGAAAACATATTAGTCGTGCACACAGGAACCATAGTCGTGCACGCAGGAACCATGGCTGAAACATATGCCTATATGTGTAGCACGCGTTGCCGCTTGCAGGTCAAGATGAAAATACACATGATTCGTTGTTCGGTGCCATGGTCTTGCAACTGTCTGAAAACAAACAATGCTGCAAGAGGGACGCTCCTCAACAAACAATCTTATGCCGACAGGGCCCTTGTCAAGGGGGTCCCTCCTCAACACAATCACAAAGGAACGAACCCTCCTTCTGAGAACAGGAGCCGCTACTTGGAAGCCACGTTCATGTCCAAAGTTTCCCTTTTGTTGGGCTCAGGCTTTCTTGTGGTGGCCTCACGGCATGTTGGCCCATTCGTCAGGGTTCCCATGTGCTGATGACATGTTTCTCAAGATGTCGACCTCTTATTTCATTTGAAGTTCGAAACCCCCCACAACACTTTCTTGCCATTTCAAGGGGCCAAACCAAAGGGACCCCCTTGCCATTTGAATGCACCGATTTCTTTGAGGCCCCCGGGTTTCCCTCAGTTTTCCACCCATCCGAATCCACCGCATCCGCATCCAGCGACAGCCCGCCTGCAGGGACCCGGTGGCGGCCGCCGCCTCGGTGGGCAAGACGCCCTCGGTGGCGCGGTGGGGGTTGGCGCCGTAGGCCAGGCAGAACTGCAGCACCTCGCCCGTGGGAGCGGTCGCGGGGGGAAGCGTCGGGGGGGGGGGGACAGGGGGGGGCGGGGGAAACGGTGTCATCAAAAAGCGTCGCAGTTCAGCCGAGAGGGGCGTTTCGCCAGGCCCCAGAAAGAGCCCCACAAGCAGGGCCAGCAAAAAAAGGGGAAGGGTGGTGGGCGGAAAGAAACTGGTCGGCAACATAGATTTGGCGGCTTTCAAATGCTGGAAAAAGGCATAAGAAATGGCGGTTGGGGCCAAAGTCATAGCTAGAGATATGTTGGGCTCATCTCCCACTCGGGTTGAAGCACTTGCCAGGGCTGTCGAAATACAGGCCCTGATTTCGGTTTCCATGAAGGGGGCATTCGTGAGCCCAAGTTCGCAACCACCCCCAATGGCCCTGCGACCTGTTTGGCAGAAACAAACAAACGTTAGTTTTGGGGCCTGACCACTTCTGTTTATTAGAAAGAAACCCACCGCAGTAGGTGCTCATTGAACAACTCGTGGGTTGTTGGCCAACAAACTTGTTTGAGCATTCCACAAGTTGATCCCTCTTCTATATTTTCAAACATCCGGCTGCGCCCTAGAGATTATGCGGCGCTTTGAAAGAAGTTGCCTTGGAACAAACATAAAGGATTGGACAGGATGTCTCATAGAAAGCTACTTGAAGGGGATCCCTTTGCCCTTTGCATCTCAAACGCACCGGGGGAGGGCAAAAAAAAATGGGGCAGATGCCAAGCCAAGGTGATTCTGATGAGTCACCGGTTGGCTTGGTTTCCTGGCGCCGGGAAAAGGTGGGGCAACGCATGCTTAGAAAATACCCAACCGGTTGGTCGGTTGGTCGGTGGATAGAATGGAATTGGAAAAGGAAAATCATTTGAATTTGATATGTCCAATGATGGCAATGTCTCAACATCCCGAGGAAACATAGGAAAGCCTAAAAACGGGTAAAACAACTGGTTGGAACTTGGGCTGCAAGCAAGGACGGGATTGGGACATTGGGCACCCCTTTGGGGCCTCTTCTGATTCAAGGCCCAACACAATGACACGCCAACAAGTAACACTGGCAGTCTTGCAAAGTTGGCAGCTTCTTGTATGGCCAACCAACACCCTCCCACCCAAACCCGCGTGGGCACTTTTGAACTTGATCAATGAGCCTTGCTATGGGCCTTCTTCTGGCTGGGACCTGCTGGGAACCCAGATTTTTTTACCTCTTGGGGTCCCCCAGCCGCTTTGTTGCAGTGCGATCGTTCAACACGCCCGCGAGGGAGCCTTCAAAACCTTCCAGGCTTATCCAAAAGCACCGCAACCCTTGAAGGTCCGTGAACTCAGAACCCCCCCCCCTGTCCTTCCCCCCAACTACGGACATACTTATCTCAGTTGCCAGGCCCCGGAACATTGCCAACCATGAACCGAAAGGTCGGATCGACCGCTATCCCTTCGGCCACCCTAACCCCCCCGTCCAGCCCCGGTCGCGCCTCGAGGTCGTTGTTGGCGGCCGCCAACCACATCACGCTCGGCTGCTCGTGGCCCAAGTCCTCGAAGTCCAAATCCAGGCCCCTCGTCAGCAGCTCCTGACTCGCTCGCTCCGATTGCCCCGATGTTATATTTTTTCGGGCGCAACACGTGGTCAGGTTTTTCTTGTCGGGAAAGATCGGGGAGGCCAGTTCTCAAAAAGGGGGTGACCGCCTTTTTGGGGGAAGCCACAGAAGAACATTGGGGAAAAAGGCTACGGAAAAGCCGGGCTGATGATTCATTGCATCAAGGCAGGTAAGGGATGCTGAAACCAACATGAGGGAATGGTGGTATCCACCCTTCAAGTATTAAATTTGCGTAAGCAACCAAACGTCAGGTTTGGACAATCAGTCCAATTCTATGGTTGTCGTCAAGTTCCAGGCGATGCGGTCTTTTGGTGTTCTGTGAGGTCGCAAATCAATTGCTCAGAACAATGGCACGTTTCCAAAGAACTTCAAGGTGACCCTCCTGCAGCGTCTGCATCCGCTTCGGCGACCTGCGCTTTGGCAGCTTCGAAGGGGGGGGTTCTCACGGAGGGGGAGCACTTCGGGCCACCTCCTTTGTGGATGGTTTCAAGAGAACCCCCGAAAAGGTCCCCGAGCAAAAGGAGGGGGGTCCTTACGTTTGGGGAAGGTACCCTTGTCAGGCTTGCTTTCTTTTTTTTAGGCGCGGCCGACAAGAAGAAGGGAACAGGCAACCCCTGCAAGCTCTCCCTTTTTCCCCTGAGCGAGCGGAAAGCCCTGCGAGGGCTTCGGGAGTTTGGGAAGTTGCGGGTTTTGGACAGTTGCACGGGAAAGTCGAAGCTTTTGACAAGCCACCAGTCGCTTCAGGAATACCAGCAAGAGGTCTCTCCCGAAAATGGAAGCTTGCGAAAAAAGAAAAGAGGTCTCCCAAACATAGAATAAATCCATTACCAGCAAAAAATCAACGCCCTTTGGTTTGGCTTCAAACGAATCCAAAGCTTCAGGCAACGGGAGTCGATGGCCGCCTGGAGTCGATGGCCTGCTTGATCTTGGCCCAACTCCTGAAGGCTTTGGTTGAGAGCAAACCTACTGCCCCATGGATTTGTTCAATTGGGCGTGGCTCAAAATTAAAGAGCTGGGGTTACGCAGGTTTTAGTCTTTGGTTCCATTTACCAAGGTGCCATTTTGGTACCACTTTTTTGAGCCGCAAATACGGGAGCCACGGGTGGTTTCCTGGTGGTTTCCCGCTTTCCTGGACTTTTCCGTCCACAAAAAGGGATCCACGGGCGGCTTTTGTGAGGTCCTTTGAGCCCCAAAAAGGGGGGTATCCTAAAACACACACGGACGTCGCCCACATCTTCAGTTCCCATCCTTCCTTCCGGGACCGGACCTTGGAATGAGGCGTTCGTTGGGTACGGAAAAGATGCAGTTCAAAGGCTGGCTTGCTTGAGACCGAAGCATGGTTGCAACACATGCCGGGTCGACGAAGTATCGCGGCAAATGCTACCCACCGCTGTCGCTCGCGCCTGAACGCTTCAAATTGTACAGCACAAACAGCGCCATGGGGCGGAATTTTCACTGGGGAGAGCAAACTCCCCAACTCAAAGCGCCAGACCAACACCGGCCACAGAGTTGTTCTGCTGGCAGTAGTTTTGCTTCAAACAGCAAAGTTGTCCCATGGCTCCACCCCAATCCCGGCGCCCTAAGAAGATACTAAAAATGACCCCTAAATTTGGACCACCCCACTTACTCCCCTGCGAATTCACATGTGTGACACTGGGTGTTTCTTGGGAAATTACCGGGAAACCATGGGGCAGAAGTGTCACCCCCTCCTCCGCCCCAAAATCGAAATTGGCCGCATCTCACTTCCTGAGTTGATGGGCAACAAACAAAAAATGCGTCAAGTCCAACTCAGGAAGTGAGGCAATTGGGTGTTTCCCGTTTTCGAGGCTACCTTTCCTTGTTTTTGGAGTGGCTTTTTAGAGAGGCTTTCCTTCCAATAGGCGTCTTCATTTTAATGGACTCACTAAACAGTTGTTGTCCCAAAAAGAATGGGTAGCCTCCAAAAAAGATCCTTCCTTCATGTGGAAGGGCTCCTTCCTTCAACCGAAAACGGGTCGGGGCTCCCCAAAGGCCTTTGGTGCGTCTGGTTCGCTCCTCTGCAGCATCGGCCGCGCCATGGGCTCTGCCCTGGCCGCCGCCTTCTGCTGCTCCACGGCGGACCATTGCTGGGCCGCCGCGCGGTCCTTGCTCTCCCCTGGCGAATGCGGGGGCCGGGGGAGTGGGGGGGAGCTTGGGGTTGGGGCGGCTTCATATGGCTGAAGAGGTCAAAAAGATGTACCCAAAATGGAATCCTGGTAAATGGACACATGGACTAAAACCTGTCCCCCGGTGGTTCAATTTTGACCCATACCCATATGTGGGCATATACATTCAGCATTTGGAGATGGGGGACCCATGCGACTGCTTGGGCGAAAATGATTAAATTCTGCCAAGTGTGTCAAGCCGATCCTATCGGAGCTTTGCGCATAAAATAACCGCTCGATCACAGGGCTCTGGAACACTGAATTACATATGTGTTTTTTTTTCTCCCCGGGAAGCGCCTGTGCACTTCCATGTGCTTGGAAAAAGCCTACGTGACCGTTCCCGGGGTGATCAAAGTCTGAAACTGGGGGTGTTTCCCTTCAACCCACCGCTTACAACACGGGGGTGCGTGGGTGACTCTGATAGTGGTACTACTCTGTAGATTAACAAACAAGCATTGTTCGTAGAGCAATCTCCTTTTGGGGGGGCCTTTTCTCAGCTCCATGCTTGTAATTTGAAGGGAAATATCTTCTCCGGTGATTCTCGCGATATCGGGAAGATTCCCGCACCATTTCAATTAGCAAACATCATCGACGCATCATCGGCGCTTCCGACGCCGGCGCGGGCTTCCCTCTTCCCCGCCTGAGTCGCCCCGCTGCACCACGTTCTCCGCCAGCATTCCGGCGCGGATGGTCTGCAGATCGTCCGGCTTCGAGCCCGGGAGGAAGACCTGGCCATGGATCATTTGGCCATGGGTCAAAATCCAAATCGATTAGCCCCAGTGAACATCCCAATCCAACCACCAAAATCGGTTCTAAAATGGGTGGTGCACCTACCTTAAAATGGTACCATTAATGGTTTTGACCCACGGCCATTTCTCAAAGGAGAGCCTGGCCAAAGAGGCTCGTGTTGTTTCAGGATACCCCTCCCCTTTCAGGTTGGTACACCCACTTTGGATCCTAGACATGCCGTGCTTCTCAAAGGGCCGTGATTGAGCTTAGGAGTTTAGTTTTCGGAGGTGGACATCTTAGCAGACAAAAACTTCTGCTGCTTCGCAAAGCGCCCCATCTTTTCCCAGTCCCCGCTTCCTTTCTCTGGCAAGCTCCCTTCTGCATTTTGAGAATAACTCCAAACCAGAACAAAAGGATCCTGTTTAACCCAGTCATTCTATTTCCCCTGTATATTGAACAACCAAGGTAACCACCCTTGAAAACCAAAGCAACATGACTCGTTACCTAGAGTGGCACTGGGAAAAGCATCGATCTTCACGGCTTTTCGCTGGTTCCCCCCCCCCCCACCGCAGAACCAAATACGGTGGATCCGATTTTCCGCCTGCTCCAGCAGGAAAGCCAACGGCTGTCGCGGGTGCCCCCCGCGCAAAGCCTTCTCCGCCTCCTGCGTCGAGTTGCTCTTTGTCCCCAGGTCCAAGCTTTTGGGACTGAACTGGGGGTAGAACATGGCACAACATGTACAGAGATGAAGGGCAACCAAAGGAAACGGCTTACAACCTTCACCTAGGTCCTCCAGTAGAGAGGTTAGAATAAGGGTACCAACTTTTATCTGTAGTCTATTTTAGTAGGAGAACCCTCCCCAAAAAAAGAAACGGTAAAAGGGCACTACTGGGAGACCTAGACATGGTACAGAGATAAAGGGCAACCAAAGGAAACGGTTTACAACCTTCACCAATGTTCTAATCTTGGGAGTTGGTGAGTCTCAACCCCTTTGATATGTTGGTTCCACCCAAATGAACGGGTTGTGAATTCCAACAGGCATGGGCAACCGCCAGTCCGGGGTCCTGAGCCGACGGTCAGGGGAGCCCACAGGCCACCGACTTTATTTTAGCCAACCTTGGGTCCCGAAAGGCAGACCAAGCTATGGAGAATCTGGGCCTCAAAATGGGATTGCTTTTTTGTCACCGCGGCTTCAAAAGCAAACCGGGAAAACCGAAAGCAAATCTTGGACGGTCCCTCAATTTGAGGCAAACCCACGCGAGAGTGCCAAGAAAAATGGGAATGTCCAATGTCCAGCACATGGTTGCGGGACGTCGCCTTTCTGTGATACCGAAGTGGACCCGCCTTATCACTGCCTTGTCGATTCAAAGGAGGAGCCCTTGTATCACAAAAGTGGCCCTAAAAACTAGTTTGCCGCAACCACAGTCCACCTTTTTGGATGGCTTGAAAGGGACACCAAAGCACACTGACCGCTAACAGGCCATACTTTTCCCGCATACCCCGGCGGCGCTTTTGAGGGCACCCCTTTTTTGGGGCTCATTTCCTGTTTGGACAGCTCAAGATCTCAACTTGCCGTTTCCCCCAATATCTCCAAACATTCGGACAAACACGTATAAACTGCTTCTTTACCTGGGATCACTAGCTTACCGCGCCTATTGGCCACAACAAGAAAACAAACAAAAAGAGAAACTCAGGTTGCCCCTTCCGAGTTTTACATTTGCTGGACCGCAGTCCCCGTCGCGCTCAAGACGCTACGCCACCGCCTCGTTCACGCGCTTCAGCAGAAGACGGATCCAGAGCTCGTCTTCGCCCGTTTCGGGCGCGGCAGGGAGTTGGCTGTACTGGTCCTGGGGTAAAAGCTGGGAGTTGAATCGGGTTTCTCCAGATGGGTTTGTCGCTTTTGAGGGTACTGTTTTGTTGTAGGTTTAAAAGGGAAACCAAGAGGAAACCCAAAACAATAGGGGGTCCGCTAATTCAAAATACACCCAATAGTTTGTTAAAATGAAACCAAAGGGAAACAGGGAAACCAAATGTGTTAGGGGACCACAATTTTGAGACACCCAAATGGGGAGCTAGTCAATTAAATGCACAGAGCAGGTCTGGAACAGCTGACACAATAGCCATCTTGAGTTGGTTTTGCTTTTGGGAAAATAAGAATATGGCCTGTTTAGCGCCCAACCCATAAACGATTTCATGAGCTCCGTCTAAGGGGTCCGATTCAGGAAATCCAGTCCCTTGGACAAATCCAGCTTCGGATTGGTGCCAAAACCACCACTTCTTGGTGAGTTAGGTTGGCAGGTGAAAACTCAGGCAGAAGCATGATCCGAAGCTCTTCCCATCGCGCACTGTTGGAACTTGGTTTGGCAAGGCTTTCTATCATGACCATAAGGGACGCCGACATACCTAATGCAAGTTCCTTGGTTATTTACTGACAATGACTGGAATGGGCCTCAAACATTACATTCACAAACATCTCTTTTCAACTCTTTCATGCGTGCAAGCAACCTCGGCATACGTGGTGGCCACCTGTGGGTATGCGACAGTCTCAAACATCTGATTGATCAATTGGAGGTGTTCCAGTTTGACGCGTGTCCTTGCCTTCGCTTGGGTAAGCCCTCTACGAATATAGCATGAATCCGCGGTTGCCATAGTGCTGTCTGTGATAAGCGTGGATGCACTGGCCACTTAAGTCGTTGCAAAAGCCCGAGGTCGCTGAGGAATTCAAAGCTGGCGCACTGGTGCTGATTGTTTCACGTGAGAGCAGTTTTTCAGGTGCTGCACCAGAATCCGTGCTGACGAATGCTACCATCACAGATCCCATCAGCCCAAGTCAGGCCAGCCGCTGAGTGGGAAATCCAATTGGACCCCTGGATGCACTTCCTTCTGCCCTTCTGATATTGGCATCCTCCATCTCCTCAAGTCCCCTGGACCAAACACCAATAGTGATAATTTTATTTTAACCTACCACCAAAAGAGAATACAAAAGGCAGATTCTTACCTGGAAGGCATGGTCCACTGCCTTTCCTTCTTGGGTGCCCGAAAAGCGCCAAGAAGCGCCAACAAAGGATCATTAGGTATGTTGTTCTTGCGCAAAAATTCAGGCATGGTGCCACCTGCTCCCCTGCCTTGACCGCTTGGGCGCCAAACCTTGCGCGCCAAGGCGCGGGATCCCAGCAGTAGTTGCAGAGGAAGGCGCAAAGCCTTCGCCATCCGCCGGCATTGCCGCCCCCCACCGCGCTGTCTGCGCCCCAACCCTCCTGGCGAGCGAGAAGCGAGCATGGCCATTTGAAGCCCCACTGAAATACTGAAGAAAAATGTAATATTTGTCTTGTTGTGATAGATTCCCTTTGAAACCAAGGAGGAAAAAACAAATGTGCCCGTGAGCAAATGCAAATTGACCATGGCCATCGCCGTTATGGGAGGACAAAGAGGCAAAGAGCCCCTCGAGGATGACTTTGCTTTGCTCCTAGGGTCCGATCCCCTCAAAAGGCTTGGCTGTGAAAAGATCATGGCCCCAACGGAGCTGGCATCTGCATAAAACATGTCCCTGGAGCAAATCCAAAGGCAATACAAATTGCCGCCGGAGAAAATGCCAGCGGCCTCAAACTCTGGAAGTGATGGGTCCCTACAGAAGCCATCGTGCCCAGCTTATTGGAGTTATTCAAGGGAAGTTTGTCGGGCTTGTTGTGCTGGCTGAGAGGCAGGGATTCCTTACCGCAGTTCTGGCAGGCTGCAATTTCCAGTCGGGGGAGGGAAACAACCAAGCAAATATGGGAGTTGACTTTGTCAGGCGTATCTGAGTAGGAGCGACCAACAGGACACAGACGTGGGCATATAAAGAAAGTGGACACCCCAGCGCTACAAAGAGAGTTTGTCCGCCGGCTTCAACTGAGAAACCAACACCGTGAACGCACTTCAGCTTGCGCCCCCCATCAAAAATGTTCTGTCTGAATCTTAAAAATCGAATCAACCCAATGGAATCCAAATCCCCAAACCCCTAAACCCCTAAACCCCAAACCCAATAGAATCTCTCGCGCCTCACATTTTGCCGACCCCATCCCATCTTGATGCTCCGTCCTTCAAGGCGGTGCGGGCTGCAGCCGTCAAGGCCTTGAGCAGGCTCTCGATGTTGAACTCCTTTCCCGGGAAAGGGCTTGGCTCGACTGACCCGCGAGTCTCGCCTTTTTTGCTCGCCCAAGTCTAGCCTTAGCCTAAGCTTAACCTTCACTCAACCTTCCACTTTAGGGGCTCCGAAGGGAAAAGGGTTGACTAGGTTACCATCAAAGTCAGCCCCTAAAGTGGAAGGTTAAGGGACACAAGCTCAGTTTCTGACATTGAGAACCCCCCAATCAGTCAACCGTATTCTTCCCAAAGTCGAAGGCTGACCGTCTTACTTTTGCGGGCTCCTGTCGACCCTGAACCTGGTGGATTCATAAGGTGAAGTTTCCCATGCTTCCCTCAAAAGTGTGTTGGGTCCATCCTTAAACATGGGACACCGCCTTGTGAGCCAACAGGGGTTTATTGATTCTGTGTTGGGAACAAACACCTGTTCCAAGTTGGAGGTCGAGGGTCGAATCGTCGAAGCAAAGGAGGGAATGTCCTAGGCATTCGCTCTGCCCGGTAAAATCTGCACTAAGGACACAATAGGCTTACTGGGAAAGAACGGCCTAGACTTCGAAAAGAAGAACCCTGTGACCAACACCGGACGCGCGCTCTTCAGCCACAACTCATGAGTTTTACGTATGCATTGCTGCTCACGCTATACACGACTGCAGGATCCGCATAGCTGCACTTCGTGGATTCAGGTACGTAATGTTGACCGCATACTAATCAACCCCAGTTTATGAATAGGGGGTGTCCTTTTCTGGGTTTAGTGGGCAATCAGGCCACTTTTTGAGGGGCCAAAAAGAACCCCCCTTATGAATTAACTGGTTGCTTGATTCATATGGGGTCAACATTACTTGAAACATTGAACCCCTAACCTCCCGTTTTGGCCGGCTCCCTCTGGCCAAAACTCCCATGGAACTCGTCACTGTGGATGGTGGCGAAAACAAAATTGTGCACCACCGTTCAGAAGCCCTGGTTTCTGAGAAGTCCCCTGAAAATACCAACCAACGTTGTGGTTTCAATCATGGATTTAGTTCGTGGTGCGAACGGATTGCGTCCATCCACAGTGCCCCCCACCCCTGTGCCGCGCTTTTGCCTTCAACCAGGCGGAGTCTTCGCAGTTGGTCCACCAAAATCAGTTGACAGTAGACCGACCGATTCAAATTCAGAAAACCCACCATACCAAAAAGCATGCAAAGGGTATTTTTGGGGGAACCCTAAAGTGCAAACCCAGACTTCAACGGAGATCTGCTATCATTGACATAGCCACTGGACCAACATATAAGTCTTGTGAGAGTCCTCCCGGTTTTTCTTCCCTTTAAAGAATCAATAGAGAAAAGCCAAGCACCATGTTACATGAGTGTCTTTCATTTTCGAGGGAACTCTTTCTGGGGCTGTCCCAAAGGGAAGCCCCCAAAGCAAACACTCTTTGTGCGTGGTCCACAAGACCACGGGTTTCTCCTTGACGTAGGAGTCGTAGTTGGAATCCAGGACCTCCTGCAGGTTGAGGCTGGTGTGCTGCATCAAAAAGCTCAGCCAGCTGGCGATACTGTGGCCACCCTCCTGAGCCAAGAGAAAAAGAGAGAGAGATCTACTCCTCAAAATCTGTCAAATACCCACAAAAAGCAGGGAGTTGGGCAAACTTCCAGAACATATTCCTGGAGAGAAGAGAGAGCGTGTGGGTGTTGCTGAAAAGCCCTACGGATGGTGTTCAAAGGAAACCGCAAGGCTTTTTTGAAGGGTTCTAAACCTTCAGGATGGTGGCAAGTGGAAACCAAAACAAGCCCAGGTGGTATCCCCAACAGCGGAATCCCATGGAATCGTCGGAACCCTCCCTAAACTGCCCCAAGCCGCCCTAAAAACTGCCCCTATTCGGGCCGATCGACCAAATAGCTTTCAGCTGGGGAAAAGAAAACAACCTTCCGTTGCATCTTTTGGGGGACACGGAGAATGTTGAAGGATCTAAGTAGAACCCGTCCCATTTGGGGGGTGTTCCCTCCAAAAGTGGTCTGAATCCCCACTAAAAGGGGACACCCCCCTATTAATCAACCAGGAGCTGTATTAATCCGGGGTTAACATTTAGCTCGCCGATCGGAGTGGCTTTGCTGGGCCGCGACCTTGGATGTCGCCTTGGATGTCGTCCCAAACGTTGTTCATGGGACCCCGCCCATATTAACAGCGATCGCCTTCACACATCGTTCTTACATGCCACCGTCCTAGCTACCGCTTGCCATGCAAACTCCTGGAAGTGCACCTACTTCATCTTGTGATCAAGACCTTCTAGGTCCTCCAGTAGAGAGGTTACAGTAAGGGTACCTTTTTTTATGTAGTCTATTTTACCAGGGGAACTCTCCCCTAAAAAAAGATAAAAGGGCACTACTGGGGGACCTAGCCTTAAATGAAAGCTTTAGCTCATGTCCTAGCTCAAACATCTTCGATGGCCTCAAATAGTGGGTTTGTCTCCATGGCAATGCCACGCGTGGCTGTTTGAAGCGCAAGCCGAAAACTTGAAAGACAGCCACGTTCTGGCGCCCCAATTTTCGACGACAAACGCACCCCACATCCGACCAGCCGAAGGCTCGTAAGGGAGGACCGTGGGCTTCTCGTCCATGCCATCCTCGGAGACCTTCTTCACCAGCAATCTGGGCGGATGCGGTCCAAAGGTAAAAGGCTTGAGCACATCGGAATCCATTTGGGAGATCCCCTAATATGTTTGTTTTGACACATGGGCACCTGGAGGTCCCCATATATTCTTTTGCTTGCCGCATGGGCATGGGTGCCAAAAAAGTTGAGTTGGGACCCTTTGGCGGGTCATGTACACGGGGGATCACTCTGTCCGCCAAGCCCTGTTCAGGGGAGTTCCCTACGAGAATTCATGCCACATTGTCACATGGATGTGTCTCAATGTACCTGTCCAGCGCCGCTTGGTCAAGTTCTCTCTTGACATATTGTGTAATTAGGTAACCGGGCTTCCGAGCTGTAGGTGGCCAAGTTCCCTTTCGAAGCATCCAAACAAGGTGGTCCTCATTTAGGTAACCAGGCTTTCTGAGTATAGACTGTAGGTTCCTTTCTGAAACATCCAATTGGGATCAGCTGGCGGTACACAAAAATCCACCATTTTAGGCAGCCGCGGTGACTCATTATCTACAGTACAGGTCGCCAAACCTCAGCTTCTGCTAACCAAAGGGGTACCGGGTAATACAGGGGGGCTAAATATAATTAGGTAGTTTACCACAATCATGGTGACTAAATATTGTTTACAAAGCACCCACCCACCCCATTCTAATTGTTTGGGCCCTTGAATTACTCAGCAAACCGCCCAGCTTTTCTGATTTTCGCGCAGGTTCATAGTTTCACGGCACGTGTCACCTTTGGAGGGTAGAGGCGGTAGAGGTGGGGGCTGTTTAGAACCTGTCACTGCATCCGGCTCCATGGCTACCAAAAAACGCCCCCAGAAAGGCAAGACCTGGCCTTCACAACCCCAAGCGAACTGAGACTGGGTCAAGAGAAGGATGCGAGTGGGAACCAACCCTTAGAGCTACCCTCACAAAAAAAGGCACCATAGGCGACCTTGTCAAAAACTAGATGGCCTTGGTACATGGAATAAAACAATCTAAGCCAGCACCATCTATGTCGAACCAAACTAACCGATCTAAGCCAGCGGAACCCATATATTTCTATCCAAACCAACCGATCAAAAGGACTATCCCCTCTTTCAAAACAGGTATTGGCAGGCCCAGGGGCTTCACCACCGGGATGTGGCGCTCGGGGAAGTAGCGCCGGTCCACGTCGTTCTCGTCGATGTTCATCACCGCCACGGTGACCGCCGAGGAAGTCCTTGGATCTGAAAAAATCCTACAGGAAATCCTCGTGTTTGATGGGTATGTGTTGCGGCCTCTGAGTTTGCCAACACCTTTCAGAACTACTTCAAAATCCCCAGGAACTTTTTTTGTGAAAGAGGACATGGACAAATACCAATTCAATTGGGGCCCGTCCCGATACTGTGGATTTCTGTGTTAACTCAAGGCTACCCTCTAAATGGTGTACAAGGAAAACCTCCCCCCCCCCCTCCACTAATTCGGAGAGCCCCCCAAATGCGACCACTTTCAGCATTGTGGAAAGATCACTCTTTCTGAGACCGAAGTAGGCCATCGCCAGGACTACTTTACGAATTTTCAAGGATTTCCCTTTGGTAGCACGGAAGTTGCTCTGAAACCGAAGTGAGTCAAAACCCGGCATTCAAACGGTCTGCCCAGAACCATGCAAAGAATTTAAAAGCCGGAGGCTCAAAACCCAGGTAACTTGGTGGTTCCCGGCCATCCCAGAATCCCCATAACGTTTTAGTTGTTTTGTTGGTGTGCTGGTTTCCATTTCACCCACCAAAAGTTAAACTTTTCGCAGGGATTTGAGGACAACTCATTGCAGGATAAGAAGCAACAACACAACTATGTCCTCCAAAGGAGAGGTTAGAATAAGGGTACCCTTTCTTTCTGTAGTCTATTTTAGCAGGGGAACCCTCCCCCAAAAAAGAAACGGTAAAAGGGAACTACTGGGGGACCTTGACAAGTTGTCCCACCCTCTCTGCCCCGGTGAAATCGACTCGCAGCTCGCAGCTGCGGCGCTGCAGGAGTTTGGCCAGGGCGAACCAGGCCGGCTTCATCTGCTGGCAGGCCCCGCACCAGTCCGCCGAGAGCGCGATGAAGACGCACTTGTCCTTCTCCAGGATCCTGGGTTCACTCTGGCGTCACCGTTTGACCAGTTTCCTGGTAAGACATGGATTTGGTTATCCTTTTTGACCAGCTCAAACCAAAGGGTCTCTTCGCTGATTTGGCCAGGGGTCAAAATCCGAATCGTGCCCCCAGTGAATATCCTAATCCAACCGCTAAAATAGGTTCTAAAATGGGTGGTGCAAATACCCCAAAATGGTACCATTGGTTTTGACCCACAGCCATTTGTTTGCCCGTTTGTCCAGGATCCTAGACATGGATTTCATTTGGGTATCCTTTTGACCAGTTCAAACAAAACTCGCCCAAGATGAGACAGGTCTTCTTCGGAACCATGTACTCCTTCCTCAAAATGGGTCTGTGTCAAAATAGGAGACCCAAAAAAATTGGCGACTTTCGTTTTGGCTTCCCTTCAAAGGAACCGGGTCCAGGGGTTCACGCTGCACAAGAGAAGAACCCGAGGGCACGCTTTCAGGGGCCTGATTGGAATGTGTGGTGTCCTTTGACTAGTTGGGTCACGAGCCACCTGTTGAACGAAGAACCCACCGCATTTGTCAAAGCAGATTGGACAAATGACGGCTACGAAAGCCGTCTGAACAAGGAAAGCCCAAGGACGTGCTTTCGGAAGAAACATGTTCTGTAATTGGACACTTCAAAGGGGATCTCCTTGTTGTCATAGAAGCTGGCCTTGAATTCCGATTCTTCCACAAGCAAACACCCACAACAAACAAATGTCCGGTACCATTAACAAGTGGCAACCTAAAGCCCGACTAGAATTGACCAGGCCCTGAACCCAATCTCACTACAACATCACCCCGCCAAATAACCTCACCTTACATGGGCCGACAAGGAGTTCAACAGCAACAAGAAAAGAGCTGTAGGGACCTCCGTGGCCACAGAAGCCCTTATTTCCACACCTGGGCAAACTACTCTGATCCACAAACCTGCAAGGGCCTTCATAATTGGGGTCTCTGTTGCCCAAAGGACCCGCCCGCAAATTGCAGAAAAAGCCTTTTTGGGGGCATAGCTAAACATGGACCAAATCAGGGAACCCAACTGGTCACAAGTCGAAACTCGCTTTGGGCAAGTGAGGCCTTTGGTCCACTTCCCATGGCCCAAGGATCTCTTCCAACGAGTCCGTGGTGATGATCTTGATGCCCGGATGCCGGGGGTCCGTGTCGTTGGGCGGTCGGAAGGCCGACCGGATCTGAGATGCGACTCGAGATGCGACTCGAGATGCGTCTTCAAAAAAAAAGCCCCCTTTGGGATGTTCGGAGCTCAGCTCAGCTCTACGTGTCTTTTTGGAAGGTACCCATGTTAGAGTGGTTTTACAGGGGAACAACAGCGAACGCTTCCTATGGGATGTGTGAGCTAGTAGCTTCCCAACCTTGGTATGGTGAACAACTTTGCTTCTTGGAGCCCTCTAAACAAGAACAGAACCAAAAGACTGAAACAACACACACACACACACAAATGGGTGTGGCTCAAAATTAAGCAGGAGGGGTTACGCAGGTTTTGGTCTATGTTTCCACTTGCCAGGGTTCCATTTTGGTTCCGGTTTTTTGAGCCACAGCCAAATATGCCACCAGCAGGGAAGGTAGGTCACCGCCGAAATCGAGTCCTCAAATTGGGGCACCATGTCCTTCACTGCTTAACGACAATGAGGGAACCCAGGCATTTTGGGATCCCCTATTTAGAGAACCAACACAAAGAACCTGTGGCAGCCAAAAAGTACATCGAGCAAACCAGCGAACCATCTTGCTTTTGCAACGCATGGCTTCCCTCAAACATCCAAGTCCCCACAAAACAAAGCAAGGTCTGTGCCCATACTCACTGAAAACAACCTCTCTAAACTCAGCGCACAGACTTCACAAACACCACTATCAAACCAAGTACACGTGAGTCACACTTGCAGGGCTTGCGGGGGCGAGAGGTGGTGTTTTACGCTGGACGCAAGGTTGCCAACACTGGAAAAAATATATTATTATGCATGTATAACTCAGCTTTAGTTTCCAAATTGCGCCTTTGCTCATGGGCAGATGAAGCCTTGTAAGCTGGTACACAAAGGAAGAATCCACGGTGCCAATGGAGCCAAGGGAGCAGTTGGGCTGGGAGGAGAGTACCGATTTGGCTCTGAAATCCTTCTGGGACCTCAAAATGGCCAGGGACATATATGGCTGTGGGTCAAAAATAGGTACCCAAAATGGAACCCTGGTAAGTGGAAACATGGACTAGAACCTGCGGCCCCCTGGTGGATTAATTTTGACCCATACCCATATGACGTCCACTGACGGGTCTCCAACCAAAAATGATATTGACTAGTTGCTTTGCATGATGCTTGCGCCAAGAAACAAAGTGTCTCAATGGCTAAGCCGGTCCTTCATTGTCTGGAGCCAGCAAGGGGCAACCTTGGGTCTATTTAACAGCCTTTGGAGTTCTATTGAACGGCCCCAGAAAGAAATTCGCTGCGCTCCCGGTGTGACGGCCCAATCGAAGAATTAGTTATATAAGAGGCCGGGGCTAGGAGAGACAATGGATGAAGGAAGTGGATGGGTTGCTGACATTCCTTTCACTCACTCATTCCTTTCCCACCTTCTACCATCCACCACCTTCTCATCTCTCATTCCATCTCTTGGCCCTTCGCTTCGTCCTGACGTTAAGTCAGAAGAAGAACCTTGCGCTCGCTTCTTGCCGCCACCCCTTAATTCCTTGCATGGGTGTGCCTAGTCTTGGGGATCACCACAACAGACAAAGGTACCGAGCCTCCAAACAGACGAGCCACCCACATTGAAACTGAGCAAAATGCCATCATAAGCTCAACTATGGGACCTCCCCAGAGGACCTTTGTGGCCGAAATCTGTCGCACACAAAGAAACAAAGATGACATCCAAGGAAGTTCGCCCGTAAACCATGCCAGATATGCAAAAGCTCGGCATGAACCCACAGAAATCACTCGATTGCCTCAAACAACAGAATGATTGTTGGCTTCCAGTTCGAGTCCTCTGCGGCCAAAAGGCGCGGCCGCACTTGCAGCGCCAGCACTGAGAGCTGCTGGCGGCGTTGCGGGTGAAGAGGCCCGTGGTCTTGCAAGAGCCCTCTCGGCAGATCCACACGCCCAGCCTCGGGCTCGGCGCGGGCTCGGCGGTGTTCGAGCATTGGAGCGGTGGCCATCGGGGGTTGCCATCAGAACACAAAGCACAGGGCACAAGGCAAACAAAACAAACGCAAACAAACAGGGCACAAACCAAAAAGCCAACGACCAACAACAAAGGCACAAGATTAACAACAACTAAACACACAACGACCATATCAGCAAACAAAAAATCGGGCCGCCAATTGTCCAGCCAAGGTTGCCAACCTCGGGGTCCATATTTCCCAGAAGGCACAAGCCACCCGAGTCAAAGGCATGAGTGGCTTGGGCCGAGTGCCGGCCCCGTCTGAGTGTTTGGGTTTGACCTAGGCCGCCTACGAACACAACTGGCTGTTGAGAAAGTGTTGGACTGAAAGCTCAGTGCAAGCAACCGGGCTGCAAGTCATGGTTTCGCAGCTTCGGAAACATGTTGTGCCACTCACCAACCAGAGACTGCTGACCGGCAAATGAAATCAACAGGCTACTACTTGTCCTTGAGATAGTTTAGACTTGAGCCAGGCAAATCTTGCCAGATCGCAAAGTGCTTGTTTGCTGATTGGCAGCTGGAAACACATGGCCATTGCTCACCCCGCAAAACATAGCTAGCACTTCCCGTCTTGCGCTCGCCAGTAATCCCGTGGGAGTGCATTTGTTCACCAAAAAAAGTCAGGCTCGCCTCCCAGGTTTCTTGTTTAGCTACTCTCTTTTCTTCGAGCACCACTTTTGGGCTGATTTCAGTTTGAAGTTCAAAGTGAAATCAGCCCAAATCAAAAGTGGTGAACCTCCATTTTTTGGCCCCATTTCACTATTTGATTTCAGTTTCAACACCCACTTGTTGGACCCACCTCAACAGTTTCACGTCCTCTCAAAGGCACGGCATCTGCAGCGCCCAAACGTTGAAGAGGCTGGGCACCAGGGTCTGCAGCTGGAGGTTTTTGATCTGCGCTCCCAGCATCCAGCTCCACTCCTCGCAAGTCGAAATCCATGGGGCGATTTGCATCTGGGTCACCCAGAACTCACTTCCGATCGAGTGGATTGGACGAAAAAGTCCAAACTTTGATTTGCCACCAAAATGGTGTTCCCAGAAAGGTTAAAGTCCAGGAACTCGGGGAGTGAGAACGAAGTTGATCACCTTTCGGAACCTCAAACAAAGGTCAGATCCGGTCGGTTCGCTTTGTGCCTTGGTGAGAATCTAGAGGCCATTTCGCAAGCAAGTTGGTGAGGTACCTGGGAACCGCTGGGGCAAGATTATGATTTTGCACTTCCCCGCAAACCACCGCGCGCGGAAACGGGGTATATCAATTGTATCTATAATACCGTTTGTTGTGTCTAGTGGCAGTACATCGCATTCAAGCCCCCTGGGTAGTGATTTGGGCATAGTGGAAACCATTGAGAAAAGCGGCCCCTGCAATGCTGTAAGGCGCACCTAGAGACTAGAGGCTATGGATTGGCCATCTAGTATACTTGCTACACTTACAGGTTTCAACTCCAACTTTGCGTTTTAACCAAGCCATATGGGGTCCGTACCCGTGTCTTTTTTGGAAGGCTCCAAGCATGAGATTTGAAGAAGAGGTGCGCGAGTTTGGTTGGGCACACCCCCATTTGAACAACATAGCAGCCCAAGGGGCGTCAAACCAAATGCACGGCCGAAAAAACAATGCTTAGAGTTGCAAGGTGGATCCAGTCGAGTAATTGTGCAGTCTTCAAATGAGCTCTCAACAACTGCCTATATGTTGGAACCATGGTGTGTATGGGATGTTTGGATGCACGTTGGAAGCAACGAGAAACGGTCGCGCCATATAGAATCAAGTCAAGTCGTGACACGCACGTAGGCTGCTCTGAAGGGCGGTTTGGCGTTTAGAAAGTACAAGACATTTAGCGGAATAGTTGATCTTCCGCATTTAGTGAACGCTTGCTGATGTTGAGGGTTGGATCATCTGCCTTGAAAGCACAACAATCCGATGTACTCATTTGACGCACGCATTCAATATTCTACAGCCGCGATTTGAATTGAATAAGTCAATACCGTCACGTCAGAATTGCGGCGCGTGGGTTGGACACAGAATGCATGGGCTTCACACTCACGCAGGAAAAGGAAAGCAACAAAAAACTAAATTTGAACAGATTCACCTGTTTGAGACAGCAACCACATGAAGAGTCAAACTAGAAACGCGTGACTGCCTACGCGGCCTTGACAGTGTTCAGTGATAGCGTAGGCACTACTCCTGCCTACAGTATGTTTGCGAATAAAACGAGTTCACTTTCATGTAGGTCCCCCACTTGGGGATCCCTAATGTCGGGTTATGGAATCAGTGTAAACAAATGCGGATATGCGCTATAGAAGATCGGTTTCAATGCTGATGAGTGGAAGAGTGGACATGAACAAATATGACAACTGCAGGAGCAGCTGAAAACACTTCAAATACTTAATCTCCAAGAGTTCCACTTCACTGTCACCCGATGCCACCCTTGGCAGTCTTGCTTTTGGTCCGCACAGGGAGTCGCACGGGCACAAACCAAACCATGTGAGCGCTCCAATGCTCCAATAGCGAGGCTCCTTCTCTGTGCTACTTATTTGCCCAGAAGACCAATCTGAAATCAAAGGCCAAACTGTTAAAACCATGGCTGAAAGGTGGGCTTTGGTCTGTTGAAACTGATCCCTGCTGCAACATGCAAAACACAACAACACACGCACACGAGTTCAAGTATCTCTTAGGAGCCAACAAGCGTATCTTGACCACCCACCCACCACCCATCCACCCATCCACCCACCACCCACCCGCCCGCCCGCCCGCCCGCCCAGCCGCCCGCCCGCCCGCCCGCCCGCCCGCCCACCCACCGCTTCTTCAGCGCAGCAGCCGCCACCCCACCCCACCCAACCCAACACCCCAACCCCACCCCAGGCCCCAACCCAACCCCACCCCACCAAACCCCAACCCCACCCAAACCCCACCCAAACCCCAACCCCCACCCAAACCCCAAACCCCGCCCCAACCCCAACCCCAACCCCAACCCCACCCAACCCCAACCCCACCCACCCCCAACCCCAACCCCAACCCCAACCCCAACCCCAACCCCAACCCCACCCACCCCCAGCGCGCTCCTTCTTCAGGAAGGGCTTGCGCCCGAAAAGGCACAGCCCCTCTGCCGGGTCCAAACTCAGCGGCCCGTCGCAGCGCAGCAGCGGGCTGCTGGGGTCGCAGATCTCCAGCGCCACCTCCCCGTCCAGCCACACCTGGCCAATGGCATGGGGCTGGTCGATTTCCCTCAGCCCAAAGGACCCAGAAACAAGAGGCGATCACCTTTTGGGGCCATGGCTATAAAACAGAACCCAATGAGGGAAGCCAAAAGGTTAAAAGGGCAGCTTTGGGCGAGTGAGTTTGTGGTAGGGGTCCCTATGTTTCCGCACCACGAAATGAAACCATTGGAATGAAACCCAAAGCGTTGTTGGTATTTACAGGGGAATCGAATCGGAAACCAGGGTTGCAGAACGGTGGTTCTGAATGTTACTATGTTTTCTCAAAAGGAGTAGTTCCCTACAGGGTGGTTTCCCATAGTTGTCAGGGCCCCCAACGAGGGGAGCCCCGAGAAAAGGCCGCCAAAGGGATTCTTATCCGCCCCTAATCGACCTTTATAACCGCCGTTGTTCAGATTTCTTGGGAGAAGACACCGAATTTTCCCAAGAGATGCCCACCAGAGCCACCATTTGGGTACTGCACCCCTTTTTTTTGGCTTGGAGGCTCTATTCCCAGGCCAAGACCTGAGACTGGGGCTTAGCCACTGCCGGCTTGCGGCAGCTGGATGCTGCCACACCACACGCCCAGGGTGTTTGAAAAGTGCTAGCCCCTGACAGACCAATTCGCTTCGCAAGGTCTACGTTCTCTCCCCCCTCGCTCGCGTCTCGCGTCTCGCGGCGTTCGTCCGAGGCGCAGTGACTTTGGAGTTGGGCAAATCCACACTCAGCGTGAGCGCGTGCCAGGCCCCAGCCTGCACCTGGCGAATGGAAGGCGCCGTGGGCGCGTGGCTTTTTAGGAAACGGGCCACCCAAAAAAAGCGGGTGTCCTTTAGTTTGATTTGACAAAAAAAAAAAAAAAACACCGCATCGCGTGTTTTCCCAAATCAGATCACAATATGTGGCAGGTATTAAAATCCTGAAAGATCAATAGAGACAAGTTGATTCTCAGTCCGAGCACTTCAACATGGTTTGGGTTGGCATTCCAACCCGTTTTGCACAAACAAATGAAAACCACTGCTAAAAGCGGTTTTTGCTTTGCCTTCAGAGAGTGACCCAAAAGGACCGCCGCTTTGCACCGGAAGTCTCGATCTGAATAATCTTTGGCTCGGCCTTTCTTGGGCGGCTCAGAGCAACTCGAAGCCTCCGAAAAAATGACATCGAGGCTTTCTAGGGGAGTTTCCCCTAACTTTTCACTTGCCAATTCTATTTTGCGGGTCTCCCCCCTCAAAAATTAAGAAACAAATATATGGTACCTTCCCCATTCTTTCCAGGGATCCTTCTATCTAAAGAACCGCCAGAAACCCCCAGAAAAAAGAGAAAAAAAAGTAGGGTTGGTTGAAAAGAGCGATGGTTGAAAGGAATGGGGAATCAACCCATAGAGACTCGGTTTTCTCTGCGGCATCTCTGCGAAAGGGAACTTATTCTGTTGGGATGGAGACCCTCGAAATGGTTATATACCAGGTATGCTGAAGTACTCCTTGCCGTTTGAGATACAACTAAGCTTGCAAGGCCGAGTGCAAATCTCGCAAAGGATCTCTCCAACACAAACATTCATGGGATTGACCCGAACTTAACACGCACCCGGTACGTGAATCTTCCTTCAAAGTGATGTTGCAATAAATCGCCCTGCAATGGCTTTGTGTCTGCCATTGTCAACAATGCCCGTGCAAGGAAATTGCAATAGTCCCTTTCTACGCATCCTTGCAGTGGCCTGAAACATCCTGAAACCCAATTGATGCATCAAGAACTGATCTTCACTTAATTGTTGCATCCAGTCGGTTTACGTGCGATACCTACTACAATCCACGGCAAATGGTGTATGGCAAGCATTGAGCACCACCCGCAGGCAGTCACTCACTTGTGCACTTGGGAATGTCCCCTAGAAATGGCTGGTCATTACGAACGCTCGAGTCTAAAAGCCCTGTAAATGCAGCCGCGAACCTTGGGGGTTGCCAAATACAGTTGCCACAAAGTGAAAAATGGAAAACCACAAGGAAATCATCAGCTTGATTCACCTGGAAAAGTGAAAACAATGAAAAGCAGGTGGCGACCGACTCTGAATTCAAAGGTTGGGGTAGATCATCCCCAACCACCACCTCCAGAAAACAAAACAATAGACGTTGCCAGGTGAAAGAAGTGTGAACTCTATGATGGCCAGACCTTTCCAGTGCAAGGGCCTGACTTCCGCAAGCAAGCCCAGGTATTTTGTTGAATGGAGTTGAACCAAACTGATTCAAACTCATGTACCTGTTTGATTCCATGTATCTATGTCAGCTAGACTAAACCAACAAGGAGACCCATGCTCCTTCGTTTGCCTTTGATTTCCTTGGATGCCAATTTGCTTATTCTCCTGAACGGTGCCTGCTTGATTCCCGGAGTCCCAAGTCTCATGCCAGCAGGCGTCCCCCTATGCCCCTCCCAAATGAAGCACAGACTGCTGTTCAATTTGGGTTTGTCCTTTCTGATGGCACCATTTTTTGGGGGTGTTGTATAAAAGGAAAGAAAAGGACACCGAGCATTTGTGAGAGGTGCCCCGAAAACGGCTCCCCCATTCTGACCAAACCCCACGTCCTCCGACTGACCTTCGATTGACCGAGCCGAAAAGGATCGACCGCACCTTGGCGCCGGAGGTCCACGGCACCAGCTTGCTCTTCCCCGTGCCCGTGTTCCGGTTCGAAGTCTCCTCAGCGTCGGATCGGCTCGCCGGCTCGAGCCGGAGATCCGGGATCCGAAGGCGCGGCTACCAGTTTCTGGTCCGGCCGACCCGGCGAACAGGAAATCGAAGGCTCACGGCTCCGAACCCAAAGTGGGAGTTGGTTTGTCCGCGCTCCTGCAGAATGTACCCACCATGACAATCCCGCGAACGCAAGAGAACACACCAAGCATGGATGAAGAAGACAAAGCCGAGACAGGAGTGAACAACACAGAAGAGCTAACACATTGCCTATACTCACTGCCACCCACGTTGAGATATGAGCATGCAAAGGTTTATGGACAAAAATCCACCACCAAATGTGGATCGATGAAAAAGACTTGCCAACATGTGCACAAACAAAATGGATTGTTCCCCAACCAAGTATGACATTGCAACATCTGGTTCTCCCCATCTCCTCTGCCCATGTGATATAGTATGCTAAGTGGGTGTATTGTTTTAGGCAATCCCAAAACCATGCTTGTCCTTGGTTTACCTTTCAACCAACCCCAAAAAGGGTACCCTTTTCAAGAAGCAGACCCGAATGGCAACCAAGAAGGTTCAGCTGAGCGACAGCCATGCAAATAAGTGTATGCACAAATCACGCCAACAAACATCAATCGGAGCGTCACACAAACGAGCCATCATGAAATGTTGCTTGGGATCCTAAAGGCCAAAACCTCTCGACACTAACTAGGTTCGTTTGTGGGGGGATTGATTGGGTGGCAAGATGCCAAATCAAAGATCTACTCTTCCATAAACAAACATGAGCGTGACTACTGGCGTGAGGGCCGCTTTGTCCATTTTCACACGTTGCACCCCCCCGAACCGATCCGAATCCCCTATAGGCAAAGACACTCCACTACGATAGTCTTCAGTTGATGCAGGTGCCGGTACAAACCCACAAGGCGACAAAAAATCATCATAAGCTCCCTTTGAAGCCACCTGGGAAAGAAAGCACCTCGAGAAAAGGAACACAACTTGTCGCTTTGCTCGGGTCCCGAAAAGAGCCGAGACCTTGGATCTGGGGAGCTCCCCCATGTGCCGAAATGGACGCCGAATCTTGGTGAACCCGTAAGTTGTCTCTGCAGGATTTCCTCTATTGGCCAAACGGTTGTGCGTTGGTTTCAGTTGAAGAGCGCCAAAACAGGGCCGAAACCTCAAAAAAACGCGGCGAGCCGATTTTGAGCCGAATCTGTATCCGCCGGGGCACGAACCAGGAAGCCTGACCGCAGCGCCGCTTGGGGGGGTGGTAGCTGGTCTCCTGGCCATGAAGCACCTGAAGGCAGGCTGCGGAATCCAGACGCTCCAAACGGACCCCACATGGCGCTGGGGCATCTGTTTTTTGTTTTTCTCCCGGCTTTTTCTCTTGGTGTTTTTTTTGGGGAATCGTTTTTGTCTTTTAGAAGTCCCCTGTTTTTTTTTTTTTTTTTTTTTTTTTTTTAATTTAAGAGGAAAACGCTCCTACATTCAAAACAAAATCATTTGGAAGCTGAGTCCTAGGAATTCTCAGAGTTGGAACCACCTCGACACTGTTGAACAAGAATCCACACACACACACACCGCAAGAAAAGGGGCCCAACCACCACCAAACACATGAAATTGCCCTTTGAAAAGTACAACGTCAACATTCCAAACTAATTCATGCGGGATCGCTGAAAGAGGCAGCCAACAGATTCCGGGATGTCCTTTGCCGATGTCCGCACATCGCCCCGCAAGTCACGTGCGGGGTTAAGATCACCCTCTTACGAAAACCTGGGAAACTTCTGGTTCCTGCCACACCACAGCTACCTTCCCAGGCATCCGACCCCTGGTGCAAACAAACAAACAAACAACCAAGCAAAACAAACAATGCAAACCAACACGACCAATCGACCGACCAACCAAACAACCAACCAGCCAACAAACGAACAAACAAGACAAACAGCCAAACGGAGAGACATAGAGACAGAGGGACAGAGGGCCTCAGAGACAGAGGGACAGAGGGACAGAGAGACAGAGGGACAGAGGGACAGAGGGACAGAGACAGAGAGACCGAGAGACACAGAGACAGAGAGACAGAGAGACAGAGAGACAGAGAGACAGACAGACAGACAGACAGACAGACAGACAGACAGACAGACAGACAGACAGACAGACAGACAGACAGACAAGCAAGCAAGCAAGCAAGCAAGCAAGCAAGCAAGCAAGCAAGCAAGCAAGCAAGCAAGCAAGCAAGCAAGCAAGACAACACCAAAAGCAGAACAAAGCAGCCAACTAAAACCGTGATAAAACAAATGCCAGACCCCTCCCCCCAAACCACCTTTTTCCGCATCTTACCAAACTCACCCCTCTCTTTCTCTCTCTGTCTCTCTCTGTCTCTCTCTGTCTCTCTCTGTCTCTCTCTCTCTCTCTCTCTGTTTCGTCACTCGGAACATCGCTCGGCTCGCGGGGACTCGGCTCATGGGGACTCGGCAGCTTGGCAGGCGGCAGTCGATCCGCGCCTTCCAGGTGGATTGGTCGTTGGAGGCCTCCAGTCGCCACTCCACGGGGTCCAGCTGCTCCTCCGAGGGCGCTGTGCGGAAGCTGAAGCTGTCGATCAGCGCCTCGGCTTCACTCGGCTTCGGCGGGGTGAGTTCTCGCGGTGGCCCAAAACGGGGTTTTCCACGGAAGAACGGGGAGACCAAAAAGAAGGCCCGGAGTGGGTGTCTTTGAAACTGCCATGATTGGTTTGACCCTTGAAAGGAAGCACATTCTGGAATCAGAAAGGGGAGGGATGATCTTCGAATCTTGGCGAATCCGACATGAGAACAGTAGCATTTGCTGACTGAATCGGAACCACGCCAACGCTCCTGAGGCAGGGGTGTCTGAACAGCTCTGTTGGACATGGGCTGCGGACAATTTTGTTTGTGCCCCGCACAAACCCGAAAAAAGTCGCGCGTGAATGGTTGGCAGCTAGGCGCTGCACGTGCACAATCAACACTGCAACACATTTCACAGTTTGCACAAAATGACGGGTGTCTCAGAAGGCAAAAGTCGGCGAATGTTCAGCCCGGCTGTTATAGAGGGCGGTGCAGCTTGGTCGTCGGTGCCACCGCAGAACTTCTCTCAGTGTCTTCTCATGGGAAACCAGGCCGCCCCTCTTGGAGATCAAAAACGAATCCATGATCAACCAGGTGCTTGTCCGACTTTGGCTTCCCGTTGAGACGAGGCCGCGGCTTCAAGCTGGGCCCCAAATGAGTGGACCAAACTGGTGGACTTCCTGTTGGTTTTCCTTTAGCCTGCCAAAAGGGTACCCTCGAAACCCAACCAAATGCACGCACCAGTGTTCGGAGGACTCAAGTGGACAGGAGGGGGGGGGTCCCAAAAGGAACAAATGTCTTCCAGAACCCTCCTGTCAGTGCTCTGCCATCAAAGCGATGGGAACAGGCCTCACAGACCCAAGGAAAACCATGTTTTTGTGAAATCCTCCATGAAGTATCCCCCCCCCACTCTGTTATACAACTTTAAGGAGAGGGTCAGCTCCCATTGTTGGAGGCTCAGCTACCCCCGTCTTTCGGACAGGGCGCCGGCTTCGGGAGCTTGATCACCAGGGGGCTCAGCACTGAGGTGTGCCACCTGAACCGAACGCCATCGATGCGATGACATCGCCCCGGTCCGGTAATGTCCTCAAACGGACTCTGGTCTTCGGGTGGAAATCTGGGAAACCAACTTGTTTTGGTTCCTTCTTTCTTGTTTCTTTCTTTTTCTTTCTTTCTTTCTTTTTTCTGGGGTGGGGGGGTTCCCCTACTTGTTTCTCAGACCCCTTCAACACGAAACTCACATTTGTTCACCCCAACTCAAGAAAACTTACGGGCAAAAAAGGATTTCCCCACTTCCCAAACGACTTGCAGGATTCTCCAAACGATTCATCCCGAAATCGCGCCCAACATCTATCCATATCCCTGACAGTAGCTTTCCTCTCAGGCAGGTGCCGTGACTTTCAGCCCAATCTCCAACCCATCTTCCGCTTTAGGCAACCAACCAAGACCAGCCCCCAAACAAAACCCCATACCAAACCTAAAGCAAAACAAACCCCAACCTAACCAAAAACCAACCTAACCCCAAAACAACCCAAACCAAAACACAAACCCAAACCCAACCTAAACCCAAACCTAAACCGAACCCAACCCCAAAGCAATACCAATGCCTCGCCCCGGCTCCGCGTCTTTTTCTCCGCGGTTCCGCTTCCGCCCCGCCTGGTGGAGGTCCTGCCGTCGATGGCGTTCTGCGGGCCCTCCCCGTCCGCGCATTGGCCGTCCGGGTTCTCCGCCGTGGCCTCTGCGAGGTCCAGCTCCACGCCCTCCTTGCCGACGAGACCGGCGCGGACGAGGCGCGGACGACGCGGACGAGACGTGCGTCTAAGCGGACGCGGAAGGCGAGGACGGCTCCAAAGGCGGCAGGGCGGTGAGGAGGAGCCCGTCTTTGGGTTGGTGTTTCAAGAGAAAAAAGAACAGAAGGAAACTCAGAAATCCACATGTTTTTGGGGAGGAGACAAAATATTTTGAGAAGCTCCGGAATGGCTTGGTTTCCCTTCGTGTCTAACAAAATTGGTCTCCAAAGAGGTTGTCTGACGGGGCAAACCGGTGGTTCAGTTTTTGGTTTGCCTCTTTGTCCAACTCCGAGGGCACCGAGCCTCAAAAAAATACACCGAGCCCCAGATGGGTCTGTGACTCGAAATGGGCGCCTAGCGTCTTTTTTTGAAGGGTACCACCCTGTTTCGGTTGGTTTTGAAGGGACAACTAAAGGGAAAACCAAAATCCATTTGTGCGGGGGGGCCTAAACAAAGACCCACCCAAATAGGGGTACCCCAAGAATGGGGGGGTCCTGCTGCTTTCGCTTCAAACCAAACCTTAAAACGGATCTGTCAAAAAAGCACGCATGGCGAAATGGAAGAGTCGGACTTGGCAGAAAGAGGTGGTCACAACAAGAAAACTCTGAGGGTGAGACTTGGGGGGGTCAAAGTCAAATCTAAGTTTTCTTTGAGGGGGAACCCCCCGAAAATGCTTGGATTCCCTCCAGCCTTGCCAACAGTAACCCTTGAGAACACCACGCACACACACACATGGCTGTGGCTCAAAAAACCGGTACCAAAATGGAACCCTGGTGAATGGAACCAAAGACTAAAACCCGCGTAACCCCCCGTGTTTAATTTTGAGCCACACACACACATGGGCGTGACTCCCCTGCTCGCCGCTGTTTGATCCGCCGGATCGATCCGCTCCTTGCGGAGCAGCAGCTGCCCCAGTGCCACGCCGTTCACCGTGTCGCCGCCGCGGACTTTGGTCACCACCAGGCGGAAGAACTTGAAACCTGGGAACTGTCGGCTGCCAGGCACACGAGCCGTGGCCAGTGAGGAGAGAAGAAAAAATCGGGGGCCGCACGCTTTGTTCGCTTTGGCTTGGACGCAAGTTGGCCAAAGCTACTCGTCGGATGCCTTTCTTTCGCTCGGAGCCTTGTGCTCCAAAAGCCGAAGCTTTGGGGCCGCTAGGCCGGTGGTTTGGGGATGCACCATCACCGCGCATTACTTGGACTCCGGCGCCTTTGCAGCAAGTCACCAAACGCAACCTGGGACTGGGAGACTCAAGACAATCGAAAACTGGCGGGTCTTAGGCTTGGATTTCGTGCCTTGATTTTTTTTCCTTCGGCTTGAGGATTGGCCCACAGGGGAATTACTCAACCCTGGTGCAATCATTGGCCACAAGCCAAACCATTGGCCAACATCAACTTTAGGAACTCTCCGCATGTCTAACAATTGATCAAAAAGTGCAGTCCTGTACCCCAGTCAGCAGGGAGTACCTAATGGCTCCATAGCTCCAAGGAGCCGAAACCGTGGTACGCCTTCCTTCGACAGCGACTGGAATCATAATTCAAGTGTATTCCCCATTCTTTTCAAAGAACCTTGCTGCCAGACAAGTTGTCCAATACAAAATGGAATTTGTGTTGTCTGAAAAGAACCATGGGTGAAAAAAGGAATCAACCTTTAGAATACTCAACGGCTGGTCCTCTCCAACCCCATGCATCAAAAAGGAAGCAGCTCCAAGGCTGCATGTATCAATGAAACAAAACTGTTTTCGGGGCCCTGTTTTGAGAAACCTGCTGTGGGTGTGAGTTTCAACTAGGGACCCGTGGGCGGAAGTAAATGAAGATTCATGCCCACCAACCATTTTCTCGAATGGTTCCTATTGACATTCATTGCCATACTGCCATATGAGTGGTCAAGAGCACTTGTTCTCAAGGGTCGTGGGAAAACTAGGGCTCCCCTGGGTTTGGGAAATTGAGTGACCCACGTCCTGAACCCCAAATGGACCATAGACTGGACATTTTGAAAAAAGCTCATATCCTGTGCTCGACTGGTGATAGTGTCCCAATACATGGATCATGTAGGGAGAGTTTCTTCAACCTTCTGGGCTTCCTTTTTTCACGAACCCGTTGGAAATCAAGCAAGATACTTGTGTCGAGTCCGGCTGTACGACATTCTGCACCAATTGGTATGACGAAACACATAAAACAACTGCGGTAGACCACCCTACCAACTGGTGCAGGATCTTCCCCATGCAGGGACAACAAACACGTTCCCATTTGAGTAACTCACTGATCTTACAGGAAATCTCAGGTTACCATTTGGGTTCAAAATCAAAGCACCAGGACAGGGACCGCAGGCTGGGCCTTGCCAGTTCGGGCAAACCCATTTCGGGGTTACCCTATTTTTGACAGAGCACACCCATTAGAAAACGGGATCCTTTTCTGGGAATCCCATGCCTGACATCGCCTTCTGCATGCCGCGGCACCGTTGGCATCTCCACGCTTCTCCAGGGCGTCGATGGTGGATGGCAGCGGCGTGAGGCCTGTCCAGCTGCCCAGCGCGATGTTTGGGGAAACTCGCTTGCCCAGAGCACCTGGACTAGGTCCTCCAGAAGTTAGAACAAGGCTACCAACTTTTTTCTGTAGTCTTTTTTTTGGTAGGGGACCCGAAAAAGGGTCAAAGGGCACTACTGGGGGACCTAGTGGAAACAAAAAAGGTTCACCTTTTGGAACCTTGACCAAACATGGACCAAATCAGGGAAACCAAAAAGGTGAAAAGGTCGGCTTTGGGCAAGTGAGCAAAAAAAACAACCCCCAAAACACGACAAAAACGCGGCTTGGCAGGGGTCCTTCCGCACAAAAAAAACGCCCCGAGGCAAAAAGAAACCACCTGTAAATTGAAACTGTTGAAGGGGAAATCCAGTGAGCCCTGCTGTGGGGTACATTTTGGCCGCCCAACTTTAGCAGCTGTTGCAAAGGAATTCTACATGTGAAGGTTTTTCGGTGATCCTTTAAAGAGCCCTGTTTGGGGGGGGGACTTTTGGGTGAAATAGCTGGCAAATTCCTTTGTGTGGGCAAAAAAGAGAGAATCCGACTGAAATGAGGAACTGTGACATCTGCTTTCACCCGACTGTACTTGGAGAAGCCACTAATATGTTCGAGCATGCACTAAACAGCAAAAGAGGGGTCCACGTGGTCTCGCAATGTACTTGAGCTGCTTCCAGAAGACAGGGAAGGCCCTTAGTAAGGAGGTTGATAGGTCGAGGGCTGCATGGGACCGACATGGTTTCCCATGTCTTATCAATAACAACAAGTGGCACGATTTTTTTGTAGGCCCCCCCCCCACAAATGAAAGAGGTTGGTTTTGCATTTGGTTCACCACCAAACAAATTGGGGGTTCTAACTCCAAAGGAAAAACGCCAGCCTTATCCCTTGTGGGAGGCTTTGGGCTGCGATACTTGTCTTTGGTGAGTGGATGGACAAAATCGAATCGCACCAGTTGTGATTGACGGTGTATCCTGTAGGTTTTATCCATCCCAAGTGGTGCGAAATGGAGTTCGTTCACACATACCACTGTGACAAGCTAGTTTCTATTTTTATCCCATTTGTGACTACCCTCTTTCCAATCATGGCAGTGGACAGAGGGTTCTTCACAACGAAAAATCGTCTTCCAAAACCCTCCTGTCAGCTTCCCTGAGTTGTTGGAGTGTGTTCTGGTGCACAGATAAATTCTTTGCACTAGCAGTCGCACCTTGTTTTTTCCCCCTCGGATTTTGGCGCCCGGAGGCCCAAAAAAAATCCGCAGGCCCAGAAGCGGGGCCTGTGCAAAGACGTCCCAGCGCTTCCAGAGAGACCGGGGACCAGCCGCCGTTGTGGCGGACCCACTTCACCCCGTTCCTCGGTGTTTGGGAGTCGCCTGGGAGCGCTTTCTGGAAAATGGGCCCAAGCGCGCGAATTTTTTTGGAAGGGTACCAGGCATTGCCCTGGTTTATCCCCCCCAGCGAACAGGGGGTGGCTGGAGTTGCAAAGGGACTGCCCCCAAAGAGCAACAAACCAGTGAGAACGATTGTTTCCCGGATCTTTTTGCAGCTTTCAAGTATGTTGGCAAAGCATCCACGGAAACGCCCGGAACACACCGAAACGTCAAACGCCCCAGGACCAAACGTGCCTGTCCCCAAAATAGGGGACCGCCAAAATGGTTGGATTCCTCTTGGCTTCCTCGTTGAATCCATCGAAAGGGGGAAGGATCACTGGACCAAATGTTGTAGACTCGTGCTAAGGCGGGGCAAGGGGGGTTTCTGCTGCTCCTTTTGCATCAGTTATCTTCCTTTAGCTTCCTTTATGATCCTTTTGCTTCCTTTAGTTTCCTTTTGCGTCCTGTAGTATCACTTCCTGAGCCAAAAGAAGTACTCAAACTTGATGCTTGCCACTAAAATGGCCCAAACCCAAAATTTGACTGAAGTTCACTAATAAAAAAAATAAAACAGGAAGTGAGTAGTTTCCTTTCTTGCTGGTGCTCAGTAGGGAATGACCGAGTCCGGGTTTTGGGAATGAACCGGAAGATGATTTCCAAGTGAAGGAAACCAAATCAAATGGATGGATTATCGCGGGGTCCTTGCATTTCTCATTCCCTACTGAGAACCAGTGGGAGGGTGCCTGGAAGATCAGTTTCATCTTGGAGGGGCCATTCCCCTTTAACATTCCCCTTCTCCTCGACCGGAAAGGGGAATTCCCGAAGAAAGGCGCGCATTCTAGGTCCTCCAGTAGAGAAGGTAGAATAAGGGTACCAACTTTTTTCTGTAGTCTATTTTCGTCGGGGAACACTCCCCAAAAAAAAGAAACGGTAAAAGGGCACGATCCTGGGGGATCTAGCATTGGGCTCATGAGCCATGCACTGACCGATCGCCCGAACCGCTCCATCGCTCGCGTCTACCTTCGACCTCCGTCAGAGGCGCTCCTCCGCCAGCGCCAGCTCCTCGAAGCCCCACTGCGCCTGCAGGGACTCCGCGCCCTCCGCCTGCCGCGACGGCTTCACCTCAGGCGGGCGCTGACAGGGGGCGCTGGAAAGCGCGGGGGAGGGGACGCGGAGGGAGGTGAAACCCTCCAACATCCAATCCGTCCACTTACTTTTTCGACTGGACAAAATGCGAAAACGTTTCGAGTAGTGAAATCGTTTGCATTTCAATCCAATGTGGGAAAACAAACAAACATAGTCTGAAGCAAATGGAAGAATCCAAATCTTAACTAAGGGTTGCCTGAAACTGAATTGCATTTCCTTTGGTTTTTCTTGAATTCCAATCTGAACTCAAACCACCACTCAGGGGTTACCTTCAAAGGCTGATTGTATGGGTCCAGGTTAGACCCATGTATGAACCCATGTTGCCATGTTGGACCGTAAAAGGGGGCTGGTTTCCCGTAAATAAGCCATAACCAACGAATAATTAAGTAATTCACCATATAGGGGTTCATACTCAAAATAGAAATGCGTGCGTCAAAATAGGAGGATCCCCAAAATGGCGTTCCTCTACGTTCCAGCAATATTTCCCACCCATGGCCCTGCCAGGCACCCCCAGAGCCAACCTTAAGCAGAGTCTACGCCCCTACTCCAAACCCTCTCTCAACCTGAATTGAAAGACCTAATCAACCTCTCTAGTAAGGGGGCCCCGTTAATCAACAGATAAGGGACCCGATCAATGGTAAAAGAGGGGCAACGAATCATCAACCCTTCGTTCATCAACCCAGGAATCCCCACGAATCCCCCTCCACGGGGTTCGGGACATCCAATGGAACCTGACTGGGGGGTTCGGTTCCGTCTTGGAGTCAAAGGGACCTCTTCCGTGCTCATGGCTTGCTGGTCAGGGAATGAGAATGACCCCAAGAAAACCCATCCAACTGGTGGTTGCCTTTAAGGGAATCCCCAGGTTCATTCTCTCATTCCCTAAAGAACCAGCAAGATGATTCAGCCCTCGCATAGTGCCGAGGTGGAACAAGGAGACGCAACAGAACACGTGGGGAATAATGATCTGCTTAAAAATATGATGGAGATTGGTATCATTTGGTATCCAGCTACCTGGCCCACGCAGGATGGACTCTGCGGATACCGTTCTTCTACCCCAATTTCTAAGTCATGCATCTGCGGGTTTGTGCTTTCTCAAGGGAGGCACCTTTTAACAACCCCAGGAAGGGTCGAAGGATTCACCCAGATCCCTAGGCGACTGCCAAGTGGCGTAGACTGGCCACGTCTCCACATTGTCAGGCAACGTCACCTCAGTCACCAAGCTTGCTCAGTTCGCTTCAAAGCAGTGACCCTTCTTACTCTGTTGGTTCCCTTAACATGACCAGCCCTACCAACCCCTAAAGGAGCATGACTGCAGCATACTTAGCAACAGTCTTTCAAGCTAACAATTGTCAAACTCGTCCAAGCGTTTGGCTAAGTCGTTCGTTTGATCCGCAACATCGTGAAACAACTTCGGTCAAACATAATTTGGATCGTAAAGCACGTTGGGATCCGGAGTACGGTTGCTAGCAATTCAGCCTAATATCAAACATGTGTTCTTGCTTCATGGTTCTGAGGGACGGTTTGGAGAAGCAAAAACTGTGCCTCGGTATCCGAATCCAATGTACCTTTTGAACCTCTTTTGTCGTGGTGCGCCACGCCACAAGGGCAATTGTGGATGAACGAAATCCTGCACCACCCAAGAAACCACAAGAAACCATGGTGCAGGATTTCGTCCATCCGCAGTATGCCATCACGTTGTTGGCCGCCATGGATAAGATTACACATACACCAGAACGGTAGCCGCCTTGTCCTCGATCGACAAACCAACGAGGGGCAATGCCTAGCGCGCAGGTGGATATAGGAAACTCAAGTCTAGGACCTAGCAGTAATTCTGTCTGGCAGTTTGCACAAACCACTTATACCTTTGGGGCGGCCGAAATTGACACAAGGCCTGCCGAAATTGATGCAAGTTTGCCTCGACTGGTTGTGTTCCTTCGGGAATGGCGCGTGTAGACCAGTCGGCAACTTGCTTTTTGTTCAAAGGGCCCACCTTGCAGAACTCGGGAACCAGCCCACTTTTCACCTTGAGGCCTCGAGAGACGTCCATACTGTGGGTTAAGTGGGGACACGCCTTGGGCTGTGTCAAAACAACTGCAATGAGTCTTGTGGTTCCGGAGCCGCAGTTTGAGGGCCACAAAACCATGTCTGTGTGGGTGTCAAAACAACGGGATACCTGCTGGCTGCCACTAAACCAATCTTTAAAAGTACCCTCAAACAAACCCACGCTCATATCAGTGGGCTAAAATTGGGGATCCCCAAAAATTTGGGTTTTCATTTGGTTTCCCTTTAAAGCAGCCCCAGAAAGGGTTTCCTTGAAACGACGCCATTTTCATGCGAAGGCACGCGCCACTGCTTGCGCAGCTCCATCAACTCCGCGATCGGCTTGTACTCCTTTGCCTCAAATAGTCTTCGTTCGGGCTTTCTGGGACGTTGCTCCAAGAGGGATCCTGCATGCTTGGGGTGTCCGTGTCACAAGCTTGCTGTTGCTCCATAGGGAATCCGTTCAGGGCGTTGGAAATGAGCCGGAAGGGGATTCGCTTTAAGGAAACCAAATCGGACGGATGGTTTTCTTGGGGGTCATTCCAACTCATTGACCTACTCCTCCATTTGCTTTTGTCCCCTGGAAAACACATCCAGTGGTGATAGATTCCCTTTAAAACCAACACGGGAAAATAAAACATATTCTTAACCGAATGGAGGTTACCGAGAAGCAGTAAGAAAAACCAGTTGACCGCTCGGCCAAGGTGCCGGGGGTTGGAGCTTGAAGGGCTGCTGCCCCACGTTCACAGTCATCGCCCCCTTGTCCCCCGGCGACAGAAGTGCCTCAGATGCCATGGCTTCAAACAACTCTTGGGGATGGTTCGGGCGTTTTCCGCTTCCCCACCATTTCAGGGGGTTAAGTCTCCAAAACCCCGACTTAAATGCCAAGTCCAAGGATGTACTTTCGCCTTTTTCAAGATGCACCGCATGTCCTTCTACAGTGGGAAGCCCCCGGGTTTTGCCTAATTCCAGGGAAAAGTCCTGGGGCTCAACCAGGTCAATGCGAGCAGAACCAGTCTAAGAGTCTAGGCAAACATCCAGAATGCTTGGTTCCCTTTCGAAACAACCCCAAGAAAGGTATAGTCAAAACAAACATGCCCGTACCGAAACCGAGACAGCGTTCTGTGACCTTGAACGCCAGCCAACCTTGCAACTCAAACACAGACTGCTCTCCAGTTCATACTGTGGATGGACAAAATCCGCACCACCTAACAAACCCTGGAATGATGATTATCTTGCACATACCTACGAATTATGGTTTCCCATGGTTTCCAAGTGGTGCAGGATTTCGTCCATCCACATTATTTGGTGTGCTTCACATGCGGGCCACAAGCCAAGTGGATTGCCTGGAACATGCTGTAACCTGCAACTTGTTGTCCACACATGACCCCAAGCACAACGGTGGGGAGGGTGTAAGTTGAATGTATCCATGTAAGCATAAATTGTTTGATGGCACCTAATAATTCAACTGCAGAGCTTCACACCATATGCATGATCGCTGTTCTTACAATATTGATGAACATATTCCAAAATGCATATGAGGGCCAAAACCATGATCAAAGCCTAATTTGTATAGGTCCATATATGAACCCGTGGCCCTGTTGGACCCTTCGGGGGCTCATGTTCAAGGATTAAGCCACAACTAATGGTTGGTTATTTAACCCGTACACCAGGGGTTCATATGGACATATGCATTCAGCCTTTGAACTTAGAATGTGGCTTACTCTCAAGCCATTATATTCACTCATGACCATACGATAACTATGCAATTACAACTTGTTCAAGGTTTAACTGGATGTCCCCTTCACCAGTTGGACAATTTACCGGAGGTGTCCAATGAAACTGCCGCTTTTGGAGGTTCTCTTGAAAGGGAAACCGCTCGGAATCCCTGTTACTGGCCCCCTAGTTTCACCAACACAGCCAGCCACCCACGTTCATCGACCACCGCCCCAGTGCAGTCCATCCATCGGGACGAAGTCCGAGGCACCACCAGCGGCAGGCCCACCTCCGCCGGCTTCTCCTCGTCCGCGAGCTGCAAGACCGTCTCGAAGGCGGGCTTGTCCAACGTGGCGATCCTCACGTGGCACCCCGACCCCGACGGGGAGCCCTTGCCCTTGAAGATGGGTTCCCGCTGTTTTCGTTACACCCCGCAAAACGCCAGCAAAAGGAATCTCACAAAGGAAATTGGCACATGATTGTTGTTGCGAATCTTCATTCATCCAGAGGACCTGGATTTAAAAGGTCCTTTGGAAACTTGACTTGCGGACCAAAACAGGAAAACCAACAACGGCTTAAAAGCGCTGAGAATCTTGTTGTTGGTTGTCCCAACATCGAACCCCAAAAAAAGGCGATGCCCCCATTAGATTCCCTTAAAACGGGTAGATTCAAGAGACACGCCCACATGATTCTATCTTCTTTTGGTGGCACCCCTCTGTCTTCTGGGCTTCCTTTAAAGGGAAACCGAAGGACACCCATCATTTTGGGATCCAAAAACAACCGACCGACCCACCTGGCGCACCCGGTCTAGGTCTTCCAGTACAGAGGTTAGATAGTTTATTTTAGTAAAGGAACCCTCCCTCAAACAAGGTCATTCCCCAAAACACAGGGGTCATTCTTCCCTGTTTGACGGGTCGTGGAGACTCCAGGATGGAACACTACTGGGGGACCTGGCGGTTCTTCCTCCCAGCCCGGTACCATCCATCCCAAGGGGCTGCACGGTGCCGGCGTCGCAGTCCACGGCCACGCACAGCACCACGCCGTCCTTCCAGGCGGCACCTGCAGCGGTTTTCGGGACTTGTGAGGTCTGTTTTGGTTCGCTGGTTTTGGTTGGTTGGTTGGCTTCCTGGACCCGCGAACTGCTTTCATAAAAATGGGCTGATTGCCCCAAAATGATGGGGTGAAATCCCTTTTGTATAATAGTTGGAGGATCCAGGGTGTCTCCAAATAGGGGAAACCCACAAAAAGGTACCCCACAGCAACCGCCGCATCCATTGCAGAACCCTAACCCAACCCAACCAACTAAAAACACCCTCGTCAGGGGAAAACTCACCCACGCGAAACGTCAAGCATGTAGATGGTGGGGGCTCTCTGTCGATTTTGGGTCTCCGAAATCCTCGTCAAAGGCGTTCGAAGGCCTGCCGTCTACGCTCGAAATCTGTAGGGTCGCAAACAACTGGAGCCTTTGACCGGTGTTCTGCTTGTGCCGCTTAAGCAAGCTGCATTTCGCCTAGGCTTCAAGGGTGGGTTTGCCTCAAGGCAGGTGTTGCATCATCGAGATCTCTCTTCAGAGCTTGGCTCTTGGAGCTCCCCCAACTGGTCTCTGTAAACATGGAACCGAGTCTTCCAAAGGGGTCCTGGGAGGTTCCATGGCAATGGCCTGGCGGAGAGTACATAGTACAGCTTTTTCATGGAATCTCCACGGGTCTCGAACACTTTACCTCAGCACAGCCAACTAGTAACTGGTGGTATCAGTGTACGTATCCAACAAATCGGTCCTTTTCGGGGCCCTGAAAAGCCCAAAGGGGAGACAGTTCAGACCCCGAGATCCGTGACCCCGATATGTCCAGGGCACTCTTGCCGTCATCCTTGCCATTGTGACGGCAAATCCCCGAGTGCATCAGCGCGAAAGTGCCCATGTCCTCGCCGGGGGCGTAGTCGTCGTCCTAGTGCCATTCGCAGGGTTGTTTCATGGGGAGCCACTTTTGGATACATAAGAAAGGGGAAACCGAAAGGAACATCCGCCTTTTTTAGGAGCCCTTGTTTTTTTGGGCAACACCTAGATGGCTTTTTCATGAAGGAAAAAGTCTATGTAGCATAGTACTTTGACACCGGTGGTCCAAGCCACATGCCGGGATAGGTCTGGGGACAAGTCTGTTCCCCAACAAATAAGGTCGCGACCACCCAAATGAATCCATGGGAATTGTAACCCGGCCCACCGTTGATTGTAAGGGCCATCAGGATTTCAAGTATCTCAGTTTCCATCCAAAACAAAATGGTGTTCCTTTGCAGAAACTCTATAATTGACCGCAACATAGGAACCTCAGATTTGTAAATCCGGCACACGCACCCTGGTTACTAGCATAGCAGGGCACGCCCTCCTCTCCCCCAAAGAACAGGATTAAAGAAATCCGATCCAAGTCCGCGCTGAGTCCTAATTAAAAGGCGGCTCGGGTGCCAAAACAAGAATCCAATCGCAAAAGCGGAATCCCGGTTGATTTTTGTTGGTTTCGTTTTGACAGCTTTCTGCAACGTGCGCGAGTCGATTTGATATCTTCTTGTTGTTCCTCAAACTCTCGACTCATCTTGGCCCACATCCGCCGTCCCCAAAACTAAATGGTCAGTCTCCGTGTCATACTTCGCCTACCCCAAAATATTAAGTAGTCCAGTATCAAAGGTAAAGCCGGACCAAGGTACTCGGGTCCCAGTCAATGTAAAGCCACTTAGGGCCCTTGTTTACTATTCGCCCCAAAGGAACACAAAAAGAGCCCCCTCCGAGAAAAACTTGTTTCTAGACTTTTTGGGCCTGAGCTTTCCTGAGAGTCACTCCTTGGCAGTGAGGTTTTCTGAGGCTGAACCCGAACTTGTGAGATTCCATCTGGGCAATTTACATAAAAGTCAGGTACGGACAATAAGAACTGAGAAACCCCCAAGTGAGTCATAGTCAAACCCTGGTATCAAAATGGTCTCGCAGAACCATGCAAAGAATCAAGAAGGCGGATATCCGCACCTATTTTTGGTTGGGATTGTCCCCTTAAACAAGCTGCATCTACCCGAATCGGTGTTGAGCACACGGCTCAAGTAAGAACCGTCCGGCGGACCAAAAACTTCCGCGACTCCATCGGCTTTCTTTCTGCTGGCCTGTCCTCAGATCCCCTGCTAAAAGTCTTTCACTTTCAGTGGGTTAAATGGAAATCCAACCACTAAACACTAGCAACCAAAAAACCTATCACCCAGCCATAAAAGGCCCAAAAAGCTCAGGAACCGGATGGCTGCGGAGCGATGGCTTTTTGCTTTCGCCGGGCGTCGGCGTTCTGCAGGGCCAGGCCCAGCAGGCCGCCTTCCCCGACCTTCTCCACGGACAACTCGAAGTAGACCTCGCGAAGCTTCAGCTTCAGGCTGTGGGTCAATAGGTACCCCAAATGGAACCACTTACCAGGGCGAGCCATTTTGGGGATTCCTATTTTTGACCCACACCCATATGGCCATTGGTCAAAAATAGGAATCCCCAAAATGGCTTGCCCTGGTAAGTGGACACATGGACCAAAACCTGCGGTCCAGTTTCTTGGTGGCTTTTTTTTGACCCATACCCAGGTGGTTTGGAGTTCGGAGGTGCGGAGGTTGGGTAATTCCCCATCTACCCTCTGCAAGAACAGGTAATTGGACCTAAAGGTGATCACCTTTTGGGTTGACTAAAAGTTGTTGCCTAGTCAGAAACCACACGGAGAAACAATTCATTTTGGGGTCCGGACAACCCCTCCCGCCCTTTCGGGTTGCTCCCCCTCCCCTGTCCACCCTCCCATCCCAACCCCTCTCCCTCCCCCCTCCCATCGCAACCCTTCTTTCACTCCACGCTGGCTCAAATCGCAGGGGTTGAACAGTTACTCATACTTGGATTCCTGCTGCCCGCTCAACAAAAACAACACACAAGTTTGCCTCCATTTGCTTGAGTCGCCTGGAAACCAAAAAAAGTCCAGTAGTGATAGATTCCCTTTAAAGCCAAGGGAACATAAAACATAATAATTTCAGCAAATGGAAGATTTCCTGAGTGGACTGGCAAAAAAAAGGAACCAAACTGTAAAGGCGTGCCACTAAAATGGTCCAAACCCAAAAAGTGGCCAAAGTCCAAAGACTCGGAAAGCGAGTCGAAAGATTGAAAGTCTTGCTTTGGACAAGAGAAGCTCACTTGCCCAAAGCACCCAGATATAAAAGGCGATCACCTTTTGGGGCCATGACTAAAAATGGACCGAAACCAAAAGGTCAAAAGGTTGGCTTTGGACAGAAAGGGAAGGCATGCCCCTTTCTCGCCTTGCCCGCCAGCTTGAAGCGGTCCAGCGCCGCCACCTCCGCCTGTCGCCGCTCGTCCTCGTCGATGTCCTGCGAGAGACAAGTAGGGACCCACCGAGAGGCTGGACCCAAAGTCTCAGCTCTCTATCCATTGCTGCTCCCCTGTTTCCGGCTATCAGAGTCAGAAACAGGTGTTTCCCGCAACCCTCACAATCAAAACCAATCGGTCTTCGAATGGTCGTAATCCCAGAATGTAAAGAGTTGGAAAAGGCGGCGAAGGCAACTGAGCCCAGAACAGACCAAAAAGCTCACCTTGTGTTAGTTTTCTTTTCTTTTTTCCGGTAAGCTCAAGCCCATGAGAGAAAGGATCACCCTCATATATATATTTTTATATGCACAGCTACAAGTTATTACCCTCCCTGGCTTTGCAAAGAAACTCGTGGGTTACCGTGGGTTGCTATCAAGGTCGAATGCCTTTTGTGGACCTTGAAGGGCGGGGCCAAGCTTCCACCAATTTGAGGGGTCCCCCTGTTTTGACACATACCTATTCCAAATTCAGCTTAGTCATCCCTTTCCTTCTCCAAACAAGGGAAATGTTACCATCTACTTTGACCCTCTGGGGCATTGAAGCAGTACCTTTTGGGGGGCTAACCAGAAACTGTTGGTCTGGCCTTTGCAGGACAATGAATTCAGGGTCACCCGAACCATATTTTTTTTGACAGGGAACTGTCTCCAAAGCTCCAAAGCTCCAAAGCTCGGGTGCCATATTTCACTTGATTCGGATTTTCGGTCATGGGCTTCCCAAAACAGAGCCCTGCAGCTTTGAGACGAGAGGGTCAAAAGATTGATCCCAATCTCTTTTTTGTGGGTTGCAAAGGAAATCCAAAAGGATGACCACCCATTTTGGGGCTCCAAATCCCTGCTTCGACGCATACCCAGCAAGCAGGAGATTCGACTGAAGACTTAATCCTTGCTTCTGGTGGGGGTCCCCCAAAAAAAGAAGAGGAACTTAGTCCTTGGCGACGGTCTGCTTCTCGCAGCGGGAGCAGACGCAGACTTCGCATCCTGAGGTCTCGTGCCGCTCTATGAAGGCATGGGTGTGGCTCAAAATTAAACGATCGGAGGGGCGGTTTCCGCAGGTTTTGGTACCCATGTTTCCACTTACCAGGGCAAGCCATGTTAGTACCGGTTTTTTGAGCCACAGCCACATACTGTTTTCACAACCTCTCTCATGTTTGAGCACAGAAACGACAGTGGGATGCTTCTTGGGTGATCCGTGAGCACTGATCAAGCGCATTCATGTTTTATTGCCAGGCTCCGGAAACATGGCCACCGAGAGACAAGAAAGGCGCCTGAGTCAAGCTCAAACCCCCCTCAACAAGTCCACCCAGAATCCAAACAAAGCCTGGACCTATGAAATCCACTTGAACCACCTAAGAAACCCAAAGATGATTCCCTTGCAAATACCAACAAACAATGGTTTCAACCGGTGGTGCGATCGGATTTCGTCCACCCACAGCTTCCGACGCGCCATGATTGCTCCGGTGGGAGCCAGCTGATGCAACAAAAATGGTGTCAAGGCCTTTAGGCCGTTGGACAGAGGGACAGTGAGGGGAATCCCAGCATTCACATCTAGATCCTCCAGTCAGGTCAGAATGAGGGTACCCTTTTTTCTGTAGTCTATTTTAGTAGTGTACCCAAAAAAGTTGGCAAAAGGGCACTACAGTGGGACCCAGACATCCTGCCGGGGCCCTTCGCGCGGGCATGGAAGCAACTTCTTGGCTCCGCCTGATTTGGCCTCATGGCTCGCCGAAAGCGGTCGGAGCATGCCGACTCAGTTTGCCTGCTTTGGCCCACGGCTGGCATCTACCAAAAACAAAGCCGGGTGAACTCTGATTCATCACGTCTGATAAGACATTCCACCCGACCCGGGTTCGAACGGGGGACTCCTAATGCGAATCCGCAATCCATAGTGGGACACCAGTAGGGAAACGGCTACGCCTGGCAGCCAGGATTGATTTTGAGCAATCCAACGCTATCTCGGCCCAAGTGTCGGGGGCAATGCCAGTGAGGCCCGTTGACTTCGCGCCCACAGCGCTCGCCTGGGAGCGATCGGGGTTTGGCGATCGGGCCCTATCCAAGGGTTTTGCTTGAAAGCGCCCAACACAAGCCACGCTCTCAGATGCTTAGTGACCATGGGAAAACAAGGTCACACTTTCTTTGTTGGTTGAGTTTAAAGGGGAACCATTAGCTTAAAAAAGGGGGGAAACAAGGCCACGACTGGGCAGCACAGTGCTGGTTCGTCTGCTTCCATTTTGGGTGGCCGTATCTTACCCAACGAATAAAATGATGAAACTACCTGGCCACAAAGAAGAGCTTGAGACTGCGCAGAACAAGTACCAACATGGTGCAAGAGCACCGCAACGAGTACTCTTCCACCACAAACACACAGACAAACAAGGATTTGAGGAAATCGGAAGACACTGGCCCTTTCATTTAGGATTTAGGAAAGGAAAGGACAATTGTCGAGTGGGGGTCCATGGCAACGTGCGAAGACGTGAATGATCACTATTGCTTTTAAACAGCCTTCCTTTCAAACCTGCCCCGCTTTCGAGACCATGGCTGGAGAAAGCATGCCGACAAGATGATCGACAGGACGAAGAACACAGAGCCATGATCGATGTTATACACCCCCGCACATCCTTTCCAAACTCAACCTGGAACATATTCTGCGTTGCTTGGATGCCTCATGCCTCGTGCGTGCAAACGCTCGATGCTCTGCGGCTGCAATGACCGAACAACAAGGTTTCAGGATGATTTCATGAGTCAGCGTACGCTGAGATAAGTTTGATTTGTGAGTAGCCTTTAGATCCGGGAAGACAAGGTTATTTAAACCTCATGGAAATTCGACGCAGTGCACTCCCATTCTTCGCAGCAGCTTTGAGCGTGAATGGAATTGCGTGGCTCTGCTGCCATCCCTTTAGGTATAAGTAGTCAGTAGCAAACGCATTCTCAGAACTGCGTCGAAAATGCAACGAGAGCCTGTCAGGATCAGTAAGGGCAACTAGGATCCGATGCTGCGCCTGTCGCGCTGCTTCACCTATGCTCAGGGCACATGCACCTTGTATACTTGTGCAAAGAACTGACCAGGTGTTGGTGCAGTGTGTTTTTGTTTCTCTCACCCTCCGTCCGGAGTTGTGAACCAATGCAGCTCGAGGCGCACTCCATTTCCTCTTCATAGTCGTCAGCGTTCTTCTTGCTGCTCAGCATGTGCTTGCTAGAGCCTTGGATGCAAGGAACAGCGCCAAGCGAGAAGCCCGTTTGAGGGCAAGGGCGGGGGGTGACATGAAAGTGCTTTCTGGTGCGCAAAATGAGGGCAAATGGCACTTTGGGACTGAATCAAGGTGGAGGCATTTGCTTTGGAAAACCCATTCGCCGTGCATGCCGACAAAAACGTAACATGTAGAAATGGTGTTTGGCCTGCTTAAGGGAATCCCTGTAAGGAGTGTGGGAACTATCAGGGTCCGCCCCCTCGAATCCAGCAAATAAATGGACGTGTATGCCACCAGGCCATGGCGTGTCCACACATCCTGCTGGCATACTGCATGCACTTTGTTTTTGTGGCGTGGACGGAAACAGCAATAGGAATCACGCATGTATCGATGCTTCATACCAGTCCCATGACTTGACTTCGCCATGCTTGCTGAAGCTGTTGGTTCCAACTCGCTTCCAAAGTTGAGCATCCGTCCAGCCCAAATGGCGGGCTGACAATACTTGGCGCTTTTTGGGGAACCGTTGACCCGTTGAACGTGTCATGCATGATGTGCCAGCAAACAAGGGTCCAACAGAGTCACCATTCCGTCAACCCCCAATTGTTCTTGTTGGGGAAGGACCCCTTCTGGTCGGTCTCCAAAATAGACCACAAGGAGACCAACCATTTGGGTATTTGGGCGTGTCTTTTTGGGAGTACCTGCTTTGTAGTTTTCAAGGGAACCGGAAGGAATCCGATTGCTAAGCCAAATCCAAGCGTTTTGGGACAAACCCGAGGCATTCGTCAAAGAAGCACATCGGCTTCCCCTTGTTCTTCAGCCCCTGCGCGGTGAGGCGACATCCCGGCGAGCACTTGGTCACCTCAGGTCGCTTGGTCGCTTCGCGGTCGCGCCCCGACAGTCGGACAGCGGTGGGTGCCTCCGCCTGCGTTTCGAGGGCTGTTTGCATGCAAACGACCCTAGGGCAACCAATGCCATGGCTGCAAAGATGTTCGTAATGCGGGGGTTTCTTCAAAAATCGGAATCGGACCCCTTATTGGATGCTGTTTAAGGGAAACCCAAAAGGAATCCACCTACCTGGGCGGTCCCAACTTTCGTGCGTCAAACAGGTCGACGCATGGTCCCATTTGATGGACGAAAATACGTGCAACATCGTGCAACTTGCAGCAATGGACATCAAAAGGAAACACCACCCAAAAGTGGCTCGTGGACCGAAATCGAGCCCAAATCCCAATGTGAATCCATCCGTCTTTCCGAAGTACAGGGGTCAATCAGGCTTGGGCGAACATCACTTTGAGCATCTTTAGAGACACCAACAGGAGGTTGTTCGAAACATGGCTGGTTTAAACCGGACATTCCAACCCCAGACTCCAACTGGGTCCGCCTTCAAGTCTAATTCGCTGGTGTGAAGTCTCATTCCTCGGCCCCTTCGGGGACCAACAATTTGTTCAGATGCTTCATACTTTGGACGGTTGCACCACTTTTGAAACCATGGTTGAAACCATAACGCGTATGGGTGGTTCCAGGCAATTCATCAGAAATTGGTGATGCAAATGGATTGTCAACCCAACAGTAATTACCGATGTTTGGACACAACAAGACATGACTGCATACAGCTCCGTCCCAGCTTGATTTTGGATTGTGAGACCTCGGTCTTTCGAGCCCATGGGCCAGGGGCCGGTCTCGGGTAAGCATGCCTGCCTCACATCCCGAGGTTGATGACCCTACTCCAAGTGAAAATATGTTTTATGGCAAATGATTAGACCCTCTCCCGTAACTCCAAGTTCAATGCTAGCTTGATGTTGTTTCATGGCACAAATCGACCCATCCAACCGATCCCAGCAAACACATGTGTCTGCAAATAGGGTATGGAATCCCGCAAATGAGCTTCGGGCTTCTTTTAGTTTCCCGAAAAAGGGTGCACGCACTTGGAGTATCCGAGCCCCGAGTTCAAAAGCTCGGTGCTTCCATGGCACAAATCGGTACCCAGCTCCGGCGAATCCGTCCGATTTCCGCCAAGATCGAGCATCCAAATGTCAAAACGATTCTTTCCACGGGCACCAAAAAGGCAAACCCCACGTTCAGAAACAGACACACACACACACAGATCCCTAGAGTATCCGAACCCCAAGTTCAACAGCTTCCTGTGCTTTTTTAAGACACTCCTGGAGTATCCGAACCCCAAGTTCAACAGCTTCCTGTGCTTTTTTAAGACACTCCTGGAGTATCCGAACCCCAAGTTCAACAGCTTGATGTGTTCTTTATGGCTCAAATCGGTACCTATCCGATTCCGCGCCTCAAGCGCCTCAAGCGACTCAATAAGGGATCCTTACATGAAAAACACCTGAACATTGCAACTTGTAAATGGTGGTGTCCCTTCATTTTGGTGTTGAAAAAGGCAACATGTTTCAAATGGCTGCAAAATGGAGATCTTTTAAGGAGCCCTGCTCAAACCGCTATGTGAGGCATGGGCGCCAGGGGCGGCTCGCCGGTGAGCTTGGGCTCAATGAGCTTCTCCAGCACCGTGCTGTCCAGCCGTGAGGCGGACCAGGTCCCCGAGATCTCGTTGGCGTCCAGGGACCACCAGAAGCCTAGCCACGGCGACCCGAAGCCAAGCCGCTTTGTTGGCCATTCGTCGATTTATACGTCTGGACAAGAATGAGAAAATGTGTCCAGTGATACATGCCGGCAAAAGCAACAGAGGAACACAATCAATATTCGTTTCAGGGAATATCATATTTTGGAATTATACGTCTGGACAAAAATGAGATGATACGTCAAGTGTTAGATTCCCTGCAACACCAACAGGGGAACAGAAAGAATCTTCCGTTGCAGCAAATGGTTGCCTGGACAGCTAACCGGGAAAGAGCACCTCAAATTCTCCGTGTCCACTATAGGCTATAGGGTAACCTTGGCCTTGTGAGAGAACTAAACCTCCAGTTGATTACCCCAGTTACAATGGGGTTGAACAGTCATGAAACATGTCCCTCAATCAAGAACCAGAAAGGAAACGAAACCTCGAATTCTCCCATGTCCACTAACTTTTGTCCATTTTGGCTAATTCTCGAAGTTGCGCCCGAGCTAGATGAATCTTGTTCCAGGGGTGGTTTACCCTTTGGAAAAGGATTTGTTGTCAGATGTCAACCCCTCAAAAAGCGCTTTGCCACTTCGCTGACAAAGCAGAGCTACGACTCCCTATAGGAGCCCAAGAAGAAACCACGTCTTGGGTGTCTTCTTCCGAAAGAACAAAGCAAAAAACCTAATCTGGTTGTGGGCTGGTCATGTTTCAGCAGCAAGCGACCCACCCAGAAACCGCCATAACCCAAATGAGTCAAGCCAACGAGAAGTGGGTGACTGCTGTAACCCCTAGATTCCACCTGTCGGACCTGTTTCGGTCAATGCCAGCTGCTATGAATCGAGCAGGCGGTTTTGACAGAGGGGTGGAACCGTTTCCTTCTCTGGTGGGTGTCCCTGGGAATCAATCAGCCAACAAACGAGGATGCCGACTTGTGTCCCCACAGGCAACCACTGCGCAACCAAAGGGTGGCACTGAGACCGCGGTCGCCTCGCCGCGAGCCCAGAAAATATGCTTGATGAAAAAGTGAGAGATTCGTGGCACACTGAACGAACGTGAGTTTGACCCTGTTGAGGACGAAGCTTGCAGGAATCAAAAGGAAGTGTATCCACTGGAAGGAAACGTAGAGCCGCAACCCTTTTACGTGTCTAGCCATTTCGCGTGGGAATGCTGGAGATAGTCCCCGACCTTGCCTAGATGGCCTTCTCCGTCGAGCTGGCTGGTGGGTGTTCCCACTGCAGAGACCAAGCTAAATGTTGGACACATTTGCATCATCCATGGCTGTCATGTTCTTTCCCTTGAAGAGGAACAACCTCTTGGAAGCTTGCCCGCCAAATGCGTGCCATTCGGGTCATGCCCCATCCCATCCCAACTCTCGCTGGCCTGTGATGGAGGCGATGGCGCCGCCCTTGCGGTCCAGCTGGCCCTCCAGCATGGCCCGGCCCTTCCAGCCATTCACCTGGCGCCAGATGCACAGAAAAAATCCCTTGGTTTTGAGGGCAAAAAATCCCTTCCCTCCGTTGGGGGGATTGCTGGTTTCGCATGTGCCCCCGACAAAAACCGAGTGTTCAAATCTACAAGCCACCAATCCAAACCATCAAGTAGGGGGCGCCTGATGAGAGGCACCTCGTGCCGCACGAAACCAAAAAACAGGTCAGAAGGCTCTGGTCAGCGAAATGCGCAACCCTGGCTAAAGAGTCGGTCGGAACTAGGGGGGCTGGGGGTTCTAAGCACGTTGTGCATGCCCTGACCATCAAGGAAATGAGCCGACGTTCCAAGCGATGTGCGGGGATGCTGCGACACATCTGGGTCGAGAGCACGGAAGGCCATGCACCTTGCGCTGCCCCCAGGCGAGCTCACCTATCTCCGTCTGCCTGCAACCGCAGGGAGCGGCTGCTCAGGGATCCGTCCACCGTGGCCTTCACCGCCTGGCGGGCGATCACGGCCGGCCTTTGCCATGAGAACTTCTAGTTGTGTTTGATTCGAGAGTCCCACACTCAAGAAGGGAACAAAACCTTTTTGATCCCCAATATCGGGTCTCTGCCCAAGTGGTTAAACTCGATGCGCGTGTGTATAGTAGAACCTGATCAGAATCCCCACGCCTGGTCCAGAATGACCATGCTTTTGGCATGGGGCGTGTTCTGTGTTGATGTGGTTACTATGTTTGCTATAAATTTAATGTGTATTGTGTGCATGTAGCAAAAAACGTCAGCTGGATTTCTGGATCTCTGGATTGGGTCTCTGGAATCTGGATCCCTGATCCCTGGATCTCTGGATTGGATCTGTCGATTTCTGGACTTCTGGATTCTCGTTTACCCCCTCCCCCCCCCACATTTTGCCCCCCCTCCATTTTGCCCCCCATCAAAGCCAAAAAGACACTCAGCCAGCTCCAACTGCAAATAGTCGTGGGGCTCGAGCATCTTCACCACACTGGCAGCCCAGCAGACACAAAACATGAACTTCCCGTCGAATGCGTTTCCGCATAGGTTCTCTCCACACACTTCACGGCGAAGGTCTGCAATGTGTATAGCATTGCCTGACCTGGCGCACGACGCAACAATTCTGAGAGATGGCGTTGAAAATGGTTTGGCGCCCTGCTCTGACGGAGGACAGGAACCTCCTTGAGGCCCGGCAGGACAAGCATCCACACTAACACGCAAACACACACACACACACGTTGTTTTGCATGCGCTGACACACTTACATTGGTGCACGCGAATGAATGAATACATGCAGAAATGCACACATTGATACATACACGCATGTACAAACATGCATTACATCAGATTACATTTCTCCACAGTGAAACCCATGGGTGCAAGCAAATGAGCGCCATCTTGGGGCCCCCCCGCCCCACAAAGTTTCAACACACACGCACAAGCAAACAAGCGCCCTTTTCCTTTGCAGTGACCGCCCAGAGTGTCTGTGAGGTTTCAGACCTGGGTTTCTTCGCAAAATCTCAAAAACGTGCGACAAAACATTCGGAAAGATGTCAACGTTCGGGGTTGTAGCAAACGGGGTTGGGGCGCTTTCAGTTCTTCTCGCCCAAATGTTTGGATTACTCTTTGGGTCAGAACTATGGTTGCAGCTGGAGTTGCAGCTGCGTCGCTTTGCGTGATGCAGCCCGACTGCATCTGTGCCCAGTAGAAACAATGCGCGTGCGCCCCCGTAGCAACCAGGTTTTCAGATCCTAAGCAGTTGTGCTTACGGACGGCGGCCGCAAGCGCAACCTCGCCATATCCAGCACAGATATGACCATATGCTGCGCTGAAAAAAAGGCGGTTGTCCTTACGGCCGGCGGCGGTAAGCGCGACTGCCCTCTCTGCCAGAAGTGGCTACGAAGAAAGCGTCGTTGGTCAGGGGGCTTGCCATTTTGGCTAAGGGGGCGCGCGCCACTTGTCACGGACGGCCGAGAACGCTTGAGGTTAAAAAGAAAGCCCCCTTTGCCTCCAACCCCCGTTGGCGCTCTTCCGAAACACGCGCGGGACAAACCCTGCGTGGGCTCCTCTGTTTTTCGGTGTACCAATTGATTTCTCAGACATGTCCATTCCTAAAACACTTGAAGCAAAGACTTGTTGCCAACTTGCCTGCGCCTGTGCAGTTGGCGATGTCAGAAAGCGTGGGCCTTCTACGGTGAACAAGTGACATGAAACCGACCAGCCCAGCCTTACTGCAGTTCAGAACCCGGTGTGTAGTGCTAGCAACGATCCATTTCTGCCGGCGATGCCGATCCTACAGCCATGGAACTCATACTTACTCATTTTGTACTGACTGATGAAGCCCCACAGCTCAGGCCACTTCCAGTATCTGCGTGCCATTGGGAGGTCAAACGCGATTTTCAGATCACAATATGCTTCATTGAGCAACTGCACGAAACTGCCTGACATGGCTTTCAACCTTCCTGGCACCTTTGCCGGTTTTTCCGTTGATGTCTCCCCGTGGATAGCCACCAGTGCAAACAGAACATGACAGGCGCAATTCTGCGGGATTTCGCACCTGCGTTGTCCACACTAGACCGCCCAAGCCATGAACGGTGTGCATGAAGCTCCATGCACACACTCAAGGGGCCAGTTTTCTGCCCGACGCACATTAAGTCATCAACTTCTTGGGCTTGTAAGGGCGGGGAGCAAGAGGATGGCTGTTCTGAAAGTTGCAGGCAATGGCCCAAGCGTGAAAACTGAGCAGTTTAGTAGTGAGAATTCTAATGAGGCAGGGCTGGCAGGCCAGCGGAGCCAGTTCTAACTTTGCCAGCTTGAAACGAGGAAGAAGCACCTGTTCACATGTGAGCTCGGGCTCGGTGAGATTTACCAACATGGCAATGACAACATCATGAAAAACTTGCCCGTTGAATCTGGCCAAGCTTGAGCTCAACACAGGCCCGATATATGAGCGGACTACATTCCACTTGACACACATTTCCCCCCGCCCTCGCCCCTCCCTGCCCCCCTTCCCTCTCCCCTTTCCCCACTCCCAACCTCCCCCACTCCCTGTGTATCAGTGAGTCTGCGTGTGTCCGTGTGTCTCCGCTGAGTGTCCTCGTGTGTCCGCGTGTATCGCGCGGGCGTGCGTGTGTGTCCTCGTGTGTCCGCAGGTGTCAGCGAGCGGGTGCGCGTGTGCGTGTGCGCGTCCGTCTGCGTGCGTGCGGGCGTGCGCTCAGGGGCGTGCATGCGTGCGAGCGTGCATGCGTGAGTGCGTACGTGCGTGGGACGGATGGGACGGGTGGATATGTGTGCGTGCGTGCGTGCGTGGGTGCGTGCATGCGTGCGGGTGCGTGCGGGTGCGTGCGGGTGCGTGCGAGTGCGTGCGGGTGAGTGTGGGTGCGTGCGGGTGCGTGCGGGTGCCTGCGGGTGCGTGCGGGTGCCTGCCGGCGTGCGTGCGTGCGCGCGTCCTTGCATGCGTGCGTGGGTGCGTGTGGGGGTGTGGGTGTCGGTGTGGGTGTGGGTGTTGGTGTGTGGGTGTGTGTGTCTGTGTCTGGGCGTCCGATGGGCCTGGTAATACGCAAGGCTTGTACCAGCTGTTTTGTTCAGGGCGAATCATATCAGTTGTTCCTGTCAAGCCCGTCTCAAAAAGGTACACACTCATGTTTGGATCCCTGCAATGGCATTTGCTCCAAAAGATTTGGACCTCTCTAAATTGGCTGGTTAGGCCACTCTAGTTTGCCCCGATCCAAAAATGGTAGCAGGCTTCTTTCTTGAACATGACATGCGCATGCCATGACGAATGATACATAAATATATCACGGAATATCATGAGTACATTATGCACTGTGATTAAACAACCACTCATTGCAGCAAAGCAGCATGTGTTGGCTGCGGACGCAACAGGTAGCAAACGAGAGCAGGATGGCTGAACTAGGTGTTTCCATTCCCTTTAACACACATAGTTCATGCGTTCATGGCCCCTTTCAGGCTTAAGCAACCAGCAAGGCCCACAATTGAACAAACAAATGATGAAGCACAGCACAAAATCGCATTCACCAGGAAGCTCTGAGGCGTCGATCTGTCTATCATGGCAAGTTTTGAGAACCGAAGATGGAGAAGTCACCTGCGATCTGGGCCCCGGGGTGTCCTGAGAAGGGGTCCAACGAAGAAAGAGACGGATTGATTACCCTACATAAACATAAGTTCTGTTAGGGTGGGTTCCATGCCAATCTTCCAGAAAAGGAAAAGCAGCTTGGTCTGCCTGTCAGTCCCCGAAGGAATCTCGATGTTGGCCTCCGAAAGCCAAGTGTTGGCCCATCTAACTGAGTCTGTTTCAGGTCTTCTCTGCAAACTAGACTTGTGACTTGTGCCCTGGATAAGGGATTTCGATCCGGGCCATACTTGAGGCTCAAGTCACACGTGCGCCCAGCCCCACACTCCCCCAGTCCGATGTATCCCCCTTCAGGAAGCTGGAGCCCTTCTAAACCGGCCAGCAAAGCATGATCAGCACTCAATTGGGGTCAGCAAACCGGTGCTCTCAAAACTGCCACGACCTCTCCCTCACAGCGCAGGAATCCGTTTCAGTCCATCCAAAATCTACGAGATGCTTCAGGAGTATATGCCTCGACAGAATGCTCCCAATAACAATGACGACATGTCCAACTCGAAAAGCAAACCACGGCTGCCCAAACATTCCGTCTCCTTCGGGTGCCCAAAAACAAACAAACAAACCAAAAGGGGTACCCCGGCTATAAGTCGCGATTGTAGTGCTTGGCGCCTAGGGCAAACAAAACCTTAGATCCAAAAGAAGCCTTCATTGCTCCCGCTGAACCGGATTGGAACTCCTTTCGCAGGCCTTGCCGCCGACCTCGTCCAGACCGGGGCCCTTGGCCGGCGGCCGGTTTGGGATCAACGCACCCGCTCGATTTGTCAAACGAGGTGGGCCTATGGGTCCTTTTTGGTGGTGGAAGTAGATGGCGATTCGATTCTTAAAAAAAGAGGTGGGCCAAAGTCGGCCTAAGTGTCCTTTTTGGTTAGGTGGAAAGTGCATGGCAATTCCTAGTTCACCTGGTGGTTCAATCATTTGCCAGTGAGTTTCTGAGCGGCTGTGTGTCTTCCTGAGTTGAGACGTGACAGACGAAGGAATGCGAAACGAAAGACGGTTGGTTCAAACAAGTACCCACACATGCTTGATCCTCCCTTCGCTTGCAAACCACTCTGGGCTTGTGAACGGCTGGTGCTGACAAGCTGAAACACGTCTGGTGATTCCATGATTTCGCACCAAGGACCCCAAACTAGGCAAATGACATGCGTGCAAAGCAAGCAACCTGACATGATGGGCCACGCAGACATCCTTGGTGTCTGTTGAAACCATAGATACAATCTATATATGTATACATACTATATTTGGAGGGGGTATGCAAGAAGTGATCCATTTGAGTGGTTGGTCTTCTTTGATTTCCTTTCAACATCATCCAAAAGGGGTTCGCAACTCTAGGACACTGCCACAAATGATTGGCTCCAGACTTTGATGGATGCACCAACTACACTTGAAACAACACCTATACAGAAAAGCTTCTTGGTCAAGGTGGGTGAATGAGAACAGCTTTCCCGCGCCAAGTTCACACAAAGGGGCTCAATCTCCGACTAGCCAAACCAAACAGGAGCTATCATTTCGTTCTGCTAGGATTACATTCAGCAGTTGAGCAGTGAGGCTATGTTGTGAAAACAAGCACTAGGGAAAGTGTGTGAACTCATGTATGAACCTAGGAGGTCAAGTTGTTGGCCAAAGCTGCAGGAAAAATAATACCCACACAAATAAAGAGAACAAATATGGTTTGTCTCATCTAAAAAGGGGAACCCACACATTGGGGTCCCTCGAAAACGTCAATGGTGGGTTTCCCTACGGTGTTTGGTGCTTTCCCCTACCATCAATGGTGGGAAACCGACGACGTTTCGAAGCCAAACCTCAGTTTTCCCTTTGGTGTCCCTCGAAACGTTGTGTGGGGTTTGGCTCGCACGGCGAAATCACAACTCCCCCGCCTCCACCAGCAGGCCATTCACCGCGCCGGAGCGGGACTCCACGGCAAAGTGCACCTGGCAGGATCCGTTTCTCACTTGCCCAGTTCGGACCCAGAAAAAGGCGATCACCTTTTGGGGCCCAGGTTTAAAAATGGGAATCATGGAAAAACCAAAAGGTCAAAAAAAATCTAGTGGTACCTTCCATTTCCAGTCTTTCCAGGGATCCTTCTTTCTAGAAAACCTCCGGAAACCGAGGGGAAAACGGCCGGTTTTTGGAAAGAGCGATGGTTGAAAAGAATGGGGGATCAACCCCTAGACTTTGAACTGTTCTTCATACTGTGGATGGATGCGAAATCCATTTCGCACCACCGTTCAGACATTATGGAATGGGGAGTGATTGTTGTTCATAGCAAACCCTTTTCACATGGAACCTGATGTTCGGGACCCGTTGACTTTAAAAAGGAAAACTGTTCAAATCAGGACCCCCCGAACGTCAGGTGCCATGTTAATTGGTCGGAGGGGACTCCAGTCATGCCAGTCTTCGTGACAGCTTGGGACTCTTTTTGCCCCACGCCAACAACTGACGATGCTATCCCGCCAGTACAGCTTCTAAACTCGCAAATCATGACTAGATTTGGTGTTGAAGTACACATGATTTTGATTTTGATCTTGCATACATTCAAGTCCTGGCTGGATTTGGTTTTGAAGTGCACCACGATTCTACTGATTTCGGCCCTAGCATTTTGCTGCGGGAGTCATTTTTTGGGTATAACTCTTGATTCGGGACATGCCTTGCTATATGGTTCACAAAAATCGGGTTCCCATCTTGGAACGCAGTGCTCTTTACTTGTGCTTCCATTGTTGAACAACCCTTCAACACGGGGATGTATGTCCGCCTGGCTGCTTAAGGGCTGCCATTTGCGATGACGTTTTGTGGACAACATATCAAACAGCAAAAGTACTAGTCCAGTAAAAGATAACAGGCTAAAAACAGAAAATGTGATTCAGCGAATGCAAGAGAATGTTTATGCTTCAGATGCCGTGGCCTTATTAAGCGAATCCCAAAGTCAAGCACTGGAATCAGTTAGCCTGCCAGCTGAGCCCACTATTCCTCGTGGGTCTTGCTCAAAGCACCTCTGCTGACTAAAGGTCATCAAAAAAGGCCATCAATAACAACCTTCACATGGCGTACCGAGGAAGGCATGTCCATGACAGAGAGAGGGAGAGATCATATTCAACAATATGTGTATATATATATATAGATAGATAGATGGAAAGATAGATAAGATAAGATAAGATAAGAGAAGATAAGATAAGATTAGACTAGACTAGACTAGACTAGATAGATAGATAGAGTAGATAGGTGAGATAGATTAGATAGATTAGATAGATTAGATAGATTAAATAGATTAGATAGATTAGATAGATTGGATAGATTAGATAGATTAGATAGATTAGATAGATAGATAGATAGATAGATAGATTAGATACATTAGATAGATTAAATGGATTAGATAGATTAGATAGATTAGATAGATTAAATACTCTAAAGATAGATTAGATAGATTAAATAGATTAGATAGATAGATAGATAGATAGATAGATTAGATCGATTACATAGATTAGGTAGATTAAATGGATTAGATAGATTAGATAGATTAGGTAGATTAAACAGATTAGATAGATTAGATAGATTAGATCAGTTAGATAGATGAGATAGACTAAATAGATTAGATAGATTAGTTAGATTAGATAGATTAGAAAGATTAGGTAGATAGATTGGGTAAATTAAACCAGTTAAATAAATTAAATAGATTAGATAGATTAGATAGATAGATAGATGAATTAAACAGATTAACTAGATTAAATAGATTAGATAGACTTGATAGATTAGATAGGTAGATTAGGTAGATTAGATAGATTAGATAGGTTAGAAAGATTAGATAGATTAGATAGATTAGATAGCTTAGATAGATAGATAAATAAATAGATGGATAGATAGATAAGATAAGATAAGACAAGATAAGAGAAGGTAAGATAAGATAAGATTAGACTAGACTAGATACATAGAGTAGATAAGTTAAATAGATTAGATAGATTAGATAAATTAAATAGATTAAAATAGATTAGATAGATTAGATAGGTTAGATACATTAGATAGGTTAAGTAGATGAAATAGATTAGATAGATTAGATAGATTAGATAGATTAGATAGATTAGATAGATTAGATAGATTAGATAGATTAGATAGATTAAATAGATTAGATAGATTAGATAGATTAAATAGATTAGATAGATTAGATAGATTAGATAGATTACATAGATTAGATAGGATTAGATAGGTTAAATAGATTGAATAGATTAGGTAGATTAGATAGATTAGATAGATTAAACAGATTAAATAGATAGATAGATTAAATAGATTAGATAGATTAGATAGGTTAGATAGATTAGATAGATTAGATAGATTAGATAGATTAGATAGATTACATAGATTAGATAGGATTAGATAGGTTAAATAGATTGAATAGATTAGGTAGATTAGATAGATTAGATAGATTAAATAGATTAAATAGGTAAATAGATTAGATTAGATTAGGTTAGACTAGAGATTAGATTAGAGATTAGATTAGAGATTAGATAGACTGGATAGATTAAATAAATAGATTAAATAGATTAGATAGATTAGATAGATTAGATAGGTTAAATAGATTAGATAGATAGATAGATAGATAAATATATAAATAGATAGATAGATAGATAGATAGATAGATTAGATAGATTAGATAGGTTGGATAGATTAGAAAGATTAAATGGATTAGATAGATTAGATAGATTAAATAGATTAGATAGTTTAGACAGATTAGATAGATTAGATAGGATTAGATTCGATTAGATAGATAGATAGATAGACAGATATATAATATTGAAATGTAAAAGTATATATATATATATGGTACCCCCCAGCACCCAGGTGTTGTTGCATCATGTATCAAAACCATTGATATTTACAGTGTGTTTTGATTGAACTCATGCATTTCGTGCAAGGCCATTTTGTGGACCAAACAAAACAAAAATTCACAAAAAAACAAAAAACAAAAAACCAAAAAAACCAAAAACCAATCCTACCCCCCACCATGGCTGGGATTCTTTGTTGTTTTTTTGAATTGCCTTTTTGTTTTTTGGACCAGGAAAATGTTGCGCAACAAATTCCAAATGTTGCGCAACATTTGCGGAGCATGACAGGATATGTGAACCTTTGTGAAAGAAGGCATGTTCTGGGTGAGAGGATATGTGAATTTTCTGTAGAGAAGAGTTATTGAAAAAGACATGTGTTGTGTGAGATGATATGTGAGTCTTTGTGGAAGAGTCAGGGTTACAGTGATTCATAAAAGTACAGCAAAAACAGTAAATATCATGTAAAACCACCATTTATGTAACACAAACTGTCCCAGCCATAGCCTGGTTTTATTCTACACAGGATTCACTTTCCTTGGCAACTCTTTCACATATGCTGCCTTTGTTTCATTGAAAGAAGACATGTAGAAAGACATGTGTTGGGAGAGAGGATGTGTGAACTTTCTGTGGAAGAGTCTTTGAAGCAAGGCATGGTTTGTGTGGGAAGATATGTGAATTATCTGTGGAAGAGCCTTTGAAAGAAGACATGGCTTGTGTGGGAAGATATGTGAATTTGAATTTTGTGTGGAAGAGCCATTGAAAAATTGAAAAAGGGCATGGGTCACGTCCAAGGCGTCTTTCTTCAATGAGGCAAACCTCCTTCCTCTGGTCTCCCAGTGTGCAAATCTGAGCTATTCTTCCTGCCTGCTTCCGCGGTCAAAGCACATCTGAACCAAGCCCAAACCTGGGTACCTGGGGGGGGGTAGCATATATATATATATATTATACAGTATACGCATAAGTTTTACAGAACACCTCACGAGTGGCGAACGACTGATGATCACCCGTCCCAGTTGAGCCGAGCAAGGCTTGACTGGAAACACCCTGCACAAACATGCTAGTCAACGGGCTCCAAACGCGTAAAAGAGCTACAGGACTTGTGTCTCCGTCCGATGTTGACTCCTTGACTAAGACCTTCCGAAGCAATTCAACAAAAACAACCTGCGATGAAGGCCCAAGTCACCAGCAAAGCTACCGAAAAGGGACCTGAAGCAAGCTCCTTTGAAAGCCAATCAGGTGCTTCCAAACAATGAGAACCCCCGATGCCGCTATCTGAGCAGCATTGCCGGTGTCATGCTGTGACGGTTAAGGAGCATCCGCGCAGGTCGCAATGTCAACCACCTATGCGGCTGACGACCGTGTGTGTGTGTGTGGCTATGTGCGGCTGTATCTTGGAGCGAGTGTTTTGTCCGAACCGCCGCCCCTGACAGGCACCTCAGCATCTCAGAACAGCTTCTTGGCTGCAAGTTGTGCGGTATTGACAAGACACAGTTCCGACTTTAACCCCCCGATTTCACAAGATGTCCCTGGCGCCCTCCTGCGAAATCGGTTTGCTCACGCCGAGACGCCGTGAGCCACATGGTGAAGGCATAGGCCTGGCACGGGCAGTCAGAACTCTGACCCCCAGAAAGTCAGCTAGGAGGAAACCCCAAGACTTGCTGGTGCAAGAGACGCAGGGAATGAGGCAATGAATCCAAGAAAAACCATCCCCTTGTGGTTTCCTGAATGGGGACCTCCAGGTTCATGCCCACATTCCCTGCTGTGCACCAGCAAGAAAAGGGCAGGTCAGAAGGCTGGTTGAGTCTGGCAAATACTTCACCAAGCTGAAACCAGTAAGGTTAGTCTGGCAATCAAACCCTGAAATCAGCAACGGACTCCAAGAAAGGAACGGACTCCCAGGTAAGAACATACAACTACTGGTGGTGGTGGTGGTGGTCGTGGTGGTCGTGGTGGCGGTGGTCGTGACTTTTGCTGGCGCTGGCGCTGGCTCAAAAGTCAACAGGTGGGGTTAAATTCTCGCCGACGCCGCTTGAACCAACCCCAAAAGCAATTTCGAGAACCGCCGCCAAATGCAACCACTAGCCTCCATTTGCTTCCGTCCCCTGGACAAAACATAAGTCAAATTCCGGTAGTGATAGATTCCCCTCAAAACCAACAGGGCAAATTAAAAGACCCTCTTAAGCAAGCAGGACTCCGTACATTTCCCCTTAAGACATCACCCCCCCACCAAGGGACACTCATCTTTCATGGGCCAAAAAGGTGATCGCCAAAAAAATGGAAATATGGGTACGGGTCAAAATTAAACCACCAGGAATTGGACCGCAGGTTGTAGTCCTTGGTTCCATTTACCAGGGCGAGCCATGTTGGGGATTCCTATTTTTGACCCACACCCATATGGCCATTGGTCAAAAATAGGAATCCCCAAAATGGCTTGCCCTGGTAAATGGAAACAAGGAGTAAAACCTGCGGTCCAATTCCTGGTGGTTTAATCTTGAGCCACAGCCATATAGGAATCCACCCCTGGCAGCTGCCAGACCAGTTGGACCGATCCAACCGCCAGAGATACTGTGGATGGACAAAATCCATTTCGCACCACCTAAGAAACCTGGAATGATGATTCTCCTGTAAATACCAACAAAATATGGCTTCAAGCATGGCTTCTTAGGTGGCGAGGACCCATCCACAGTATGACCCGCCAGAGCCATGAGCTCCTCTCCCGCCTGGGCACCGTCCTGAAGTCCGATGGACACGCGCCACAGCCCCACCAGCCGCGAGCTCTCGTCCACCACCCGCATAGCGCTCCAGCGCCCCGCCTCAGTGACTCGGCGACTCGGTCACTGACTCGGGCACCGGCGGTCGCGGTCGCTTGCGAGAGGTGTAGGGAATGACTCCGGAGTCTCCATGACGCCTAAAAAATGGTTGGTCATTCCCCAAAATGAAGGGGTCATGGACCCATCAGGGTCCTGGAGACTTTCCGGACCGTTCGGGGTGCCGGGAATGAACCGAAGGGAATCCTTGAAAGGAAACCACCAGTTGGATTGGTTATAGGGGTCATGCCCTCATTCCCTGCGGAGCACCAGCAAGCAAAACCTTGTATTGAACTTGATGCTCATTGCTTTAGGCTGAAGTCAATCAAACAAAGGCTACTGAAGATGAGTTTTGGTCTACCCAAACCAATGTTAAGAACTAACTACAAAGGCGGCCGCGCCAATCATTCTGGTTGGGACTGTTCCTTCCTGACCTTCACTTACCCAGATTGTGATTGTGGCTCAGTTGAGATTGCCCCAAACGAAGCGTGGAACCACCAGGAACCATAGCTAGAGGCCGACCCAAGCATGAAGCTTGCATTGCTGTTGACCCATCTGAACCAAGCTTCGTTTTCTGTGGGTCCAATCGGAAATCCACTGCTTCCCAAAAAGTTAGAGTCCAAAGATGGAGATAACCACCATATAGTGACAAAAACATGAATGCCCCCTGGAATGTCGCAGCGAATGAAGCCCAAGAAGGGCAAGCGGGCCTCTGCGAGTGGAATTATCCTTGAACTTCTTGACATGGTGGGTCCCTTTTGCCACAACGCCGCGCGCGCGAGCAAAGCTGAAACCATGCAATGCACGCCCCGAGGTGGGGGAGGTGTCCGCACTCAAGATGAGGAGATGCAAACCCAAATAGCACAGGACGCAACTTGAGAGCCGCCGATTTTGAGACGCTACTTCCTGTCACACCATTTGGCTTCCCTTCACGGACCAAAACCCAAACCCCACGCCGGCGAAAAGGTTGCACGCCCTCCTCCCATTGCGTGGGGTTGTGCGCTGAGCGAGTTGCAGTGATCATGGGGACGTCCTCCATGCCGGGCTCGGGGGTGGTGTTGGCCGCTCGCCACTCGCCCTTCAGCAGAGCAGAGGTGTCCTGAGCGCGAACGCATGCGAGCAAGCGGGTCCCAACCCTTGCCCCTCCACAGATTTCAAGACAAAGCGAAAACGAGGCATCGAACGCAACGTCAGGGCTAGAGTCAGCTCCCAACTCAAATAAGGGTTCCTGACCTCAATGAGACCCAAGCTTGTAGCTGCTTCAGAAGCGTTCTACTCTCAAGTAGGCAGAATCCAACTGACGCTTGGCTCGCCCTGGCTTACCATCTTGCCAAACTTACAGAGGCTGATGTCACAGCACCTGGACAGTCACCAGCCCAGCTGGCCAAGACGTGTTCGGATACACATAGCTCGATCCTCAGGTCTGACTGGTACTTTAGATGCCAATCCCTTGCGCAAGGAAATGGCAATGTCTATGTGTCATGTGTTCCTTTTTCGCTATGTGGCCATGGGTCAAAATCCAAATCGTACCCCCAGTAAACATCCCAATCCCCACTAAAATAGGTCCTAAAATGGGTGGTGAATTCACCTACCCCAAAATGGTACCCCATTGGTTCGGGGAACCCGTGTGAGGGTATCCATCCAATTTGGGGTTGCTGATTTGAGAGGAGCCCACATTCTGCAACACGGTGTTGCTCCACTGGGCATCTCTGGGTTGGCCAGCGAAGGATGCTCGACACGGAAGTTCATCCCTTCATGGTTTGCAGGGAACCAGCGACATATCGGGGGAACCAACCACGCGAAAATACAGCGCCAACTCTGCCCAGGGGGCACTTTCATCCACCACAGCTCCGTCAAAGCCTCAGCTCAAGTTGTGATGGGGTTTGGTAGGGACGTGTCTTCAAATAGGGGTACCCCAAAATAAGTGATAACACCGCAAACCGGAAAAAAGCGGATCTGTGCCAGCCTCAATGTGGGTACGTATGTCTATTTTCAAAAACCCACATAGGACCCCAATTGGTGTTAAAGGGAATCTATCACTACTAATAAACAATGTGTTTTTTTTTTCCCCTGATGGTGATCTTCCTTTTTGGATCCCTTTAAAATCACCCAAAAGAGGGTACCCTCAAAGAGACGGAGCTGGATTCAACCGAAACAACTCGCAGCTTTCCGCGGGAGCCAGTCTCTTTCTGAAGCAAAAACGCGGGCGATGCCGGAAAAAATCCAAGCCATTCTCTTAGGTGGGTGTGTCTTTTTTTGGAGTTGGTACTAGTACCCCTTGTTTGAGTTGGGGTCCCTTTAAAGACCACATCTCCCAAGTATTCTCCGGGGTGTCAACTCTGAAAGAGACTACGAAGGGGTGCAACGAAGCCAACCCCTCCGACCCGCAGTGGTGGCCCACAAGGGCCAAAGCTCAGCAAGTGTCTTGGTGTGACAGGCGGGGAATGAGACATGGAATTGAGAAAACCTGTCCAAGTGACGGTTTCCTTTTAAGGGGATCCCCAAACGGTTCATTCCCACATTTCCTACTTAGCACCAGCAGGTCGTGAGGGGCATATGATTTTTGGAGGACTGGGATCTCGACTTTGGACTAAAAGTGCGGCACATCCGGGACATCCCGTGACAGCCCAACCACTCGCGCTCATGTTGTGAAGTCAAATCCGGTGCGCTGTCGCTGCTCCAAATCACCAGTCAATCGCCAAGATCACGAGAAAACACCCATGGATGACCACCCCCTGCGAGGCGCCAAGAAGCAACCAAATCAACTAAATAGGAAAGCGCCGATGCATTCAAGGCTCAGAATTGTACTGTGGACGGCTGCTCCTCCTCCTCGCAATCCTCGTCATCTTCATCCACCACTTTCCTTCGCTCAAAAAGCACCGCCAGCCCAAGCAGGACGAGGTTCCCTCGAATCAAGCCCTTCCAACTATTACCCATCATCTTTATGGCTTGAACATATCCCTGCTGGCCCTCGACCACCAAATGAAATGCCCCCGCACAGGTGCAATAGGTAGTAGCGATGTGTATCAAGTCCCTTCATCTACCACAGGTCAATGAAACAACCCAGGTGCAGCAAATGAAGATCTCATGCCCGGACTATGCATTCCAAATGACCGGCCCGGACTGTTTTAGGTGTCTGAGCCAAAATGTTGATGACAGGGATGACTCCTTCGGGGTTTAGATGGTCACCCTGGATAAGCCGTCTATTTTCCGGGCCCTTTCAAGAAGGCTTCAAGAAGCGTGGTGGATCTCCGAGCCTAACACACTTAGACTCCCAAAGCAGGGAGTCTAAGTTGTCCTGGGCCTTTGCCAGATCGCAAGTTTTTGGAGAGGCTCGAGGAATAATGCTTCTTCTGCACATTGGCGCTGAACACCCGAAGCAGCCACCAAACCCTTCCATGAAGCAAGTTCCCAAATGGCTTGCCTCTGCAGAAATTCGATCCGCCGAAACCAATCCGCCGAAGTCAGCTCTCCAAAGAACTCTGGCTCAATGGACTTCCAAAGCGAAAACTGGCGCGAAGCTACACAAAACAAACTGCACAATAGCCAGGTCCGTGGGAGTTACCTGTATACCCAAGAACTGTCCAAGCGGCTTCTTCTCCGAAGACTTCTTCTGATCCCCGAAGATGTCCAAGGTCACTTGCCGGCCCACCAACTTCCCCTGCGAGAGACTCTCTTGGGACCTGGAAGCTGACAATGCCACTTTACCGTGTGGGTGGCTCGTCCTTTTTTGGAGTTGGTACCCCTTTTTGTGCAGTTTTCACGGGAAATCAACAGGAAAACTACAACTTTTGGGGAGTCCCCTCAAAAAGGCACACTCATGTGGCCGCGTAGCCATCTTTCACTCGGCAAGTGGGAAGCAGGCCGATGCATGGAAAATCGGGGGGGGGGGGGGGGGGTTCGCAAGGAATGTACCCTCCCACTACTACCTCCCCTGAAAAAATATATGATATTTTCATGAGTGATAGATTCCCCTTAAGACCAACAGGGAAACATAAACAATATGCTTGAGCATAATGGAGGCTAAGATGAAACCCACCAGGCCTCTTTCAGAAAAAGAGGCCTGTCATGTTCCATGAAGCTGGACTGTGTTTCCAACCTTGGGCCTGTGCAAATGCCTCGTTGGCCTTCAGTTCCTCTACGCCACAAACCACGTCCCAAGCTTGAGGTGAACATTTGCCAAGACTTGATCCAGTCATGGTCTCAGAACTTCCTTGTCAGAAATGGTGACCACTACTCACGGGGCGAAGGCGCGCAGGCGCGCATAGGCGTGTCAAAGTTCTAATCAGCGATACCAGAGGTGATTCCACCCACGAAGAAAAAGCCTGCGCCTCAAGCGATTCAAAGGTTGATCAATTCAGGGCAAGCAGGTGCCCAAAAAAGAACCAAGATGATATGATCGACCAACCTGGTGCTTGACCTACTTTGCCTGGACAAGCATCATTGATTCTTACTGGTCCAGGTTTCCCATGGAAAGGGACAGGTTCGTCGCGTTAGAAGACCCGCTACAACAACCATAGGACCTGGCCTCAGACTCTACAACATGCACTCGTCTTGTGTCTCCCCCTTTGCTTGTCATTGTTGGATTTCAAATCTTTGTGAAACGAGGATGAAATCGCTTTCAAGATCACCCGCCAGAGTCAAGCAAACCCTCAACCCCATACACAAAGAGTGTACCCAAAAGGAGGCAAACAAAAACAATGGTGGAAGAAACCTGCGCATGGTTGGAACAGTCTCCCTACTAACTTGTTTCAAACGGTGGGGGGGGGGTCTGGAGAAGTTAAAGCGTCACCCCCCTCTTGGTGTTCTTTACATATCATGGTCTGCGCGCCCAGCTAAAACAATCTACATTTCCAGATTCTGGTTCATAGGTGGTCAACCCTGCACTAGAATCAACAGAACATATTCTGTGAGACCCCAGAAACGACTTTTGATTCCCGTACGGAAACCTGTGTTTTGGACCTCAAAGCCAGTCAGCTCTTACAACAAGTGAGCTTCACCCCACTTAGGATCCAATCGGGGCTTGGTATGCAAAACCGGTCGCGGGACCCGTACCACACCCCGAGTCTCTGAATCGAGGTGTCAAAAGGGCCTATTTCGGGGCCCCAAAATCCATGCCGGCTGCAAGATCTCAACTTTTAGTAAGTGAAATTTGAGAAAACCAAATTTGAGAAAAAACACCACCAAACCGCCACCAAACCAAACTTGAGGAAAACAAAAACAACTCAGGAGACGTGGATGGCTTTCCGACCCGCCCCGCGCGGCTCACTGAAGGGCCTCGCTGCGCAGCGCCACGATGCGGATGGCCTGCGGCTTCGGCTTCGAGCTGGTGACGGCGGCCCCGCCCAAAAAAGGCGGGGATCAACTTTTAGAGCATCAGCTCAGGAATCTGTTGGGTGTCAACTTTTGGCATCACGTGTCAACTATTGTCATGCCAACTTTTAGTTGGAATGGTATCAACTCTTAGGGAATCATGGACGGCACTCAGGAATGGTGTCAACTTTTGTCTGGGTGTCGACTTTTGAGGACTGTGGATCTTCAGGAAGAATGTGGGTAGTCAATCCTGTTTACAAGGGAATGTGACCATGCGGGTACCGGCTGTTGTTGAGGGGGGCCCTTTTCAGGGTTGAAGGGCAACTAAATGGAAACCCCGAGCTTTGGGAACGAGATGCGGGGGCTCAAAAATCCCTTGACGGGCCTAAACCCAAATTAATGCCAGTACAGCTTGTTGCGCCAAGCCACGCTTACCTGCCCTTGTTTTGACACCTCGACTGTTGGCAAGAAGACGCACATCAGGGCAAACTACCAACCTGGCAAGAGGAAGCCAACGAAGGAACATGAAGTCTGCAGTGGTTGCCACCTACGCTGCTTCATGATTAGAGTTAGGCCCCGTTATAGAATGTATATTTTATTGTTTGCTTCACTTTGAGCCACTGGTAAAATGTAAAATGTATACTAAGTCTAGACAGGGCTTGTGACGTTTCAATGTGCGGCAAAGAGCTGCCGCTCTCAAAAGATGTGCCTCGCCTTCTTCTCGGGCTTGGCGTCCTTCTCCTGACGGACTGTGCTACAAACTTCTGCGGATGGTGGCTTTAAGAGGAGCCCTGAGTGTCTCAACTTGCGGGTGCGAGAGGTGCATGAGACATGGAATGACCCTTAGAAAAGCCATCCAATTGGTGGTTTCCTCTAAGGGAATCCCTGGGTTCATTCCCACGTTCCCTACTGAGCACCAGCAAGTAGTGGTTGTCTCAATTCCGTATGAGCGGTCCATCCCTGCAAACCTGGCCAATCCCAAGAAAGCTGGGCTTTAACCAAGCATGCTGTGAACAGGGCAGGAATCCAACTCAAGTAACGTGGATGCCAATGCTCCACGGGGCTCCGTTCCTATTTCAAAGCGCAACTCACTCGACAAGATAGATGGCCAGTACCGGAGAGCCAGTGTCCTTTACCGAACGAAATCATGGACCATGTCAGGGGGCATCGCCCGCTGATTTTCTGGGATCAAGGCGACTTGCACACCTTGAAATCGCCAAACTCACTGGGCGGTGTTGTGAGCATGGTCGTGGGGTTGACCTCACAACATCTTGAAATCAGGCGGGCATGTTGCTGAACACTACGTTACAGCAAGTAGTAATTTCCTGATGATCAATAAGGTATACGATTAATGCGTCCCATGCTCCTGAATAAATCAAAGTGGCATCCGCAAACCCAGCCAGATGTCAGCTGAGTGCTTTCAGCTGACGCTTAGTAGGCAATCAGGACTTCCTACCTTTTTCTCCTTGCTTGCCTACCAGAACCATCCACTATCAGGCTTTCCTACACTTCTTCTTGACACAGCCCCCTATCAAAGGGACCAAACCGAAACCAATGCCACCTAGTTTTAACCAAAACCTGAAACCCAAACCTGTAGTGGATGTCCAGCAAGAAAGAGCACCCTTTTGCGTGTAGTTGGTTTTAAAGGGAAACCCTCTCCGAGAAAAAACAACGAAAAAACAGCCACAACTGGCACAGGAAATTTAACAATTGGGAAGATCAGAAAACTGTCGTGGTTCTAGAAACCTCCGCCATCCCGCCGTTTCTTGAGTCAAGGAAATGGATTTCTTTGGTGAACCCCCCAAAAGGGAAAGAACCCCCTCCAACTGACAGACTAACAAAGGCAATCCCTACAGGTGGCTTTGGAAGAAACTAATAGCTCACGCACTTTGACGGGGCGAGCTTCCTAATTACCAAAGGCTCGTCGCGCACATGCGCCTTGTCGGCGTCTGGCTCCGCCTCCTCTTCACTGTCTGTGTCCTTGGCTACGAGTCAGTTTGAAACATTTAGGACATGTTCCTTATGGTTGCGGCGAAATGAACACTCATGGGGTATTTGGCACGCGGAAATCGCTGTCACAACCGCGGACCTCTTTGAAACAGTCCCCAACAGGGTGGCACAACATGTCTCCCTCCGGGCAGCAAGCAAAGGCCGACGCCGTTGCTGAGAGATTTGGAAGGCGTTTGCAAGATGTGAACAAAGTATAACAAAGTACCATGCAAGACCAACTCTTCGAGAATTGCTATCTGCATCCCAATGCTTTGCTGGGTAGAACCAGGAATGGCAAGGGTTGATATGTGAATCTGACCGAAAAAAGAGTGTGGAACAGAATGTAGCTGGTTTTCAACAAGTCCAAGCAAACACGTCGAGCAGTTGCTTGTCAGTTTGCAGTAGATCCCTCAATTAAGCTCAACAGCCGTGCACTTTCCGGACCTTCGGCCAAGAAACATGGGTCGAAACTGTGCAAACCCCAGCCCCGCAACAAGTCCTTTTAGACCGCCCTAAAAAGGGTATCCGTCGCCTCAATACAAGCACCTCTCTCGGGTGGTTTCCCGTTGATGTCCCTTTGAATTCAGCCAACCACACAGTGTTGGAACTTCCAGGGACCGCCAACCACACTTCAGGGGTTTCATCGCAACCCCCCCCCCCCAAAAAAAAAAACGGGGAGAAACAAACACACACACACACACACACACACACACACACACACACACACACACACACACACACACACACACACACACGCCGAACCCCCGTGCCGTTCCCCCGTTCTCCCGAGCGGCGTATTCGGAGCCGGACTCGCAGCCATAGAGCTCCTCGAAGAACTGTTCCAGCTCCTGCATGGAATGGTCCCAGGGTTTTGTTCGATGGCACACTGGCTTAGATGGGTTGCATGCCCCATTTGCTGCCATTTTGGTCTTTGCCAGTTTTCTCTTTAAATAGATGGCTAGTTTGCCCTTTTTGCCATCTTTTTGGTTAAACATAGATGGCATTTGCCACTTTTCGCTGTTGGTTTTTAAAGGGCGGTGTTCAATGGTTCCATGGCTCTTAGATTCACTGAGAAGCATGCATGGCTCTTGTCGACCCACTTCCTGAGATTGTGCGTGTGTGTTTGGGGTGTTTGTTTCAGGGTACCAGCAAATGGGGTCCGGGTACTTCAGATCGACATTGGGGGCATTGGGTGTGTTAGGCTGTGTATTGTTTCAGGGTCCTAGTACCGGCCCTTTTGGGGTTGGTTGAAAGGAAAGCACAACTCGCTTCCGATCGAGCAGATTGGCGGAATTTCCCTGGTGAATGCATGGGCCAAAAAAAGAGATTGTGCGTGTGTTTGTGAGGCTGTGTGCTTGTTTCAGAGCAGGAAAAGGGGTTGGTTGAAAGGAAAGCACAACTCACTTCCGATCGAGCAGATTGGCATGAGAAAGTGCTCTAAACTTCTTGTCTGCCGCGAACATGGTCCAAACCCAAGTGTTTCAAGTCCATGAGCTCGAAGGAGAACTACGAGCCATGGATTGTAGACCTGAAGAGCTCAAGTACCCCGAGTGCCTTTGGTTGCGGCTCATTCTCAAAGCCCGGAGCGGTCATTCTCTGAGCACCAGAAAGAGCAGCAACATAGCCGAGGCAATACTAAGCCTCACTTTGGACAGCTTAGGCTATCCTACCTTGTTGCACAGGACCATCCCTTCATTTAGGACCTTTTCTGAGATTCGTGTTGCACCTTTCTGGACAGGGGGCAACAGCGAAACGTGTAAAATCCAGAAGCAAACGGGGAAGAAGAAAAAAACGGACCAGGGTGGACTCAAACCACAACACTAGGTACGTGAGCTCGTAGCCTGCAAAGGCGCCACGCCAACGACGCCCTATCCAGTAGGCGACTGGTCCAACTGCCTGAGTCTGCTCTTTCGTGGTGCAATTGTTGTATTTGCCGGGGTCGTCAACAACGACAAACAAACCAACCAACAAACAAACAAACAAACAAGCAAACAAACAAACAAACACACACACAGACAGATGCTACTGCAATTGGTGGCTCTGGCGAGGCTTTTCCACCATCCCCCGGTCCTCTTCGATGTTGTGCTCCGACAGCAACGCATGCATGCGGTCGAACCTTTGCTGAGGCCAATTGCAGCAATCACGACAAATTGGCATGCTGTTGACCCCCCTGCGAAAGGTTTAACTTATTGGGGTTTAGTGGAAAACCCACTAGTTTCCCAAAGAGATAAAGTCTAAAGATCCAAGTCAAGACAATCTTGAACGCGGGAAATTGAAATGACAATCACTTCACTGCAGCCCAAACAGCCAATTGCTGGCAAATGTTCACAGGGTTTTGCCAAGGCAACATGGTCAAATTCAGGTGTCTCTCTTTTTGCGAGCTCTTTGTGTCCACAAAGTCCGCTCTCGTAGATCAGCTTCCCTTCAAGTGGCGAGCGGAGCCCGGTGCATCGGAGCTGTTCCGGGGCTTCTCATTTACCCTAAGCCAGGAGTTCAAATCTCGCCACCAATCCATATGGCTATGGCTTAAAAAACCAGTACCAAAATGGAACCCTGTCAAGTGGAAACATGGACCTGCGTAACCCCTCCTGTCGAATTTTGAGCCACAGCCATATCTGAGATCATCTGCCAGGAGATTTCTCAGGGTTCCATCAGCTCAAACACCCTGACGTTTTTGGAGGAAATACCTGCAGGATTCACAAGCAAGACTCCCTGCTGCAAAGGGCGAAGCAATTTGTGACAGTAATTGTGTCATTGGTGTAGAAGGGAAGCACAGGTCAATCCGCCAAACAACTGGGAGGGCCCCTTTCTGTACGTCGAATGTCTGGGCAAATCACTATACTTCACATATCAGGAATAAGAAATCCAATTCACTGGGCTGTCCTCCCATCCCCCCCTAGAAGCATAATTATTTCTGGCTTAAATGGAAACCCAACCACTAAGCCAGCCAGAAACGACTAAGAATCTAAGGAACCGGGTGGCAAGGAATCGCCAAGATGAGTGATTCTCACGCGCCAATGGGTGCTCGTTCAACCCCCAAATCTCCTTATGGTGCCGCCGAACCCCACGCGACTACACCAAATGAACCAAGCCAAACCAAACCTCGAACGATCTGATTACACCAAATGATCCGAGCCAAACCAAACATCGAAAATCTTACTACATCAAATGAACCAAGCCAAACCAAACCTCGACCGATCTTACTACACCAAATGAACCAAGCCAAACCAAACCTCGAACGATCTGACGACACCAAATGAACCAAGCCAAACCAAACCTCGAATAACTACACCAAATGAACCAAGCCAAACCAAACCTCGAACGATCTGACTACACCAAATGAACCAAGCCAAACCAAACCTCGAATGATCTGACTACACCAAATGAACCAAGCCAAACCAAACCTCGAATGATCTGACTACACCAAATCAACCAGGCCAAACCAACTCTCGAACGATCTGACTACACCTAAGGAACCAAGCCAAACCAAACCTCGAATGATCTGACTGCACCGAATGAACCAAGCCAAACCAAACCTCGAATGATCTGACTACAGCAAATGAACCAAGCCAAACCAAACCTCGAATGATCTGACTACACCAAATGAACCAAGCCAAACCAAACCTCGAATGATTTGACTACACCAAATGAACCAAGCCAAACCAAACCTCGAACGATCTGACTACACCAAATGAACCAAGCCAAACCAAACCTCAAACGATCTGACAACCAAGCCAAACCAAACCTCGAATGATCTGACTACACCAAATGAACCAAGCCAAACCAAACCTCGAATGATCTGACTACAGCAAATGAACCAAGCCAAACCAAACCTCGAATGATCTGACTACACCAAATGAACCAAGCCAAACCAAACCTCGAATGATCTGACTACACCAAATGAACCAAGCCAAACCAAACCTCGAATGATCTGACTGCACCAAATGAACCAAGCCAAACCAAACCTCGAATGATCTGACTACAGCAAATGAACCAAGCCAAACCAAACCTCGAATGATCTGACTACAGCAAATGAACCAAGCCAAACCAAACCTCGAATGATCTGACTACAGCAAATGAACCAAGCCAAACCAAACCTCGAATGATCTGACTACACCAAATGAACCAAGCCAAACCAAACCTCGAATGATCTGACTACACCAAATGAACCAAGCCAAACCAAACCTCGAATGATCTGACTACACCAAATGAACCAAGCCAAACCAAACCTCGAATGATCTGACTAGAGCAAATGAACCAAGCCAAACCAAACCTCGAATGATCTGACTACACCAAATGAACCAAGCCAAACCAAACCTCGAATGATCTGACTACAGCAAATGAAACAAGCCAAACCAAACCTCGAATGATCCGACTACACCAAATGAACCAAGCCAAGCCAAACCTCGAATGATCTGACTACACCAAATGAACCAAGCCAAACCAAACCTCGAATGATCTGACTACACCAAATGAACCAAGCCAAACCGAACCTCGAATGATCTGACTACACCAAATGAACCAAGCCAAACCAAACCTCGAATGATCTGACTACACCAAATGAACCAAGCCAAACCAAACCTCGAATGATCTGACTGCACCAAATGAACCAAGCCAAACCAAACCTCGAATGATCTGACTACACCAAATGAACCAAGCCAAACCAAACCTCGAATGATCTGACTACAGCAAATGAACCAAGCCAAACCAAACCTCGAACGATCTGACTACACCAAATGAACCAAGCCAAACCAAACCTCGAATGATCTGACTACACCAAATGAACCAAGCCAAACCAAACCTCGAATGATCTGACTACACCCAAATGAACCAAGCCAAACCAAACCTCGAATGATCTGACTACACAAATGAACCAAGCCAAACCAATCCAATGATCTGACTACAGCAAATGAACCAAGCCAACCAAACCTCGAATGATCTGACTACAGCAATGAACTAAGCCAAACCAAACCTCGAATGATCTGACTACAGCAAATGAAACGGTCGAAACCAAACTCGAATGATCTGGACCAGCAATGAACCAAGCCAAACCAACCTTCAATGATCTGACTACAGCAAATGAACCAAGCCAAAACCAAACCTCGAATGATCTGACTACAGCAATGAACCAAGCCAAACCAAACCTCGAATGATCTGACTACAGCAAATGAACCAAGCCAAACCAAGTCCGAATGATCTGACTACAGCAAATGAACCAAGCCAAAACAAAACCTCGAATGATCTGACTACAGCAAATGAACCAAGCCAAACCAAACTCCTCGAATGATCTGACTACAGCAAATGAACCAAGCTAAAACCAAACCTCGAATGATCTGACTACAGCAAATGAACCAAGCCAACCAAACCTCGAATGATCTGACTACAGCAAATGAACCAAGCCAAACACATCTTTGGCTAGCAGCTCTGGATCTCCGTTCTCACGCCAAACCAAACTCCTCGAAAGTGATCGTTCGAGCAAATGAACCAAGCCAAACCAAACCTCGAATGATCTGACTACACCAATGAAACTCGCCAAAACCAAACCTCGAATGATCTGACTACACCAAATGAACCAAGCCAAACCAAACCTCGAATGATCTGACTACAGCAAATGAACCAACCCAACCAAACCTCGAATGATCTGACTACACCAAATGAACCAAGCCAAACCAAACCTCGAATGATCTGACTACACCAAATGAACCAAGCCAAACCAAACCTCGAATGATCTGACTACAGCAAGTGAACCAAGCCAAACCAAACCTCGAATGATCTGACTACACCAAATGAACCAAGCCAAACCAAACCTCGAATGATCTGACTACAGCAAATGAACCAATCCAAACCAAACCTCGAATGATCTGACTACACCAAATGAACCAAGCCAAACCAAACCTCGAATGATCTGACTACACCAAATGAACCAAGCCAAACCAAACCTCGAATGATCTGACTACACCAAATGAACCAAGCCAAACCAAACCTAGTACGATTCAATTACACCAAATGAACCAAGCTAAACCAAACTTTAATGATCTGACTACACCAAATGAACCAAGCCAAACCAAACCTCGAATGATCTGACTACAGCAAATGAACCAAGCCAAACCAAACCTCGAATGATCTGACTACACCAAATGAACCAAGCCAAACCAAACTCGAATGATCTGACTACAGAAAATACCAAGCCAAACCAAAACCTCGAATGATCTGACTACACCAAATGAACCAAGCCAAACCAAACCTCTCGAATGATCTGACTACACCAAATGAACCAAGCCAAACCAAACCTCGAATGATTTGACTACACCAAATGAACCAAGCCAAACCAAACCTCGAATGATCTGACTACAGCAAATGAACCAAGCCAAACCAAACCTCGAATGATCTGACTACACCAAATGAACCAAGCCAAACCAAACCTCGAATGATCTGACTACACTAATGAACCAAGCCAAACCAAACCTCGAATGATCTGACTACACCAAATGAACCAAGCCAAACCAAACCTCGAATGATCTGACTACAGCAAATACTGAAACCAAGCCAAACCAAACTCGAATGATCTGACTACACCAATGAACAAGCCAAACCAAACCTCGAATGATCTGACTACAGCAAATGAACCAAGCCAAACCAAACCTCGAATGATCTGACTACACCAAATGAACCAAGCCAAACCAAACCTCGAATGATCTGACTACAGCAAATGAACCAAGCCAAACCAAACCTCGAATGATCTGACTACAGCAAATGAACCAAGCCAAACCAAACTCGAATGATCTGACTACAGCAAATGAACCAAGCCAAACCAAACTCGAATGATCTGACTACAGCAAATGAACCAAGCCAAACCAAACCTCGAATGATCTGACTACACCAAATGAACCAAGCCAAACCAAACCTCGAATGATCTGACTACAGCAAATGAACCAAGCCAAACCAAACCTCGAATGATCTGACTACACCAAATGAACCAAGCCAAACCAAACCTCGAATGATCTGACTATGACCTCGAATGACTACACCAAATGAACCAAGCCAAACCAAACCTCGAATGATCTGACTACAGCAAATGAACCAAGCCAAACCAAACCTCGAATGATCTGACTACACCAAATGAACCAAGCCAAACCAAACCTCGAATGATCTGACTACAGCAAATGAACCAAGCCAAACCAAACCTCGAATGATCTGACTACACCAAATGAACCAAGCCTTCAAGCAAGTCCAAAACACAAGCAATATCTACTCTATGCTTCGAGTCCAAGATGCTTGTCCTCGAGGCCACACTCTTGGAACTCCCGCCGCAGCTTCTTGTTCTTCCTGGCGTAGGGCCGGTGCCAAATGCTTCCATTTGCGAATGCGCCCCCTGGGAAAAATGAAAAAACAAATATGCCCAGTAGTGATAGATATGTGATAGATTCCGTTTACAACCAACAGGGTAAGACACATATATTCTTAAGCCAATGGAAGAGTCGGTGTCTGGATTTTAGGGGATTCACTACGGTGGATGGAAGAAAGCTTGCATGACTTTTGAAACAGATCCATGCCATTGTGTTACGCCTTGCCCGCGCACGATAATCAACATTGGTGCTCAGTCTGGTAAGCTCACGCAAGACTTCTTCCGTCAGTAAGATTTTGGTCCTTTTGGTTTCCATCTAAAGCCACCAGAAAGGGGCACCCTCCCATACTGGGTTTGCCTCTAACTCGGCAAGCTTTGGCTTCCCTTTGGTTCCCTTTGAGCTTCACTTGAATGTGGTATCCTTCAGTAACCCGAAAATACCGAAAAGGGCTGGGAGCCTTAAAAAAGACATGCCGAACTTTTGGATCCCACCCGGCGGCTGCCATGACAGGGTTCTGAAGCAATCAGTGCAAAGCTCAATCTCCGTCTCGCGTCTGCCGTGTTTGGTTGGGAATCGCACTTGCCTTGTCAAGCGCGACATTGTGAAACATTGCGTCCGCAGAGATGTTGGCCCACCTTTAAAGATGCCCCAGCAGTCCACCATCTGACCGCTATTCCTGTGGACAAAGCCACGAACACTTGTGAGATCGCCTTTGAATGCTGTCAGGCCATCTTACTCGGCCACGCCACGGAGCAATTGAAAAGGTCCGGTAATTGAGGGGAGATTAGCTTTCGGTCAGCCCCTTTGTGGTTTGTCCCTCTCGACTCGCAAACAACAGGGTTTCAAAAAAAACACCAAGCCAATCCAAGCCAGCTTCCGGTCATTGGGTAAGGCTCTTGTAACTTCGCGAAAGCAGTTGTACTACGGTTTTCTCAGAAATTGGCCCAAAAAAACTACCCAGTTGGCTCAAGCTGGTTACAACCACAACTTTTTGGCGCGCGCAACTGGGCTGAAGTCAGCCCCCTTACCATAGTTCTACCCTCACTTGATTCGTGTTCAGTTCGGACCCTTCCAGGCAACGCCGTGTCCTGATGCCCTTGAAGAGCTCGAAAAGCTGCTTGTAGCGCCGCAGCACGTTCCCCAAATCACCGTTATAGGTATCCAGCACCTCCTGAGGTGTGTTTTCCAATAGATTAAGTTTGCAATTCGAGGAACGTCGCCTCAATTCAAAAAAAAGGAACAGTTGGACCTTCGGACTCCCAACGTATAAAACAGTTGGTTTGTCAAGCAAACTTAAGAAACAAAGTTTGATCTTATGTGGAGCCGCCCACATATCCCCACAATGAGAGCCATGATCAAAACACCCTTCATGGTGCCATAGTTTTGTCCCCTTACGAGGAACTGTTACCAGACTGGCAGTGTATTGATTCGCCGAAACAAGTCCAAACTGCTCATCCACCGCTAAAATGGTCTTCCCCCAATTTGTTTTAGTAAAGCAAGTTGGGGAGTGAGAACCAAATTATATAAAACCCCGAAGCAAAGGTTGCCTAACAACCCCCAAGTAGAGGAGCCCTTTGACCATGGGACCTGAGATTATAAATGCTTCGCCTGGCACATGTGAAGCTGTGCAACACTGCAACACTCACTCGCAGCATTGATGTGCTGGTGCCATCGTTGGATGCTCAGCCCATGTTCAAGTGGTTCAAGCAACGACTTGAACGACAGCAGGCGGGTGCCCCCGAACAACTAGTGGTGCGCAAACAATCTATCTTTCTTCAAGGTCAGGAATCAACATGCCTCAAAAACTCGCAGCCCCAAACCAATTCAACTCCGGGCAACCGTGAGCTCTATGACGTGGTCATAGAACTGCAGAAGGCCCTCGGAGAGTGTGTCCCTGTCCACCTCTCGGCCCTGAGCACTCAGAGAGCTACTGACAAACAATCACCCACCAGCAGAGACCCAAATCGAGGGGTTCTCCCGGCATAGCCTATTTGGAACCCATTCACGCCCAAGAGGAGCTGTCGACACCGGGTTCCACTTCTTTTTAGGTTTCTATGAGGCCCGCAAGAGTTGTTCTCGCTCAGGAACATCAAACAAGGTGCTTGTGGAAAGGGGTAATTCTAGAAGTGGCGGAAAAGGGGGTCCGGTGACAATACAGCAGAGAGCCGGATTGGGGCGTGGACGGGTTTGCCTATGGTGGGGGGATTGGTGGCAAACACGAAAAGCTCTTGGGCAATGAACGCCTACTACCGCCAGTTTGGTGTACATGTCTTTGCAACTCAATGTGGCACTTCAAAGACGTGGAACAACTAAACACAGCCAAACACATGGTACAACCAAACCCATCATACAACATGACACAACTAAGTACCGTACCATGAGCCTGGGTTACACGCCGCCCCTGAAAACCTGATGAGCGCCCTGCTATGAGGTCAATTTGCCCCTGTTGGTAGGTCCTTACCAGAAACCAAAGGATCACCCAAAATGCTTGCGGCTCTCCTAGTTGTTTGGCAACCTTGCTTCATCCGGACAAATAGAACGATTGCAAGGAAGCATAGGACTTGTTCGCTCCAAGTAGCCAACTATCTTGACCTGGCGCACAAACGCAGACCCACCTCTCAGGTTCCAAACCAGCCTTTCAAACAAAAACAAAGCTGCTCGTCGTGAAATCCCGGACGCAATGCAGCAAAGCCTCTCTTGATCCACGCTCCGACTCATTCTGCTCCTCCTGTAGTGGGCAGGGATGCGGGAGCGCCGATTGGCTGAGAGCCGCTGTTTCAGCCCAACCGCCAATGATGCTAAACACGCAAAAACAAATGCCCACATTCCTTGTTTTCCCACATCCCTGCTAGTTTGTTCTCGAGGTGAGCTTCCTTTGATCGCCGTCCGGCAAAGCCAACCCCTCCTCGGCATCCTCATTGAAATTGAACTCCTCACACTCCTCCTCTTCTTCGCACCCCTCGTCATCGCACCCCTCGTCATCGCTAATGTCCACGCGGCGCCTTCCTTGCTTTTCCTGACACTTGGCAACTCAGACGAACCACAATCAAAAGGCCAGGTAGGCGAAGATTAGCAAGGGATTGTCCCAACCATGAGGGGTGCAGCCGCCTTTTTTTCCTGGCAATTTCATACCAGGTTTCGATTGCGACTCAGAGGAGCCGCGGGCAAAATGGTGATTGCAACCCAAAGGACATGGAATAATTGCAGATGTAGAACATTGGCGATTCCCCAAATGTCCCTCACAAATCGTCCACAAACTACTGATATGACTGGGGGTCAAAATTAAACCACCATAAAACCGCAGAATTTAGTCCTTGTTTCCATTTGCCAGGGTTGCGTTTGGGCACCTATTCTTTTGACCCACACCCATGTTTTGACCAAACACACCAGTGCCTGCTTGAGTGAGCGTGTATGCGTTGCTTGTGTGGGAAACCCTTCGACCAAATCCAATCCCAAACTGGCCCAATTATTTCACCATCAAAGTCACCCTATAAGTGGTTGGTTAAAGGGAAACCACCAACTAGCTTCTAGCTTTGATAATCCTCAGAAACCATCAAAATCATGACCCGAGCCAAACAGACTGCAGAATTCGTCTTCGGGATCCAGATCCGAATCATACCCAGCGGCGCCACCTGGACCTAATGATGTCTTTCTTGAAACCTCTTTCTGGCTGTTTGAGAGGGAAAACAAAGAGAAACCACCCATGTTGGTGGTTCTATATCTCAAGGGAAGTCTCAGGTATGGTGTTGGAGGCATAGATGCCAAAAACCGCCAGGCCACCAAGATCACCTCTCTATGAACCCCTGTGCCTCCAACAAGCGGTCCGAGCAAGGAGGCTCTCAAACACAACTCAAGTTCTTGTGTCAATCCATCCAGCTGCCATTTGCTTCAGGTGTCGTCCTATCGTGGACGTGTCTGGCGGGTTGCTTGAAAAGAGTTCCACTGTGAGACCCTTTCAGGTGGCTGGACGCCCATGTTGGGGAACTGTTTGATATGTTTACTTCAACGTTTGCAAACAGAACCCAGCGGAGCCTGCCTTGCGCTTCTTCGCTGGAATCGGCTCGTCTTCGCCGCTTTCACGCGGCGTCAAATCCTCCCCCACCATAGACTCCATATCCAGAGCCTTCTCCTCCATTTGATCTAGCGCCTGGAGCGAAATCCCCTGGCTCCAGTGGGGCCTCTGGTAAAAAAGGAACTAAGGTCTGGGTTGAGTTCCTACCATCAGAAAGCCGCTTGGGGGCTTAGAAGATCCCCAAAACACACCTCCATCCATCGCGCTTTGGATCTATTATTCGGGATCTGAGAAAGAGGGACACGTCAGTGAGCCTTGGACCACGAAAAAAACAACTGCGACCCTGTTTTCTACAGGTTGCTTGAATGCTAGCTGATGTACTCCTTCCAACAGCCATGGAAGCTGGCAGGGCTCCAATCTGTCCTGTGCCAATGGGTTCCGGTCCGCAACACTCCAGAAGAAAATCATCTGAATGTCTGACCGAAACAATGACACCCAATCAACATGTTGCGTCAACGGAAGGGGTTGCCGCACTATCAACACCTTTGCCGCGTATCGCAAAAACATGTGTGTTGTTCCGCTGTTGTTGCGCCTGGGTGGCAGCATGAATATATACTGCCCCGCCTGCTGACAGGCTGAGTTGCATACTGACTTCAAGTGCATGATCGTTTGACAAAAGCCGTCATAAGCACGGAAACCCCCTGTTGACCCAACATGTCGCAAGCTCCGAACGTCGAGCCCGGTTGTTGACAACCTTTTTCGATGCGTCCTCCGATTGGCAATGGGTGTGGACATATTCGAAATGTTGCTTCCCCATTTTCGCGTTCACCTTGTGGTAAACCCACCCAAACTTCCATTTGCTTAAGCCCCCCAGAAAAAAATAAATAAATAAAAATCCAGTAGTGATAGATTCCCTTTAAAACCAACAAGGGAAAATAAAACATATTCTTAAGCAAATGGAAGCAAAACACAGCTGAAACCTGAACTCCCCAGCTTAATTACAGTGCCCGCGCCTCGTCTGAAAACACTGGCACCGGAGCCTCCACCCCGGCGGCGCTCACCTTCCTGGCTTCGGCGCGAGCGGGCCCCGTTTTCGGGGGTTGGTTCCAAGGAAAAGGGAAAACAACCAACCCATGGACCCATGGAGGTCCCAAAAAATATCGAGGCCGATTGGGCAGAACCATTTACTAAAATGTAGGCCAAGTAAAACCATTAGTTGAGATTTGAACCTTTTCAAAACCAGGCCCTATATGAAGGCCGATCAGACCAGGTGGAACCATTTGCGAAAAATTGCAAATATCATGCTCGGGCTCGGGCGGGATGGGAAAATTGGAGGCGGGGGGATGTGGCGGGTTAAGATTTCTGTAGCCCCCCCCCCCATAACAAAAAACGATAGACAGAAATCAATCCGCCAAGATGGTTGGGATATGACTTGTTTCCGGTGGAACACCCCCAAAGAAAGGTCAATGCTCATACGACTCCAACAGCGGTTGGGCCGGAATTTCGTGGGGAACCCCAGAAGCAACTCCCCGGTGAATGATGACCACGTAAAACCCTAAGAGTTCATACCCAAATAGGACCATCTCAAAAAAGGAAACCTCCTGGATGCTCAGAATTGGCAAACCATGTAGGACTTGGCCCTGAATTCCATGTCCCCCCCCCACCAAAAGCACTGGCACATACCACTGGCGGCCCACACACGTGCAAAGTCGTGGCGGAAAAGAACAAAAACACGTGCATGAACGTCTAAGACCTCCATTCTCAGCCCTTGAATCAGGTTCCAATAACTGCAGATTGCAAAGGCTGAATTTAGCGACATAGGACGTTATCCAAATCATTGTCTTCTGTCAAAGGAATGGTCAAATGCAAGTCCCTACTTGGCAGGCAACGCAAGCGGGTGTCTTTGGAGTTGGTACCCCCCTCTGGTTGGTAAAGAAAAATCAAAGTAAAACCGTTGCCCCATTTTGGGCGCCCGGTCCGATTTCCTAAAACAAGACCTGTCTATTGGTTTCCCTTTAAAACCATCCAAGGGTACCCTCAAAAAAGGACACGACTATGTGAGCGCTTCCTAAAATAGGGGACCCCAGGTTGTTGGTCGGTGTTCCTTCAACCAGCAAACAGGTTTGTGTTCCGTTGGGACAGCACTGGCAATGGCACCCTGGATCAAACAGAAGCCCTTGCACGAATCACCTTTCACCAAGCCGCCCTGCAATTATTCGGCTAGCTTTACCAACCTGGTGCTTCCATCACAGGGAGATGGGTGGTCTCCCTGCAAACCATCCAAAAAGGGTGGATCAGAAGCCATTCTGAGCAACCTCCACCCCACCCCGAAAAAAACCACCCCCAACCCCAACCCCAACTCCCCAACCACGCAATTCCCCCACCCCCCCAACCCCAACCCCAACCCACCCCGCAACTCCGCTCCTCGGATGCATGACGTTCTTCTTCCGCTTGATGGGAATGCCGTCTCCCTGGATTCTTCCCGCGGCGTCCACTGACAAAGTCATCTGCCACACGAAGCCCTCTGCGCCCAAGGGCGCTTGCTCCTGCGTGAAGGGAATGACCCGTTTTGGGTGTTGGCAGTGAACCGTGTTGGGATTCCCGAGTAGGAAACCGCCAGTGGGATAGGTTTCTTGGTTGCTGTAACGACGCCCCCGCAAAAAGTTTAGCCTTTTGGGTGTTTAGTGGAAAACCCCTTGATTTCAACCAAAAAGTTAAAGTCTAAAGATCCAACCCAATAGCAGTCAAGGTTTATAGAGGTCATTCCATTTCTGATTCCCTGCTGAGCACCAGCAAGAAACAAATTGGCAGCTCGCTGCGCGCTTTTAGCTCGCGAAGGACTCGTACCGGACCCGGTGTGTGTTTCTGGGGTGTTCAGGTTCAAAGGAACCTGGCACGAGGCTTATTCTTGTTCTTTGGAGCGCGTGAAAAATCACAACTGTGTGGTTTTGTTTTCCCATTTTGGGCACCAACTAGTCTTCCGATTTGGCTTGGATTTGCATGGGTTGCCTCAAGGGAGTTCTGCACCGAAGGCTGTGGAATCCGAATGCAAGCGCCCTTTCAGGTTCCCTTGCACACAAGCCTCCAGAATTTCCACCAAGCAGAGCCATTGCCAAAGGGGAGCTAACCTCTTGCCCCAGTAAAAAACCCATGCTCCGAAGTGGGCGGTTAAAAAAAACAAGAGGTTTGCCAGCAACCTGGTCGAGCCCTCCCTTCAGATTCAGCTCAGCTTCCCTGGGATTGTTCGGAACCCCGAACCAAGCCCAAGCAGTTGAGGACTTCAGTTCGTGTGGAACGGGGTGGGATCACTCGGGGTTTATCCCCACTGTGATTTCTTGGGAATCCCCCCTTTCTATGGATTCTGTATCATAGAAGTGGTCATTCCCCACGGCCCCGGTGTGGAAGAAGGCCTTTCTTTGAGAAACCTGTCCAAAGCAAACCAAAAAAATGAGCTATGCCACGAAAGTTCATCTGCAAATCCAGGGAGTCGAACCTCAGAAACGGAATGACCAAGAAAAACCATCCCCTGTGGTTTTCTTTCAGGGAATCCCGAGGTTCATTGCCAAGACCCTGGATCATTCCCTACTGAGCACCTGCAAGTAAAGAAGCTTGAACCTCAATTTCGACTTGACATACGACCGGCTCGAGGAAACTCCTCCGGGCGCCTACCTCTTTTCTGGGCGGTCCTCTCAAATCCCCTGCTAAAAGTTCAACTAAAGCCAACTGAAACCAACTGGACACCAACTAAAACCAACTGAACACCAACCCAAAACCACCAAAAACCACCAAAAACCACCAAAAACCACCAAACACCAAAGGAACCAGACAGCTGGGAACTGCCAAGTCTTGATTTGTCGTCGGGGGGCTTGAGCAGGCGTTCTTCGAGCTGCTTTCGGCCCTTCGGTCGGCCCAAACTCCAGGCAAACCTCCGACTCGCCTCATGGCCTCACGTTGGATCTTTGAGCTTTGACAAACACTTGGAAAATCCATATTTCCAGTAGTGATAGCTTCCCTTTAAAAGTGTGTCTTGTTTGGGAGACCCCCCGCCCAAACTGGTGGTTCTCCTTTTGGCTTTCCTTTCAAACCACCAACAAAATGGGGGCACACTCAAAAGAGAGGGGGATGCCCCCAGCAGTTGTTCATACAAAACTGAGGTTTTTCTCTGGGCAACTGGCGGGATCGGATTCGGAAAGCCATGCGCCCCTTTCGCGTCCTCAAATGTCAGCTCCCAGCGGCCCTGTAGCACGCTCCTCAGCCATCCCAGCGATCCGAGCGATGTTCTGGTGAGCCCCTCGGGGCTCAAAAGGGTTCAAAGTGGACTTCCCTGTGTGTGTGTAAGTAATAATTAAAACAACAAGGGGTAAAAAACTGTAACTATTGTGCATTTGTGTTAGTTCTTCTTTGTGTGGTGTTTTATCTGCACAAGTTGCAGTTCCCAATTGCTGAGGAAGGGACCCTTCTATGAGTGAGCTCCTAAAAAACCCCCAGCTCGTTCTGATTGCCAAAGTATGTGTATCTAGGCACATCCAGATACTTTTTCAGGAGGTTTCCCAGCTGAAGGAGTCCGAGGGAGATGATCCCCGATCCTTCCTGGATCCGATGCACACGTGCATCGGAAAAATTGTTTAAAACCAGTGACCCCACATGTCACAAAGTCTCCACAAGACCAACCTGTGATTTTACTTCACATTGCACCGCCCACACACACGCAGACACTCACACACACAATGCCTGCAATTCCTGCCTGCTTAAACCTAACAAACCTTGTCTAAACTGGACATGTACTGAAAGCTTTCAGCAAGAACCGAGAAATGCACTCTCCAACCCAATCATGAGCACTCTGCTGCGCTTTTTTCTGGCTTGGCTCGATGCGGATTCGCGCTGGCTTTCTGAGTTCTCCGTTATCGCTGCTAAGAGCAGCATATCAGCCCACGGACAATATTGCTTACCGCTGGTTCAACTGGGTGGGCCCCTACATGTTGTGAGAAACAAGTTGAGATTGGGTTGGCCCCCCATGTCGCCTCCAAACGAGCAACAGACTACTAGTAATATTGTCCGTTGCTCATATGGGTTCCTCACCCATTTGTTCTGTGACCCTCCTTCATGATGCAACGCCCCCCGAACACGGGGATTCCTCCACCCAATAAGGTCGTTCTGGGGGAAACACGAGGTCCTGTGTCCTCCCCAAATCAGCCATGGGACACCTTACGAGTATTCTTGATTGAATCGCCTTGCGAGCCCGGCTTGCCCCGCTTACTCGATGACTGCCTTGGCCCCGGCTTCCTCCAGTTGCTTCAGCGCATCCTCGCGAGCGAGGCGCATGCGCGCGAAAAAGACTGAATACATATGGGCGGCCGGTTGCCGAGTTGACTGACCAAATACAAGATCGAGTAATCACTCCTTCCAACCCGAGAAACGTTGGACGTGACCCCCAACTGGGTCGGCCAGAGTCCCTAAACTCCATTGCTGCTTTGACTTTGTATGAATCTACAACGCAAACAGGCGTCAAATCCCCAAAGAGCAAATCAAAGCTGCAAGAACATGGAACCTGTCATACTGTGGATGGGCGAAATCCTGCATCAGCAAAGAAACCCTGAAATGATAATTCCCCTGTAAACACCAGAAAACGATATGGTGTCCCATGGTTTCAACGTGGTGCCAACCGAATTCGACCATCCACAGTGCCCCGCTCTCTTCGGCAAGCAATCGGGGAGAAAGTGTCGGGTGGACCTACGGCCCAAAGCTCCAGGCAAAGTTCTCACGTGAAATGGACGGGCAACACATGCGGTGTGAAATCAAATCCAACGCCAAGTGCCCCCCTCTCCTCTCCTCCCTCAGCTCCCTTGGATGTTCAACCCACTTTCAAGTTCTAATGGCCTTTTTTTTTGGGGGGGGGGGGGCGGGGCGGGGGGAAAGAACTACCCTTATTTACTCCTGTCACACACGTCATTCTCCGTGTCATTCCCCCACGCCCCCCGCAAAAACTCTCAATTCCCAAAAGCGAGTTCCCCGAAGCCCGATTCCTCGGTGGTCTCCGTGTCTTCTCCCCACGCCCGCAGCCCTCCAGCGAATTCCAACCCCTCCCGGAAAGCTCCTCGCAGGCCTCCTTGGGCTTGCCCTCCAGGATCTTCCCCGGGTTGTCCGCCAGGCCCTTGGCGTCCTTCAGGCCCAGCCCCGTGATGGCACGCACCGCCTGAGAAGGCGCAAGGCGGGTTTGGGCGGGTTTGGGGGGGTTTGGCGGGGTTTGGGGGGGTTTGGGGGGGTGAGGAGTTTGGGGGGGTTTGTGTGGGGAGGGTTTGCGGGGGGGGGTTGTGGGGTTTGGGGGGGGTTGGGGTTTGGGGAGGGTTTGGGGGGGTTCGGGTGGGGTTTGGGTGGGGTTTGGGTGGTTGGGGGGGGTTTGTGGGGTTTGGGAAGGTTTGGGGTTTGGGGGGGGGGTTGGGGTAGGTTTGGGGCGGTCTGGGGGGGGTTTTGGGGGGGGGTTTGGGGGTGCGAGAAAAAGGATCCCTCAAAGGTTCACTCCTTTAGCCTTTAGCTTTGAGGGCCTTTGCATGCAGGGCTCGGGGATAGAAAAGCCCAACGACTTGACACAGGACCGTTTTAGGAAGTTCGACTGAGAGCAGTCCGCGTTGCTGGTGGGGCTTTGCGTCAGAAAACAGTAGCCGGGCCAAACCAAATTCAGTGGTGATCAAACCACCAGGTAAACCAGGGCCATCTATTTTTCGACCAAAACAACCAAAAAGGACACCTATGCTGGGGACTGTACCCGCTTGTCTTCACTTATCCAGGCTTTGATTGCGCAGCAGGTCATTCACAACGTGTTGACCCACCGACTCACCGCCCACTCACTTGGCCAGAACACACATGAGGTGTTGTCAACATGTCCAGTAGGAGAGCCTGATTTTACACACACACACACACAGACACAAATCAGGGCGTCAAGCCCTCGTGGGATGATGAACGTCACAATTTCTTCGCAATTCACATGGCTACGTTACAACATCTCTTCGTGATGCTCGGAATGCCGGAACGTATCTTTCCAAGCGAGCAAGCAATCGATCGCCGTTAGGTTTAATCACAAATCCATCTTCCAACAAATGGCAAAGTAACCCACAAGCAAAGAACCCAACCATGGTATGCAAGTTGCCAAGTGACCCTGATAGAAAAACAACATTTTCGTGGAACCCTCCTCCCCCCCACCCCCCGTGCCGCTGAACTGGAATCGTTCTTTCTGCTTGTCAATCCGAAATGGACGGCCTTGATCACTGCAATCTTCTTCTCCTTTGGCACCTCCTTCAAGATCAGGTCAAACCTTGGACTCGGGGCAGCAAAAGCGATTATTGGTGGTTTTGGAACCACGCCGGTCTTTCATATCTTTCATTCGTCAGGTTCCCATGTTTCCTATGAGTAGGTTTCGTTGGGATTTCTTGCAAGCACCAAATGCAAAAAACAACAAATCGCGATGACACACATCATGACATTAAGCGAAACCAAGCAGGCAATGGGACATGCTAAAAACTATAGCAACCCCAGAAAACAAAGAGGGGCGATGCGAAGGTCCCCCCCCCCAAAAAAAAAGAAAGATACAAACACCCCTCACCCATGGGAAACCCCCCGCGTCCACTTCAGCCCTTTGCTTCCGTCCGGTCGCTCCGTCTTCTCCGGCGCCGCCTCCTCGGCCTCGCCCCCGCCGCCGGGGGGCGCCATCACCACGGCGCCCGCGGAGGCGGAGGCATCCACGCCGAAGGTCTCCTCGATGGCCTCGCAGTCGCAGTCGGCCATCAACAAGCAAAAAACCATCAGATCACAACAACCCTCGAAACTCAACAGAAATCTTCAAATTCCAACGAAAACCTTCGAACCTCAACCAAAATCGTCAAAACCCAAGAAAAGCCTTCGAATCCCAACAAAAGCCTTCGAAATCCAACAAAAATCGTCGTCAACACGGCAACAAAAAACTTCGAATTCCAACAAAAAAAACAACAAAAGCCTTCAACTTTCAACAACAACCTTCAAATCTCAACAAAAGCCTTCAAATCCCAACAACAACCTTCAAATCCCAACGAAACCTTCAATTCCCAACAAAAAACCTTCAACTCCCGACCCAAACTTTCAAATCCACACAAAAACACACCAATTCCCTCCAAGGCCTCCAACTCTTTCCTGGTTGACCCCAAAGGGAACATCTGGATGGGTCCAAAAAACCCGCCTTCACCAGATCGGCAGCCTCTGTGAGGGTCAGCGTCTTCCTGAGCTTTGGACCCAATCGAGCGGATTGGCCGAAACAAGTCTGGCACTTTGTAGTTGCCACTAAAATGGCTGCGGCTCAAATCAAAAAACGGTACACACAAATGTGCAAACAAAGACCCAAACCAGCGTAGCCCCAGCTCTTAAATTTTGAGCCACACTCAAATGGTCTGACAGGGGTCTTCCAATAAAAATGTGTTTTTTCTCCTGGAACCCAGGCAAGATTATACTGTTGGTATGTTCAACGGTTGTGCAATTCATCTTCTACTGCTGGTATATTCCAATGTTGGCATAGCAGGAATTACACTCGACTCTTTTGTCCTGGTCACTTTAATCCGAAACATGCATGTGGAATCCTTCCGCTTGCCAGCTAGTGTTTCTGTGCTTATTCCACGTCAGGGAAGTAGGTAGAAGCCAGCCCTTTGATTGAAATGTCCCGTGACACCCCACTCAAAACCAGGCTTACAACCTATCTACTATGTTGGTTGAACACCAAGTATTGTAGGTTGGCGGTCATTGTTTGTGGACAATACTCATCTGTTCTTTTGGGTAGGCAACAGGCGGAGTTAGTCAGCTAGTGTGTTTATGCTTGGTTCAGTTGGTTGTCTTCAGCCAGACTTGTCATGTTTGTTGTTTAGTCAGGCTTGTTGTTTAGTCGGTCTTTGTTTGTATGTTCTTTGTTGGTCTTATTCAGCCTCTATTTTCCCTCTATGTTCCCGTCGTGGTTGTCGTGTTCGCCTAGTTTCATTGGATTTAAGTAGACATATACATTCAATACCTTAGGTTGTTTCTCAAGATTGGGGACCCCTTCAGGTGATAGGCTTCCTTGGGTTTCGGGTTTCCCTCAGCCATCCAACAAAGTCTCCATCTTAGACACACCCGTTCCGTTCACTTGGTTTTCTTCTTGAACCCAGGTTTAATCCACATGGCGGATTTCGAGTCTGCAAACCCAAGTGAAGGACAACATGGACAAAGCTGGCTGAATAAAACCGCCGAACCCCAAAAAAGGAATCAGGAGGGGAACGCCACCCCAAAAAATGAGGAAAAAGGTGGAACACGGGGGGAAAACGGGGAAAACGAGGGGGGGGGGGGAGGAAAAAACCGGGGGAGGGGAAGGGGGAGGGTGGGGGGGGGGAGGCGGGGGTTTCGGGTTCGGGCCGCTTTCGCCGGGCATCAGCTCCTCCACAATGTCATCCACCTTGGCTTCTGCGGCCACCGCTGGCGCGCGAGGAGTTCGTGGGCGCGCGGAGACGAAGTCGGGCGGGACCCGGAAGGAGCCTCTGGCAACGACCCGCAAGGCTCAGACGCACCAGTTCAACATAATGTTGGATGGAGTTTTGCCTTTTTCTTGAACCAACATAACTTGGATGGACAAAATCCACAAAAAAAAACCAGGCACCAGTTGGGATTGGTGGTGTATCCATTAGGGTTTCATCCATCCCAAGTGCAGGCTTTCGGGCTGCACCATTTGTGCATGCGGGTGTGGAGTGCTTCAAACACCAACTTTAGTCATGAACACACAAGCAAAAACCATTGGTTGTTTGTCAGAGCGTACGCCATGCTGCGCCCAGGTGGTATTGCCAGCGCAACAGGCCTGGAACCTCCGGGTTTCCCTGAAAGCTCCTCCACACCGAGCTCACAGAACTTAAAGCTGCCAGCCTGGCTGGCTGGGTACCTGAAATTCCCAGGTGCTCCTCAGGTGCTTTGCCTTTTTGACTCCCCATTTTGGGGAAGGAAGCAACAAGGGGCATTCCTCATGGCAGCCAAGAAGGTGGTTTGAAACATGGTTTGCCCTGGAAGCCATCAACTCTGTGTGGTTCCATGGATACCTGGGCTGTCCTCAGATCCTCTGCTAAAAGTTTAACTTTTGGTGGGTTAAGTGGAACACCCCACAACGCCCTAAAAAAACAAAACACCTAAAGGGATGGCTGGGATGCGCCAATTCACCATACAGGAAATACCCGGCACTCTCAAACTTTGTGTGCATGCAGCATCGGACAGGGGAAGAAAACATGAAAACATTGAAAGGACGTCATATCAAATTGTGGGTGGGGGGAAGCCGATTTGTTCATCTAAACCAAACAGGTGGTTTCAAGCAGGGGGTCGCTTTTGAAGGCAGGTCCCGCTTTGCCCGAAAAGGTCAAAAGGCGAACCAGGCCGACCGCCAAAACAGAGTCGGCACATGTCGGCTCGGAAGAACCAAAGCAGGCCCCTCTTCCAAAAATAGATTCTGTTACCTGGCCCTGAAGTCGAAAACCGGTGCCGGGAGGGTGCCTGGAAACAGTCTCAATCGCTACAAGCACTATTCCCTCATGATGACTTGATTGTCCCATGATTTTTAAGAGGGACTCCCTTCAAACGTGGTTGGTGGACACATATCCCCACCTGCACGATCTAATCAAAATAATCGTTGACATTGGGTTAAGTCCCCCAACAACCCCATCCTATCCCTGCTCTTGACCTTGACCCAAGCAGCTGAGCACCGCCGCCGCTGCAAGCAGGAGGACGGATCCGCCGCGCCTCGGTGGCAGCGCCATGGCCTGGTGGTACACAGCGCTTGAGCCGAGCGGTTTGGCTGCGGATGTTGGCGGCTTGGCGCTGCGGTGCTTTACCTCGAGACTGGGGAAGATGTGGGCATGGGTCAAAATGAAACCACCTGAAAACCGCAGGTTCTTATCCATGCTTCCATCTACCAGTGTTCTATTTTGGGTTCCTATTTTTTACCTGCTGCCATGTGTGGGGAAGATGCGTGGTGAAAATGTTTCTGGACCCCCTTGTTGGACTTTGTTCTAAGGCGGCCGCCTAAATCTCACCAGCCCTAAGAATGCATGACAGAGTTCAGAGTACCCCGCCCCCCCCCCCCACCCCACCCCACCCGGCCAAAAAAGAAGGGGGCCCAGCAAATGGTTGTTGTTTGAGCTCCCTCTGTTACAGTTGCAAAGCAAAGTAGATGACACAATTCCCCACTTTAGTTCAGCCACCCCCCTTTGCCCACATCTCACGGCAATTCTGCAATCTTCACCTGTACAGGGTGCTGAGCATGCCCAGTTCCGCCCAGCTAACGCCAATTTCCCGTTTTCCCCCACTCAGTCTCACCCACCTCTGTCCCCTCCATCCCAGGCGCTCGTCCACCGTGGGTTGACGCTGCTCCGGGGCTTGGAACCCATCTGGGGCGATGGTGCCGTCCTGGCCCGGCGTACTGAAAATGGGCCGGTTTGTTTGAATAAAACCAAAAATTGTACTGAACATGGAGCAATTTGTTTGCACTCAAACCGAAAGCTTAGGTCGGTTTTGTCTCCGAGCTTGACCAACATTGTATAAAACCAAACAGTTTCTGAAAATGGACCAACGGTTTCGAACAACTTGGGGCTTTCCGCCACTCGCTGATCCGTCGCTCCTTCCACACGAAGAGCTCGCAGCCCACGCAGGCCTCCGGCTCCTGGCCACCGGTGGCCGCCCCCGCCGTGCCCTGCTCGTAGCTGTCGGCGTCGTTGGCGGCGCGGCTCAGCGAGACCAAGGTGAGGCGGTCCGAAGGCGCCTCGAGGCTCGAGGGGAGGGGCGGGGTGGCGTGGCCAACTTGGGAGTCAAGCCAGAATCCTTGGTGGCTCTCAGCCATCCGGTTCCTTAGCCTTGCATCTTCTAGCTTGTCAGTGTTTAGTGGCGGTTTCCATTTCACCCACCAAAAGTTGAACTTTTCGCGATCTGAGGGCAGCCAAGAATTTACCTGCTGGTGCTCACCAGGGGTTGGGGGGGGGATGGCTGAGCCCTGGGTTATATAACCACCATCATTTACCTATCATGGGCTGGGGGGGAGGGAGGGGAGGGGGGAAGCCCAAATAAGCCTCCATTCAGCCCTGAATAAGGCCTTATTTAGGGCTCCCTCCCCCTCCCCTCCCTCCCCCCATGAACCTAGTTCATCATCCAAATTAGGTCAACCATGCTTTTAATGGGGGTTGCACGCTAGGGTTTGGCGACCTCTGGATTTCCATGGGGAAAAACAGGGGCACAGTTTCTGAACAGGGGTCCCCCTAAGATTTAGATGGTGTGAATGGTTTGAAATTGCACTTTTTCAGGCAGTTGCAGAAACCCTTCAGAAAGCAGCGGAACAAAAGCTCGCCACTGGGCGGCTGGGCGGATGGGGGAGCGACTGGTCAAACCTTCTCCGCAACGTGTGCTGAAAACCTGGCTCGAAGGATCGATGTCTATCCATCATGACTGATCGAAAGTGCCTCAGGTCAGCTTGCCTTTAATTGGTGGATTGGATTGGCGGTTTCGATTTACCCTGCACAAGAACCAGGATTTCAAATCCCCAAACCACCAATCCAAACCACCAACTAAGGGTTACCTAATAAGGGGCTCCTAATGGACGACCATTCAGTTTCTTTCCTCACCCTGGAGCTACTCAATGCCAGAATCCGCTTCCATCTGCATCTGATGTAACGTCTCCCCGAGCTCCGTTTCCAGATCACCAAAACCGGCCCAACATTTGCCGCAAGATCTGATCTAAGGGCTTCTAAGGGGAGTTACTCGGTTCCGCCAAAAGCAGGCTGCTGTTTAAAGAACCACCACGAACAAAGTCACAACGCCTGTCCTTGCGTCCGGCAGCCAAAACAGGACATGTCTGTTTTCCCGGACCTCTGCCCTCTGCTTTGAACCAACCGGGAAAAAAAAAAAAACACAACACACACACACACAAAAAAAAAAAACACAAGCAAACAAACAAACAAACAAACAAACAAACAAACAAACAAACAAACAAAAACGCCCTGGTCGCCCGTTGCGGGGGCATGCAAAAGGCGCGCGCTGTCTCGCGCCTCCTGCTTGCCGCTCTGGTTCACCGGCTTCTTGGTGATGCCCGTGATGCTGACCACCCCGTCGGTGACTTTGGTCTTCAAGCCTCGGGCGAAAGGTGCGCACGATTTCGCATGGTTTGGGTGGGCTTTGGAGTGCAGGAACCAGGAGGATGTCTAGCGCCGTTTTATGTTTTTAACACAACCAAACGGTGTTTGTTGTCTGTTTGCTTTCTTAGTAAGTAGTTGTCCGTCTAGATTAGAGGTTGGCAAATGTGGTTCAAAAGAAAACGGATTCATTGACCCTCCCACATTTCTCCGTACGACCCCTGTTAAACTCGCCCATTTGTCATACGTGGGTGTCATCTGATGTGTGGTTTAGGAACAGTGGGATTTAGGCCCTTCAACGACATCCGCAAGCGAAGAGTCACACCAAAAACTTCTCGGACCGCCCCGAGATGGATATATCGTTCCTCAGATTTCCCCCCACAAAAACAACCCCTCAAAAATGGGGGGAAAAGGGGGGGTGAACACAAAAACAGACGGGCCACTCGAATATCTACCCCTGCCTGTTGACCCAGTGCTTCACTGGACACCCCGGAGTCACCCCGCTCCGGCCAAAGAGCCGGCGATCATGTTCCCGCGGCCCGCGTTCCAGGTCTTCTTCTGGAGGTCGTCGGAGTCCTCGGAGCTCCGGAGCCAAAGATCGCCGGTCCGGACCCCCTTTTGGGGGGAAAAGCCCCCCCTTTTGTTGCCGCGTTTTTTTGGTCTTAATGGGAATATAGGGGCCCTGTTTGGGGAGCTTTCCCCCCTTTTGTTGCCGCGTGGATTTTGTCTTAATGGGAATATAGGGGCCCTGTTTGGGGAGCTTTCCCCCCTTTTGTTGCCGCGTTTTTTGTCTTAATGGGAATATAGGGGCCCTGTTTGGGGAGCTTTCCCCCCTTTTGTTGCCGCGTTTTTTTTGTCTTAATGGGAATATAGGGGCCCTGTTTGGGGAGCTTTCCCCCCTTTTGTTGCCGCGTTTTTTTGTCTTAATGGGAATATAGGGGCCCTGTTTGGGGAGCTTTGCCCCCTTTTGTTGCCGCGTTTTTTTTGTCTTTTGTTGCCGCGTTTTTTTTGTCTTAATGGGAATATAGGGGCCCTGTTTGGGGAGCGTTCCCCCCTTTTGTTGCCGCGTTTTTTTGTCTTAATGGGAATATAGGGGCCCTGTTTGGGGAGCTTTCCCCCCTTT